CACAAAAAGTCTTGCCTGGGCAAGGATTTGTCGGCCTTTGGCGAGAAGTTGGCATCGTAAGTGTTTGCGATCTATCGTTGATTGGGGTATCTTATTAATGGGCAATTACTTCCTCGCAGAGCACGTTATCCGCCGTACTCGGATCGCAAGGGATCCCTGCTGTCATTCCTGCTGCGCAAGCGTCGTCCGCTGCCCAACCTGCACCTTAGCCATGTGGTGGCCATCGGCCTGGGGGTTGGATTGACGGTGCTGGCCAACTATTACCTACAGGTAAGGAAGGTATAGCAACCAGGCTCCAGTTGCTCGATTGCGCCCATTAAAATGTACGATTATCTTTCATGGCTTGCACGACACTGGGAACCACACTCCATATTCGTTATCCGACACCATCACACTTCTCGCTTCACTCCTAATACACACTCCCCGCCGTTTGTCCACAATTACAGGGCAAGTTGCTGTCGCGTTAGACACGATGATGGAACCCGGAGATTAGTGCAGCCTGCGCCAGTGGATCCTTACCATTTACTTTTGGAATTGTTTGCAATAAATGTATAAGCACAAGTTTATTTATTGGGCATGCCCTTTACTAATTTCATTGCACATCCAGACTCCTCACATAACTAAAACAGGGTCATTAGGTGTCTTTAATGGGGTAATTTCACTTTAACTTAAAACCAAAATACATTTTATGAAATGCTTAAGACTTACTACCCTCAAGTTATGAAATCATTTCACAACCTTTCCCCATTTTATATTTTCAGAAAAACTCAACTGATTAAAAACCCAAAAACTTTTTTACTTTTTATACGCATATCGGTGGGTGATGTAAAGCTTTGGATACTTCGTTATACATAGTTATTGTTATTTAGTTGCTATTTAATAAAATGTGAATGCTGTAATGTAGTGTACGAAAAATAAACAATATAAAATTACTACAATGTCTCGGGATTTGAATTTGAATTCCGGCAACAGTGTGACCAGCACGGTCTGAATTAGCGTGTTCACCAGCACTGGTGCCCATTTTTAGGCATTTAGCACATAAACCGGCAAGTACACACTGGCTAGACAATGTAGGGCTTTTTTACGTGGTCACACTGGCGTGTACAATTTTTTGTCAATCATTTGCTTGAGAAAATATATTAAAAAGACACAGATAAAATGGCCGCGCGCGGCGATTTGATTGCACAATTCATAGAGATTACTGGAACAGACGAGAATGTCGCCAGGTTCTACCTGTCCAGCTGCGACTGGGACATAGAGGTGAGCTTTCGCAGAACCGGCGACAACAATGATGCAGCAAATGCATCCGGTACTATTGCACTCGATTTTATGTTGAACATCTCGATTCCAGCACGCTCTGGGCAACTACTGGAGCACCCAGGCGGATTTGCCCGTTCCTGTGCAATCGGTGGGCCACGCGGACAATCCAAAACCAAAGCCTACTTCGAGTAGTGGAGCAAGTGCAGCAGCTCCCGCCGCGGGAGCCGCCAAAACTGCGGACGCTGCTACCGCTTCTTCGTCAGCTTCGGTGGACATTGCACCGGCTGCGTCCAAGGCTAAGCCAAAGTGAGTGTTTCAAACTTGCAAAACTCCTTTAGTAACCCATTCTCCCCACCAGATTCGCCACCCTTAGCGACATGTCCAAGGAACCCTCTAGCGACGATGACCAGCAGGCGTTTTATGCCGGCGGCTCAGATCGCTCCGGTCAACAGGTCCTAGGGCCGCCGAAGCGCAAGAATTTCCGTGAACAGCTCACCGACATGATGCGTTCTGCGCAGGAGCAGAACATCGCGGAGGTGGGCCCCTCCACCAGCAGCGGAAGTGGCAGTGGAGGAGCCGGCGGTGCTGTCTGGGGCCAAGGCATGAGGCTGGGCATGACCGATAATGACCACACCGCTGTGGGCACCAATAAACCGCCATCAACCAGTGAAAATAAACCGGTGGTGGTTCTGAAACTCTGGAGTCAGGGATTCTCCATCGACGGCGGCGAGCTCCGTCACTATGACGATCCCCAGAACAAGGAATTCCTAGAGACTGTCATGCGCGGGTAAGTGTCATTCACCCCCAAATGCAGCTTATGTTAATACATCAGCAACGAATGCAAGTGCATCCCTTAAAATTAGTAAATTATATATACTTAACTATATCGTTTTCATCAGATTTAATTATATGTATTCAGAACAGAGATGATGGTCCAACAGAAAAATCAATATGCTTTCTTTAACTTTGTTTTAAACTTTAAAAGCATGCCTCTTTAGATATATTATTTTTGAATGACTTATATTTTCACCAATATTGCAATATGAAAATTAGTTAACATATAAATATTATTTTAAATAACTCTTTTTAACGAAAATTTTACCTTTCTAGAGAAATTCCGCAAGAGCTGCTGGAAATGGGCCGTATGGTCAATGTGGATGTGGAGGACCACCGTCACGAAGACTTTAAACGCCAGGCAGCTCCTCAGACATTTAAGGGTTCCGGCCAGAAGCTGGGCAGTCCAGTGGCGAATGTCATCACCGAAGCGCCAACAGTTTCAGAGGCACTGTCGCCCGGCGAGGCAGCTAACCAGGAGGCCAGCGCCCGTGATGCTATAAACTTAAATTCCGAAGCACCGTCTACCACGCTGCAAATTCGTCTTGCGGATGGCTCGCGTCTAGCTGCGCAGTTTAATCTGACGCACACCGTCTCCGACATACGTCGATTCATACAAACGTAAGTCGCTAATCTTGCACATCTTATGCTGATTAACTCTAATGTAATTCGATTTGCAGGGCACGCCCTCAGTACTCAACCAGTAACTTCATCCTGGTGTCCTCGTTTCCTACTCGCGAACTGAGCGACGACAATTCCACCATCGAGAAGGCTGGCCTCAAGAATGCGGCTCTCATGCAGCGCCTGAAGTAACTTTAAGTTAAATACGCGTAAAGGCTCCCAACGCGGGGAGCAACAACCTATGAAATAAAACTGGATTTGGTGAAGTCGGGGAACCTATACGTCCGAATCCGATGTCTATAATTGTCTACTATATATACAATATACCAAAATTGTGTGCTAACTTGTATTCACTTTATGGCAGTCAAGTAATCTCTCAAAACTACATGTAAATCTCAAACTAAAGGCTGTATAAACTAATCTTCTTAGATGAGTAGGTCCACCTCGTTGCGTAGTACGTTAATGTGCTCCATAAAGTCCTCACGTACCGCGTTGCGCCAGTCGTGTAGGCCATCGCTGCCCACATGCTCGCAGTCCACGTAGCGGTGCACGAATCCAGTGGACAACGATAGTTCCACCTCGGTCGTACTGGCCAAAAGCTGCGCAGGCGGGAGTTCTAGGCGGTTTAGCAATGTTTTGTACGGAGATCTTCGCTCCGGATCGTATTGAACATTGTCGGGCAAAAGTTTCTTTCGTTCATCAAAGCATACGGACATAGTGGCTAGTTCGAATCGAGTGGTTTCAGAGGAGAAGTGACGTAGCTGCTGCTGCACCGATCCCTTTGCCTGATCCACAGAGAATCGGGAGTTGGGAAAGAAGAGCTCATTGGGACGGAGTAGAAGGGTGAAGCTGGCGTGATTCACATTCCGCAGCAGGCAGTCTGTGTGAATCAATTGACGAATCCGTGAAAGCGTGCCATTTGTTTGCCGGAAAGGAAAGTTGAAGGGCAGGCCGTAAAGATTAATGTTAGTCCGGTCCAGCAGGTGAATCACTTCCTCGGGAAGCTCATCGTAATTGTAGACCAGAAAATTCTCAATTCCTATGGCCTGGTGGAAAAGGAAAAATTGCAGCAGGGCGTTCTCAGTGCGAGCAAACTTGGAGGTCATATTAAAGCCCACGAGATCCACGCAGACGGTGGCCGGCAATCGAGAGGGAGCTGCGGGCACATTGGAATTGCTTTTCTTGTCAGTTGGTTTCAGGTTCCGCAAACGCAACTTCACTGGACTCTTGGTAGTTGTGATATCAGTGAAGGAGACACTACCAGGCTGACCGAAATCTCGGCTCACCTGGCAGAAGAAGTGATAACTGGTAAAGTTGGACGACTTGTCATCCACCAGGCTCTCGATAGAGTCCCGCTGAAAGCGAAACTTTCCCTGCACGCTGCGCCCGCTTAAAAGGTTTAGGCTGCATCGGAAATCCACCACGGCTCCTTTTTTCCCGACGACCAAAACGTGGGCTTCCCCGCCGGCCACCAGTTCGTTGCGCATCCAGTAGGCGGAGTAGGCGTGGAAGGAGTCGCCGATCATCTGCCACACGGGAAGGGGGCGCCACAGCACCGCCTGTGGCGCATCCTCCTTGGTTCCATTCTCGAGGCGTCGAAGAACAGCGGCATCGTTTCGTCCGAAGAAGTTCACGTACTTGAGCACATATTTCAGGCGGTTGTTCTCGGTCTTGTACATCAGGAGGATGCCTACGCTGAGGCAGGAGATGAGCAGCAGCACTAGCTGCTGGTATTTCCGCATTTTTGTTTAATTTATTTCGGTTGTAAAAAAATAACAATTAAACAATACACTCCCTAAATGGATCCCGCCAGCAACAGCTGATTTGCAGTGTTGCCAAGTACCGAAAAAATATTTGGAGTGTTTGGCAACTATCGGATCATTTTGTTATGATTTATAATTTTTTATCTCAATAAATAGTCAATAAATTATGTAGACTTGATAAGTTCGAATCCCTGATTGTTTTTTTTTTTAATTTCAGGATAAATGTGGTTAAACATAGCAATTTTAAACGTTATTAACATAAATACACGTTAAATGAGATTTAAAAAGAACCCTTTAAATAATAATAAAAAGAAATTAATTCCTTATGCACTTTATTCCATCCCACACTCTCTATTATTCTTTTTAATTACACACATTTTTTACAAATCTTTTAATTCTATTTTATTAGGCTTGTGAAGGTAAATATTCAATAAATAGTTTGGCCTCCACAGCTGAAAATTTAATTTTTGTTGTCTGTTAACTCAGTTGAATTATGAGGCTATGCCCAGTGAAACCAGTTTCTTGTTCATAAAGTCATATTGTTTTTAATATTAAGAGCTACTTATAATACATGTTGTAAATGTCTTTTATTTATTTGAAACAACTTATGGCTGAGGGAATGTGTGTGCAAATAGGGCGTCGTTGGCCGGCTCCGCCACCTTTAGAGTGCTCTTGATGATCTTGTGGGTGCGCCGCATATGGACGCCCAAACTAACCCTCTCCGAGAAACGGGTGGTGCACAGAGAGCACTGCAGCGTCTTCTCCTTGTGGATGTGCCGGTGTTTAACCAGAGCGTTAGCATTTGTAAACGCCTTCTGGCATACCTCGCACACCTTGTCGCGGATGTTCAAGTGCGCCTTCACGTGGTCCTTAAGGTCGCGCTTGGTCAGGAAGTCCTTGGGGCACAAGTCGCACTTGAAGGCCCGGATTTTAGTGTGTACCGCAGTCACGTGGGTGGTCATTTGAATTTTCTGCTTGAACGACTTTCCGCAAAACTCGCAGACATACGGCTTGGCCACGTGCTTCTCGTCGTGAGATCGCTTGTGGGAGGCCAGCTGGTTGCCAAAAGCGAAGCTTCGACTGCAGATGTCGCAGACGAATGCCTTGCTCATGTGTACTCGCTGGATGTGCTGCTGCAGGTGGCACCTTCGGTCAAAATTCAGCTCGCACAACGTGCACCTAAACCAGCCGCCCTCGCCCATCTTGTGATCCCGGAATTGATGCGCCTGCAGGGCGTGATCCGTGCTGAAGGCGTGCTCACAAACTTCACATTTGAGCTTCTGGCGGAATGTCTTAGTGGGCATGAAGCTCTTGCACCTGTCGATGTACCGCTTCTCGGCCAGCGAGAGGCCTACCGATTGCACATCGGTGAGGGTTTTTATACGTCGCGAATACCATTGGCGCATGCTCTGAATACTTTCGTACACATCGTAGTAGGTGATCAGGCCCAGGGAAATCTCCGCAGTCAACAAATCTGTGATCTCAATGAGCGATGACTTACGTTCGCTCAAATTGGAGAAGTGCTTGTGCGCTGGATCGTAAAGATGAGGGAATTTGGAATACAGCTCGATAAACAGTGTGGTCAGTCGATTCTCCTCGGTAAACACCAGCTGTCGAAGGTAAACATTAAGCTTTGATCTAGATCTTATTTACAGCTGTACGCACCTTTATCTTGCCATCGCCATCGTCCTCATCGCTGTCTATGTCTTCCAGACTTCCGCGCTCCGCCAAAAAATCGTACTTGCCGTGGTAATATAGTGGCACCTTGGTCAGCTTCTGTGTTTTTTTCTGTCGCGTAATCGCCGCGTACTGGGCGTGTAGACTTGCAATGCATTTCTTCAGCTTGTAGGTGGTAAGATGGATGTTCACGGTGGACTTTAATTGCTCCAGCAACTCCTCGTAGGCATTTGTGCGTTTCTCCTTGTTCTTGTACGAATCATCCGCCGGATCCCAAAGGCATGTCTGTTGTTCGTACAGCTCGATGAACTGGGTGATTCGTGGACTCCGTCGGTAGAAAGTGGGATTAAACTGCCGAAATGTAAGATTACTGATTGAATTGTTGGTTTTTTTTCGGGTTAAGACAGTGACTTACTTTAGATAAGGGTGCGAAGTAAGTGGAATTGCTGGTGCCGAGTTCGCAGTCAACCGCCATTGAGGGGCAGTCCACGTCCACATCGTCTTCCTCCTCGCCGACGCTCTCATCCTCGGAGGAAGCGGGCAGGTCCACGAACATGTCCTCTGCTAGGCAATCTTCCGAAGGCTCCTCCACTATGAACACCTTAGCTGTAGATGTTCCGACATCGCTTTCGTCGGAGGAGATGCAAGCGGAAGCAGGCATCTCCTCCTGCACTTCTGAATGCGTCTCCCGGTGCTCCTTGATGTGCAGGATAAAATCCCGCCACCGCTCGAATTCCATCTCCACGTAGCACTCATTTCTGTGCACACAGGTCAAAACAAAGTGCTCGTAGTTGTCCTTGGCCAAAATATTTCCACAAATCACCATAATTTGCTTACAAACAAAAAGAACACGATGCAAAGACGCAAAACAACGCCATGTATCGATAAACACCTGCTAGTTAGTGTTGGGAAATTGCTCGGGAAAATGTAACTGATAAATCGATTTTGGTATCAGTAAAATTTTGTTTGAAAAATGACTTTTCATATATGTTGATTATATAAATTATTTATTTAATTTACATTAAACAAAAGGTACAATTTGAAATAATTAAATTGTATTAAGGATTGTTGAAAATGTTTTTTTTCATGCTTTACATACGAACATATGCTCAATCTGAGAAGTTTGTTAATTCCAACTAAGATAAAAAAGTAGAATTAAATAATATAAGTTATATTTATTTATTGTATATCATAATAAATGATACATTTTACTGATCAAACCAGAAGCTAAGGATAAGAAACAGACGAATTGCAGGTTGCTTTGAGGGAGTAAGCAACTCAACTCCTATGAATGCGGCGATGTCTGGAGAGCGAAGAATGATCATAGAATGAGGCGTCGCAATACTCGCACTTCTTATCACGGATATTCAAGTGGCCCTTGATGTGATTGGCCAGCTCAAACTTTTTGCGAAAGGTCTTGTTGCACATGTTGCAGCTATAGGGCCGTATGTTAAGGTGGACACCATTAACGTGGTGGTCCAGGAGCAGCTTGAGCCGGAAAGTTTTACCGCAGATGTCGCAGACGTGAGGCCTCTCGCCCGTGTGGATCAGCGTGTGCACCTTGAGGTCGGTAACCACGGCGAAGCTCTTTTCGCAGTACTGGCACCTCAGCTTCCGTTCAAAGTGTGAGCGTAGCTTGTGCCGGTCCATGTCCACCTGCCGGTCGAAGCGCCGTGGACAGAGAGAGCAGAGGTAGGGCAGGTCGCCCGCCTGGTGCGCCTTGAACATGTGCACCCGAAGATTATAGTCGCCATGGAAGCGCTTCTCGCAGTAGTCGCAGTAGAGCACCGTGGTCTCCGAGCCCTTGGGGGGCAGGAAGCTGCACATGCGCAGGTACTGCACCTCCTGCTTGCTGCACTTTTGGATCAGCTCTTTGGACTTGAGACGACGCATGGCATCATATAGCCAGCGGCGCAGCTTGTTAACCGCAATGTACACATCTGTCTCGTTGGCCTTCACCACCGGCTGGAATTCCTTAGCCATCTTTTTGTAAGCATGTGCGCGCGCCTCAACCGATCCAAATTCAGATAGCTCAGGGTTGTACAGTCCGGGATAGTTGGCATAGGTCTCTATAAAAGAGCTTGTGACCAGGTTCTCCTCTTTAAAGTTTAGCTGTAATGAGCAACTTCCTTTAGAAATGAGTCAAATGAAAAGTAGCGTTTATATTACCTTAATTACAATCAAATCATCGTCCTCCTCAGTCTCTTTGGGCGTTATGCTGGGCGCCACACTAAGATACTCGCACTTGGCAAAATAGCGCGCCCCCAGGCCAACGAGCTTTCCTTTTTGTTTTGTCTCTAAAGCCAGCGTGTACTGGACGTGTAGCTGCTCGAGTGTTTTCTTCAGTTCTTCCACGGTTAAGAGCACATTGGCCTTGTCGTCCATGCGATTAATTATTGACTCGTAGGCCATATTCTGTGCTGGCTCGTCTTTGTAGTGTGCATCCGAGGGATTCCATAGGCAGGGATGCTCTTTGTAGGCATGTATTAAATGCAGCACTCGGGGATTGCTTCGAGTGAATGAAACTTTAAACTGAAAAAGTGCCATTTGATTTAATCAAGTCATGACAGAAGATGGTTGTATATATTTACCTTGAAAACCTGCCCAGGTCTCGTTCGTTTGGGCGGTCGTCCAGCTCTTTTTCGGGGGACTAGGTCATCCTCAGACATATAAAAGTCACTGCAGTCGACATCATCGTCGTCTGTGTTCATGGGGATTTGATTCTGAGAGGATTCATCCATATCTGTTTTAGTTCCTGTTGGCGCTTCTGATGAATCTGGCATGTATTCACTGAAATCGGCAGTGGGCTCAGACCAAGTGGTGCCGTCTTCTAGGTATAGAATTTCCTATAGAACCCAAAAAACAACCCAGTTACTTGAACATATCATGGCAGTTAAACTCACATTGTCATCAGCTTGCAGCCATTGATCCTCTGTATTGGTGTTTTCGATCACCTCGAATAAGTCATCCGGACCAAAGGCGATGGCGGGATCCGAGGCTTCTACGGCAGAGTTCTCCACATTGGGGTCATGTTTTATTTCACTGAGCCCAGAGTCCTCCTCTTCGCAAAAGTGGGCCGTCCTGACATGGATAATGAACAGCTCCCAGTCCTTTAGCTCGCTCTCAATCGTGCAGTAGATGCACTTCAGCCGGAAAAGTTCGTACTTGGAGTTGGTAACCACACTGCCGCACACCTCCATGCTTAGTTTACCGGCTCTATTTTGACCTCAGATCAGAAAATTCCTTAATTTGTCGAAATCAGCATTTATTTACGAGATGTGCGTTTCTGCCAGTGTTGGACAGCAAAGCACGGCTATCAAAAAGTGGTTGCCTATCGGATAGACTATCGGAAAAAGTAACGCTACTTATCGGATTTTTTTTTTTTAACAATTTATATGAATATAGTAATTCAAAATAATATTATTTATATCTGGAAAATATTTCAATACCATTTGCTTTTAATACAGCGTTAAATAAATTGTTCTTATTGTATATATACATACGATTGTTTTCCGATTTTAAAAAACACTCGCTATTTATTTTTAAAAAATGTTTAAAACTTTTATTCTACCGTTTTTAGTGCTCGGCGTCCACCGACTCTTTTGTCTTTTGTAAATTGTGCCGGACAATGTTATGGGTTCGCTTCATATGCGTATTGAGGCCAACGAATTGGGAGAACCTGGAGTCGCACAGTTTGCACACGAACTTCTTCACCTCGGCGTGGATCTGCCGATGGCGGATCAGAGCATGGCAGCTGGTGAATCCTTTGCCGCACACAGTGCAGATTTTGTCGCGGATATTTAGATGGCCTTTAATATGGTCCGAAAGGTCGACCTTTTTCACAAAATCTTTTGGACACATGCTGCACTTGAAGGCCCTGATCTTGGTGTGTATGGCCGTAACGTGGAGCTTCATTTGGGACCTGAGTCGAAAGGCCTTGCCGCAATGCTCGCAGACGTACGGCTTATGACCCGTATGAGTACGGATGTGCAGCTGAAGATCCGAAATCACAGCAAATGTCCGCTCGCAGTGGGTGCACTTATGTGTCTTACCGATGTGGACCCGCTGAATGTGATTCGCCAGCTCTCCACGTCCCACAAAACTCCGTTCACACAGCGTACACTTGAACGGCAGCTCGCCGATGTTGTGTGCTTTAAAGATATGCGACTGCAGGACGTGATCCGAGGAGGTGATCTGGTTGCAGATCTCACAGACCAGGCGCTGCTTGAACATCTTTGGGGGCATAAACCGGCATACCTCTATATAGAACTTCTCCGCCCCACTTCCAGCATTAATGGCATGCTTAGTACTCTTGTAGTACCATTGGCGAAGATTATGGATGGCGCGGAAGATGTCATCGCTGTTGATGTCCACATTTGGCACAGAGATTTCTGCAGCCAGACTCTCATAGGCTTGTTTCCGCGAGCTCATGTTGGAGAACTCCTTGTGCGTGGAGTCATACAGCTGCGGAAAATTGGCATACATCTCTATCAGGTCGGTGGTCAGCTTGTTTTTTTTGGAAAAATCCAACTGGGGGCAAGGTATTGCTCTTAATTGATTCAATTAGAACTACATGAAATCCTTACCTTGATCTTTTCGTTTTTGTTAGCCTCTTCCTCATCCCTGCTGGCCTTCAGGAAGCTGCACAGGGTATAGATACCAAATGCCAATGACTGCGACTTTTGTTTTCCAGAGAGCACTCGCTTGTGAACGGTGTCGAACTGCATTTGTATCTTCTTGATTGCCACCTTTAAGGTGGTCTCATTCAGGAACACGGACACTTTTGTCTCCAAGTCAGCAATCATCTGCTTGAGGGCTTCCTTCCATGCCCTGGGCTCCTTGTACTGGATGTGGGCAGGACTCCAGAGGCACGGGTAGGCTTTGTAGATCTCAATAAACTTCACCGTTCGAGGATCCCGACGAAAAAAGGAAGGATGGAACTAAAGTACCAAGAAGGAGATTAGTTTAGCTCATTTATAATTTATTGCAGTACCTTGTATGTGGGCGCAGATTTTTCATTTGCTTCCTCCACAGTTGGCACATTAGGTTCTTCCTCCTGGTCATATTCCTCGTGATCAGAAGGATCCGTAGAGATAAACTCCTCTGTCGCGTAAATCGACGAGTCGATTGGCTCTATTTTGAATTCAATATTGGCTTCCTCGGGTGATTCTGCTTCCTTTGCCTGTACCTCCGTCTCCCTAGATTCCAATTCAACTACGTCTTCTAATATTTCAGACCCTTCATCCACAATTTTTGTCATCTCGTCTTTAATGATCATCTCGTCTTTAATGATCCAGACTTTGCTGTGCACATTCCGGATGTGCAACACAAACTCCTGCCACTGGGCCAACTCCACGTCCGTGGGACACTGGGAGCAGCGCATCAGGAACTTCTCGTAGTCCCCGCTTACGCAAATAAGGCCACATGTTTCCATTTTAATTTAAAGGCAAGAATAAAAGGCGTTTGTTTATGTCCGGTCCAATTGGGGTCCATTGGTGTAGTCAGAAATAGTTGTTGAGGGGGCTGTAAGGGTGTCAGCGATAACTAAAATTAAACTTCTCTACCGAAATATAACATTTATGTTTATGTTAATTAAAATTAATTCATATACGTGGAGTTTATTTATGGATTAAATATAAAACAGACACAAATTTTAAAATCAACCTTTTATATCTAAGCCGGTGGAATATACGTTATATTGAATTATCGATAGCGCGCCGCAGTTATCGATTGGTTTTGTTTATATTTCGCTGCCAGCTGACAGGCGGTAAATTTTGGTGTTGTGGTTAATTTGGTGGAGCGCGGAACTTTCGATGCAAACTGGAAGATGGAACAGCACAAGAGTCGGCTGGTTTACACCATCGGCATGCTCACCCTGTTCCTCTGCGGTGCCATACTCTTCCTGATCGGCTTTTTTCCTGCCTCTTACTCCTTTGCGGAGGACCAGAGCACCGTGCCTGATGACCAGCCCACCACTTTGCACGGCGTGAAGTTAGTAGCAGAGCTGATAGTTGTGTGAGATAAGGCTCTGATAGCGCTCATTACCCTTTGCAGACTTACGCCACCGCCACCTGCCTACGATTCCTTCATACTGTTCCTGATCGATGCGCTGCGTGAAGATTTTCCCGATGCCACGTCTATGCCGGTGGCTTATTCCAGGGCCTGTGAAAAGCTCACCCTTCATGTGGACATACCGACGGTGACTATGCCACGCCTGAAGAGTATCACCACCGGCACTCTGTCCAACTTCATCGACATCGTCCTGAATGTGGGACATTCGGAGCAGCTTCAGGACTCCCTGTTGCACCGCCTAAATCAACGGAATAAGGTTGCTACCTTCGCCGGTGACCACACCTGGTTGCGCCTATTTCCCAGCAAGTTCACGCGTCATGCCGAGAACCAAGACTCCTTTTATGTAAACGATTTCTATGAGGGCGATAGAAATGTGACCAAAACTATGGAATCGGAGCTGGAGCAGAGTGACTGGTCTTTGCTGATTCTACACTATCTGGGGCTTGACCACATTGGTCATGTTGAGGGCAACGCGAGTCCTAGGGTGCCCCTTAAGCTTAAAGAAATGGATGAGGCGGTGCAAAAGATATTAGATCACAAGGTGACTTAAACGATAGTAAATAACTTAACACTAAAAGAATTTAAGAATATTTTTTTTTTGTAGAACTTTCCTAACTATTTCCTTATGATGACTGGGGATCATGGCATGGCTGATGGCGGAGGACATGGCGGCAACACCCCAGCCGAAACGCTGGTGCCCCTATATCTGTATTCAAACAACTGCAGCAAGGCCACGTAAACCCTTTAAACTTATCTTGGAAACATCTTCATCGTTATTTAATAAATGCGTTTTAGATCCGGCACAAAGCGCTATAACCAAATTGACTTGGCGCCCACTCTCTCGGTGCTGATGTCCGTTGAGATACCAACTCTCTCCATTGGCTGCCTGATCCCAGAGATGCTGCAGTCATTGTCATTGGAACACCAGCTGTACGCCTACTTCTATAACGCGCACCATTTGCTCAACAAGGCGCGAGTGAAGTTTGGCCACGACAGGGTCCATCGGAGTGGTAAGACTGATCCTCCAGTACTTAATTTTATAAGCTAATATTTTATAATCCTACAGACTACTACACCTGGTATCAGAATGCAACCTTGCTGCACAAAAAGCTGCTGGATACTTCCAAAGATAGTGGTGGAGGTGGAGCTAGCCATGTGTACCAAGTACAAGCAAAGCTCAATTACATGCGGGTGGCTCGGGAAATTTCCGGGCTGCTCTCTGAATCCCTGGTGAAGTTTGACTACGGATTTATAACCCTGGGACTAGCTTTAACCACAGCGGTGAGTTTTTCAAGTAGCAAAAAGGAATAGCAATAATACAGTGAGCCTGATCTTTCAGGCATCCCTTCATATTGTAATCAGCGTGTTGTACTTGGATCTCACCGAACAACTCCAGCTGGACAGCTTAAAAGCAGGACAACTGTTAGTCTCTGTGGTTGCGGCCGTCCTATTGAACGTGTCTAGTCATGCACTGGATATTATCCTGACCAGTTCCTTGCTCCAGAGCATTCTGCTAATTGTGCCCATAGCCATAGCTGTTTATCTATCAATCGATGTGGCGCAGGCGCTGCTTAGGATTGCATTGCCTCCGCTCTACACACGTCGCCTGAAGATATCCATTCCGTTGCCAATACCTTTGCTAGCTTGCTTTGTTATTCGCACATTAACTCTAGGATCCTCCTCGTTCATTGAGTTCGAGTACAAGACCTGGTATTACCTGGGTAATACGCTCATTCTGCTGACAGCCTTTCGAACGCTGCGACGGCGGATCACCAAAACCAATGTAGAACTGGATGGGCGGCATCTGTACACCATTGCATCGACGTGTCTATGGCAGATGCGGAAAGTGTTCGTGATGCTCATGCTGCTCACACTGATGCGCTACATACACAGGCTGCAGGCCATCAGGAGCACCATCATGATATTCTCACTACTGTTGCTCTGGGCGCGCCTTCATCGTCACAGTCAGCTGCCACAGTCAGTGGCCAGCGGAGCAGCTTTGTGCATGGTTTACTGCTTTCGCGGACTTAACGGCCAGGTGCATTTCTTCGATGTGCCTCCTTACATTGCGTAGGTTTAAATTGACATACATAAAATCAATCTTAACTGATCACTTTTTCAATTCGCAGCGCAAAACTCATGGTGCCCACATTGGTGGTATTCTGGTGCTGCCTGGCATTGGTTCTAGTGTTGGGTTATCGTGCGGCGCTGCCTCAAACGCAAAGCTTCGGTGATCTGCCGCCCAAGAGTGTGTTGCTGCAGTTGCTCCAGACGAACCTCACCAGCTCCCTGCTGCTAGTTGCACTTTTGCAGAAGGTGCAAAATATTTTACTGTTGCCCATGCTCCTCGTGGCCCTGCAGCAAACCTATAAGCTGTGCGATGTTTTCGGTACTAGTGCCCGCAAGTTTTCTGTGCGGTTGGTGCACGTGTACAAGATCATAATGACCATATTCCTGGCCAGGATGTTCTTCTTCTTCCAGGGGAACTCGAACAGCTTGTCCACCATCGACCTGACACCTGGTTACATAGGTCAAACTAGTTACAACCCAGTTATTGTGGGCCTCTTCGTCACCCTCAACACTTTTAGTGCTGAGATTCATGCATTCCTTTATTTAGTTGTCCATACGCTGCGCTCGGATCTGCGTAGTGTTGGCATTATGCAGCTGCAGCCGCCGTACTCTATTGCCGCGGATTCACTGATAGCTCCGCTATATGCCGCGCTGATCATGCTGCCTGCGGCCTTCTACCTCTGCCTGATGGTCGGCTTTCGCTATCACCTCTTTATCTATTCCGTCTTTTCCCCAAAAGTACTTTACGACTGTTACACTGTGCTGGTGTTCTATTTAGTATTTTTAGTAACAAGTTTGTACTTTAAATTGTTTAAACATGACGCTTAAATAAGAATTAATTTAAAAACGCTTAATCTATTACAATGTTGTGGATAATTAACTAATAAGTAATTGTAAGTATAAATGGGTCAAAATGAAATTTGATAGTTCTGGCAATCTTCAGTTGAGTGTTATAAAATAAGTTCAAAACAGTAAAAATGTTGGAGGTATTGACTAAGATTTCTGCATTCCCTTGTTTTTAATACTCTGTCAGTTGGACACCTCTCCCACGCGAAGGGCATAGTGAATGTCATCGGTGCTAACGTTAAGCAAGATTTTCTGGAAGAGATCATTGCGTGAGTGTTCGCTGATGATGAGTCGCTCGGCGCCGAGCTTAGCACATAAGCGAAGAGCACGTCCTGGCGGGGGAAAGGTCACGCCCATAAAGGCAGCGATGGTCTCCATCTGAATGTAGACACCCATGAAGGTCGTTTCCTCAACTCCGGTGCGTGTAACCTCCGCTGCGACAGCCTGCAGAAAGATCTGCTCCAGCCGCGAACAGTTTTTGATGGCCTGCACCTTTGCACTGGCTATCATCTCGGCCAATGCCTGTTGCACATGCAGCATTGTCACGCATTTTACTAAAGCGGTATCGGCGATTTCTGTGGCTCGCCGGCAAATGTCAAGGGCTCGACGAGCGTCACCCGAGACGGCGGCCACCTTGCGGGCCACCAATTGCACGGCCTCGCCCTTAAATGCCTCCGATCCTCCCAAACGCGCGGTGACGATCTCCTGTAGCTGCTTGTGGCTGTACGGCTGGAAAGTGAGTCGGGTGAGTCCAAGACGAGAAGTGACTTTGCCTGAAATGAGATTTATACTTAGAGAATCGTTTTTTTTTCATTCTAGTTTGGGTGGCAAGACTTACCCATTAATAGGCGCTCAGGTAAATCCATAGTGTTGGCAATGGTAACCACCACTAGTTTGGCCGCTGACTTCGTGGGCCAGTCCAGCAGGTTGTAGACCACATCCTGGCGCCGGTTGCACAAGATATCCAGCTCATCAACCAGAAGCACAGTGGTGACTCTACGCGGTGCCGGAGTTGTGAAGCGCTTTTCCAGCAAGGAGTGTGCTTGCTCCCAGGACACTGTCTTGCCCGTGAGCTGTTTGTAGATCTGAACATAAGCCTGGCGCGGCTCCGTTAGCCGCATGCCATTAATCTCCAGAAACTCGAAGGCGGGCAGCTCATTCTGATTGGCCAGGCGCTGCAGGGTGCGTATGACTCCGGTCACAGTGGCCGTTTTGCCAGTGCCCGGAACTCCGGACACATACATGCAGCCACCGCACTGGTCCTGGATCTTTCCCTCCAAAAAGGAGTAAATATTCTCAAATTCCCGTTCGCGGCAGGGCAGACTTTTGGGAACCACTGAAACGTGAAGCTGTTCGCGTGCCAGTTGCAATTGCGATTTGCTGGAGTCCTTTGCCGGATGATCGGTGCGCTGCTGCATGCTAGGACTTAGCTCGCCTGCCCTGATCTTTTTCATCTTCTGCGAGGGCGTCATCGGGGCAGCCGTTGCGATTCTTGTCACTTTGTTGGGAGTCGTCGCTGCTTTGGTCGTGGCGCTGGAACGGCGCGATCGTGTAGGTGTCTTTTGAACGGTCTTCTTTGGCGAGTAATCCTCGTCCTCATCTTGGATAGTTTTCTTGGTACGCCCCCTTTTTGGAGTGGATATAATTTCATCATCCTTGAACACGCGCTGTTCCACAATGTTGGACAGATGAATACTACGCCTGGGCGTGCCCTCGGCTAAAATAATCAAACGAAAATGTTTTTAATTTAGTACCCTTGATCAGATTAGCAGATAATATCTTCCACTTACCCAATCGACTGGTGGTTGACTTCAGAATGCTCTTACGCCTTGTCGAAGGCGTCACATCGGGACCAACAGCTGAATCCAGCAGCTCCTTGGACTTCTTGGTGGGCGTGTGGTAAATATCGCCATTGGTCACACCCAATCGCTTGCGTCCCTGGGTATTGGTTGCTTCTGCGGGCTCATCAAGCGACAGGGGATCTTCATCCATTGAGGCGAGGCGCACTGAACGCCTTCTCTCCGAAATGCGCAGCTTGATCTTCATGTCGTTGGATGGCGTCTTGGGATCGGGCGTCTGCTGTACAATCGAGTAGTTTAGGCAGTCTGAGTCGGCTGTGGTGTCCGCTCCGCGATCCAAGCTGAGATTAAGGTTGCGCCTTGCTGCCGAAGCCCGGGATTTGGGCGTCTCCACCTTGGCATTCTTCTCGGTGAGCGGTGAGGCCGGCAGATAGTTGGCATTGATCTCGGGAGCCGCCTTCTTCTTCTCCGAAAGCCGCACCACACTGCGACCGCCCACGATCTTAATGGGCGACACTTTGTTTTCGCAGTTGAAGTAGCTGACATCAATGAACTCCACTGAACTCGCAGCAGCCACAGAGGCGCGACGCCGCTTTTCCTGCGTGCCAGCATCGGCATCCTTGCGCGCTGAGTTTGATCGCTTGGATTCTTTGTGAGCTGTTAGGGATTTGCGGGACGAACGAGGTTTGTCCTCCGGCTGCTCCAGGTGAATTTCCAAGGGAATCAAGCGATAGGTCCGCTTCACCTTGACGAACCTATACCGGCTGACAAACATTGGAATGGCCGTGGACTTTAGTTTGGTGGATTGGCGCTTGATGATCTCCTGCGCGGAGGACTGCGAAGTGCCCTCCAGCACGATGCACTTGCGGTAGATGGCGGCGAGGGCCACGTCGTTGTCGTACGGCCGATGCTCCTCGATCACCTCCAGGTTGAAGTCAATGGCCACGTTGTCGTCGTCGAATTTGTTGTGCGGAATGGCCTTTGGCCAGGAGTACCACTGGACAATGGCGCGGGAGGTTTCGCGATTGGTCAGTTCGCGCAGCTCGTACATGTACAGGATCTGGGCCACGTCGCACCCACCCACTGTGTCCGGCTCGGCTGCATCCGCATTGGACACCAATATGAAATCGCCCACCGTCAAAGTCAGCGGACCATAGATGCACTTCTGGTAGAAGTAGACGTTCTTGTGTTCGAGATTCTTCACTGGCTGCAGTACGTTTTGGCCTCCGATCCACTTCACCTGCTGGCCCACACTGAGCGCGTTCTCTTTGTTAACCATTGCTCTGCCAATTCGTTATCTGTTTAGTTAACAATTCGCTAACGTCAGCAATTAATTAATTAGGTTCCTGTTCTACTTTGTGGCATTTACGTCTTGCTCTTCTTCTTCATTGATCAGCTTGCCGCGGTTTACGGTTTTTGGCGCGATTCTGCTAACGGCATTTTTCAACACTGCGTAGTGGAACTGCCAACCGATTTTCTTTGGGACAACAAGGTTGCCATATGTTTGCAATTTGAATGGTTTGCTTAAAAAAGCCGTTTTTCGTTTCATAAAAAAAGCTTTACATGATTTATTTAACTCAGAAAATATTGCGATTCATGTGCGGTAAATATTTTTTATATAAACATGCCCTGCGTAGGCATCACTAGACTCTGCATATATTATGCCAACTTTTAAGCCCTTATAGTTCCCGAGAAATGAAATCCTGATCAAGACTACATATGTATAATTTATAAAGTCAAAAAGTATTTATGTCTGCTAAATTGTAATATATAATATAAAAAACGTTCTGATCTTTGAATCTCACTCTTGCGATAGATGGTTAAAATTCCACTCATTCTGCCAAACAAAAATCCAGCAAAGGCAGATGCGATTTACCTAGATCAGACCCGATGCATTGATAGTTTATGGTTTTTATTTGTGAATAAGAGTAGAGAGTATAATGTTGGGTACGTAATGAGTACAAACATCAAGCAATTGAATCAAACATTTTGCATCGCATGCATAACAATTTTGTATATAGTATGTATAACATTTATTTTGTAATCCGCTTCTGCTTGGGGTCTTTTACGTAATCGAAAATCATAGAAGAAGCATGTCCGGATCTCGATTCCGGCTAATATGGTGATGTTATGTGTGACTTTGCAAAAGTAAAATCATGGGTTTGGGTTTGCTTACAAATAAAATAAATCACAATCTATATGTACATAATACTAAAATTGCTTAAAATGCTAAATCAATGAAATGAGGAGGTCGTCTGCAGTCCAAAAATTAAGGTTACAAAACAATGTCCGGCTACAAAATAAGCACAATTTTGAATCCGCTTCGAGAGTGTTGCAGGTTGCAGTGTTTTGTCGGGTGTTTTTCTGAATACATCTAACAGATATCCATATTGAATGAGTTAATGCCTTGATGGGGAGCCATCACATCTCCGTCTCTCCCCCGTCCGCTCCTCCAGATTGCCTACTCTATGTCGTGGAAGCGGAGGATGGCGCGTCCGGGGATCTCGGAGTTGCACAGCTTTGCGATGACCTCGGCGGCCTGTTCGCAGGGGAACACTGAGTGCGGTGGCGGCTCGATCTTCTTGCTGGCCACCAGCTCCACCACCTCCGCCAGTTGCTCGGCGGTGCCGTTCGAGATGGCGATGATCTCCTGCTGGTACTGCTCCGACAGCCGCGAGAACTTGGGCAGCAGCTTCTCGGCCACCTCGTCGCTGATCAGGACCACGCCGCCCTTGGACAAGCAGTGCATCGAGCGGTGCAGGCTCCTCGAGGTTGTGCCAAAGTCGATAACCACGTCCACGGCTCCACCACACACGTCCTTGGTGCGCTCGATGAGCTGTGGCTCGTACAGACATTCGTTCCACTGCACCACGCTGACACTGGGGAGAGGAGAACATATCACGATTAGATTTTCAACAGTTTAAGTATTATGTTGATTAAAAAAATATGAATAAGTTTCAAGGCACTATTTTGGATTTTTAAATAATTTTTAGTCAAAACGAAGGCTGATTTAAGTTACTTCTTATTTAAGCAGTGCGCAAGCAGTGGAAACTGATGATAAAAAGGTCTCTGCTTTTTCTTTTGTAAGGTCATTCATAAAACTACGTTTATATTTAAATTTGTTTATTTTGAAAGCTGGATAGAAGACTTCTTACAATTCAGATTAATTGAGCAAAATTTTAAAAATTTTAAAAAAGGATTTAAAGAAAAAGGTTGGTTCACTGGTAAGTAAATTAGTTTAAATCTTTTAATGACAGATTATTCAAGATTCAATATCATATTTTCTTTTAATAGTGGTTCTAATTCTATATTCTGAATGCGAAAAGAGATGTGCCTATTTGATAAAGCTTATTTGCTTTTATTTTGAACAATTTTTTAAATTGCCTGACGGGTTCTCCTACTCACTTTTTGATCTCCGTGGCCAGGCGGAAGCCCTCGTCCCTGAGACTGGCCACTGTGATGTCCACGTTGTCGGCTCCAGACGTGGCAAAGTGATAGGACGCAATGCGCACGGCCCAGAGCGCCAGTCCCCCGGTGCCCACGATGAGGATCTTGGGCTTCCGCTTCGGCTCTGTGGCAGCCCGCTGGCTGAGGATTTGTGTGACCACCGCCTGGGCCTTGAAGACGGCGTTCCAGGCTAGAAGGGCGCCCGTCGGCAGCATGGCAGCCACCTCCATGGGCAGACTGTCGGGGATCGGCACCACGTGCTTCAGATCCGGCACCACGAGCAGCTCGGCATAGCCGGCTGGAGTCTCATCGAATGGATAAACGATTACGCGCTGCCCAATGCGCAGACCACGGTTGTTGGCCTCCGTGATCTCTGAACCCAGGGACTCGATCACGCCGGCCACTTCGAAGCCGGGGAAGAAGGATCCCTCCCGGATGCCCTGGTGTGCGGGCGAGGAGATCGAGTTCACTGACGGACAGTAGTCGCTCAGCTCCGACGACACTGACGACATGCTGGTTATGGAGTTGGCCCGATCGCGACGACGGTAGCAGGCTCCGGCGCACACAATTCTGATCCTGGCGCCCATTGCTGGCGTATCCTCGATGGGCACGAAGAAGTTGAAGACGCAGTTCTTGGCACCCGGGCCGGGCGACTCAATTGACACTTGGCGGCACAGCTTGTTCATGTTGTGCGGATTGTGGTGATCGGGATCCGTCGGCGGCAGAGCGGAAGTCAGGGACAGTGAGTTCAACGACAACGAGGTATCTGTTGTTCCGCTGCAATCACACAAAGGAATGGATAATATATACATTAGAGATGTTCTATTTCTTTGACTAAAAATACTTCTGAATATATGTATATATGATGGTCATTAAACTTTCCTTGCCTTGCTTTCCAAATGTATATTATAAGTTCGCTATGCATTTTTAATATTTATTAATTACTTGCACCTTAGTTTCTGGTTGGTGCCTGCCACTAATTAAATTCAGTTTTTGAAACACCAAAATGATAGATATAATATGAAAAGATACATTTGTCATCTTTCAAAATTTGTATTTTTCGATACAATAATTCATTAATAAGAACCAATCTTTCTATTATTTGAATTCTAAAAGTTTTAAGACATTAGTGGTCAAAATCAAATTCTAATATCTCCCACTCTTTTTATTGTGTACCATTGTTCCATTACGCACAAAAAAAATGAACTGATACATATGTACATAGGTACAAAATACATATTTATTACATATCCGAGGTCGTGTTGTATACTTCTCAATAGTTTCAATGCCACAACATGATATGCGAGTTCTATTACGTATTCTCGTTCTGCTTTTCCTATATACAAACACTTTAAACGATAATCTTGATTTTCATTGCCAGCAACAACTCAGCATTTTCCATATAAATATTATTATTGTAGCATGTAATTAGAGTGTGGGGAGTGCGCTTATTAAGTACACACATATCTGAAAGGTTAAGTGGCAGGTTTCGTCAAATACAGAAATAAGCTCCGATTTATTGACAATTTGACACAGCAATCGCCATATGATACGGATCCCTTCACTTCAATGAGGTGACAAAGGCCTCAATTAACAGATAACTAGTATCGCTGGGATCGAACATTAGATTTGGTTAATATACGAGCAATGCTGGCAATTTATGGGTCATAAAGTTACTAGATAAAATGAGTGGGCCAATATCGATATTAGTCTGGACTAGCGTCTGGCGTTTCAATTAGTGCATATTGCAAACTGATAAGAAATGGTGACGAAAGCAGCGGAAAACCGTATCCAAAGTTCATTTCACTTGTCCTTTCACAATTTTAATTGAATTGAACGCCAATGCACCAATAAAGACCAATCGGACTTTATTCACAGCAAAGATTGGCAATTAAATAAAACATTTTATACAATAACAGGAAAACTATATTTTTTGTTTAATAAAATGTTCAAAATATGATGAGTAATTTATTTACTCTTACCGTATGAATGGTACTTAAATTGACAGAATGAAAATTTTACTCATTTAAGGGTAAATATTTAATCTGCTTTTTAAAATTCAGCTTTCAGCAATAGCTATTAATTTTTTTTTATTTGAAAACAATTTAGTTATGTTTATTTAGAAATAATTGTAAGAAAACTTAAGCCAAAAAATTTATGCATCCTATAATTTAAAAATATTTTCTTTCACCTTGAACGATATTATACTTAGGGGTAAACACTTTAAAGAGTCAACCGTAATTGGAAAACTCTATTACTAGAATGAAAAAACTCAATCAGCTTCAATTAATAGTTTACCTTATTGAACTGAGCAAATTGTGTTGTTGACTGCATATATCGACCGGCATTTTGCTGTCCTTCGTTACTCTTTTTTTTTGTTTCTCTTTACTTTTCTTCTTTTTATATGGTTTTTTTGTAATGCACTGATGGTAAACTGGTTAACACTTTTACTTGTGAATTGGCTAGATTTTTCTCTTAGCTGCACTCGCTTTGGCTGAATTTGTTCACGTCTTGACCAGCGCACTTCCAAAGAACATCTGAAAAGTTTTCAGTCGATGCGCCAGCTAAAAAGCAAAAAAGCCGGTGACGAAATGGAACGAGTGGAACTCTCACACAGCCACACGCACCCAGCACGCCCAGTGGCGTACTAAAAAGGGATTTCCATTTTGAAAATAGCCACAGAAACATTTTAACTGTTCATTAATCTTATTTTAAATATGTTCTTTTAAAAGATTAAAGTTTTAAGCATCTTGGTAAGAGATTGAAACAAATATTAGAAGGGTGTCTTTGTTAAACTATTCATTAGTCTTGAAAATTTAATTTTTAATATCTGTATTTCGCCTGATTTTGTATTGAATATCAAAAGATACTGTTTCTAAAAAAACAAATGAGATATTAAATGTGTCCTAAAATCAAAGACCCCCTAGAAAAATAATTCCCACACCACTGGGTGCCCACATACACAGCACGCAGGGAATGCGTGAAACATTTGAAATGAGTTTATTCATTTGCTTGTACTGCATGGCCGTATTCGCATCTATAGAAATGCATTTCAATATTTTGTGAATTCAGAACATTTCATATTTATTTATAGCCCGCTATTAGGCTTACAGTACTGGAAAAAAAACAATAAAACAAATTTGATTTACACACAACAGTAATTTCCAATGCCGTAACAACAAACATAAAATCAAATAACAAACTTGAAAGGCAATTATTGCAAATCACAATTTATCAACGTTGTTATTGGCTAATTTTGAAGTCGCTGTTATCCTTCTACAAAACCCAATATTCTGCCAGTGTATAAGAACGAGATTGTTGTTTATCTTTTGTTTACACATTCGAATTAACATGGAGGACGCAGTATTTGAGAGAAAAACAAACTCACCAAAAGCAGTGGCAATCATAACAATTTAATAAAGAACAACAAATGCATTAGGCCAACGCGTGCGATAGATTTATGGCCAAAACAAAGTTCAGGAGCTGGTCGAAAACCCCCTCTAAGAACGGTTCGTTGCCAGGCGGCCGCCAAATATGTTTATAGAAATTTCGATGACAAAATGTTTTTTTTAACGATGCTGTGGGGGAGAATGGGAGGATGCCCCATTAGTCACGTCGGTTTTTCGACGGGTGGCAACAGATGATCACCATCCAACTGATAATTTTCAATTGAAAAGACAGAATATTGATTTGTCCCAGTGGAAAATATTGAATTATGTACATATTTACAATATGTAATTAAAATGCACTGTGTGTCCCCGATTCGAAAGCAAAATAAACAAACAACTTATGGCACTCGCCATTTGTACATATGTGTCTACATATGTACATAAAATCAAATGTAGATACATAGACAGGATAAATTCTTTTAAGCGAACACTCTTGAAGTTCTTATTTTACTTTGTATGAATGCAGTTTTGCGGATTGAACTTTAAGACATGTTATTTGTTTAAAAAGTTAGGGGTTCAGAAGTTTAACTATTACGATATAAAGGGACCAAAGAAAAAAAGATACTTCTATAATTAACATTTTTTTGTATTTTATCACACATTTTTGTATACAAAAAATGTCCTATATTTTTTTAAGCCATGCAAAAATATGGTTTTTTATTATTAATGTTTTACTGTACTATTGCAGTTAGTGCATGAAACAGTGTGTATAATGTATCTATGTATCTCTATCTCTATCTGTTTGCGATTGCTTGTTGTTTGTGTTTATGGAGCGACGAACGGTGGATGTTTGTATGGTAATGACATGGCAAAAAGGGGCAGCGGGAGGAAGAGGATGGGAGCAAGCAGAAACAAAACCAAAGTCATGAACACGTGCTAGCTGCATGATAATCACGCACTGGCTGAGTGGCATTGCAAGAAAGAGAGAGAGAGAGAGAGAGAGAGTGAAATAGCGAGTGCCAGCTGACGCTCTCTTTTTTTGCCACCCTTGTTTTGTTTTCTTCTTCCTCTCTCTCACTCTCTCTTTGGAGTAACAAATGCATAAAATGGAACGCAGAGATACATAGATACATCTTCTTTGTGCGTACCACTTTGTTGTTGTTCTTTGTTTGGCCACACACAACAACAAAGCGTAAATAAAGCGATATAAATACATCTTACATTTACGCAGTTACATTTTACACATTCGCATCCTGACATTTTCAAAAATTTCTCTCATATTTTTGGGTTCAACCAACAGCCTTAATCATACACTAAGAAAAATTAATTACGATAGGTTTTTATTTATTTGATATTATTGAAAAAAGGGATTAAGTTTTGTAACCTTCCTAAGTTTAATTTCATATATCAACAATAAAAACGTACACAATGTAGAAATATATTAAAATTTTTCGTTAATTTGGTACGGTTCATAACTAACTATAAAAATATCAAAAATATTTTACATCCCAATATCACAATACCTGTCAACATGCTTTCAATATTAAGAAGATTTTAATGTAACTTGGTTTTTTCGATATTATTTACTTAACTATTTTAAAAAGATTGAATAATCATAGTTTAAATGAACATTGAATTGTAGTAAAATTGTTTGCCTTTACAAAATTAAATAAGAGTACCCGTTAATTATAAAATAATGTATACAAAAGTTATTGGAACATCTGGTCGAAGGCAAAAGCGAAAGTGCCATTAAAATTCGATAAGCAAAATTGGCATAAGCTATAATTAAAAACAATATGTCTTCAATTAAAGACTGCGACCCGACTCTTTGCCAATTAAAATCTGTCGCCCAAAGATATGTACTTATGTATGTACATATATCCTATATCTTATACGTACATATGTACATGTATCCGCCGATCTCCTCATTGCGATCAAAAGATCAGTACACGGACAAAATATATACTGAATTATTTATTTATTTATTTGTTATTGCCGTGGCGCTCCGCTTAAATTGAAAACATTTGTTGGTCAATTCTAGTCAATTGTATTTAATGACGGAATCAATCAAGTTTAATGATGGATTGGCAATGCAAATTTTGTGGGGTTGTCGCGCCAAAAAATGTGGACCGCTGTCGTTTTCCCCATCCCATTCCGGATTGGAAAATGTCACCAATTATGCAGCAATGAGACATAAAATTTTATTGCAACTGCTGCCGGCTAACCGGAGTGAACTCTGTGTGAAAAATATCGTGCTATTTTTAGTCCCTATGTGTGAATCCGATTAAATCGAGATCTGAGATTCTGACTTTGTTTTTCTTATTTTCTTCATGTTTTCAGCCACACATGTGTGGTACTAATTTACAATCCCTGATTGGGTTTTAATGGGGTTAAATGTTTGTACATATATATTAACTGAAGCGTGTTGCGGTAAATATAACTTTAAAAAAAACACGCCACACCCAGAAGTTAGTATATACGATTTTCATGTAGGACGATTATGGCAAGTCATCAATCAAATTTGTACTACCCTAACTTTAAAAGAAAATTTTCGAAAAAACAGCATTGTAATGAATGCAGAAAACATTGTTTGTTGGTAGTCCATGTAAAAAGCTCTATTGGTGCTATGATATGATTCTTACCAAAGACCTTGGTAACAGGTATCCCTGGTTGGTATTAAGTGTTTTCCCCAAGTGAAATCTCCAGGTGCTGATAAGTTAAGTGGTATACGATACGGGAGCCTACTTTTTGATACTTGCGAAGACACAAACAATCTCAATGATTTACAGGCCACTCGACTGAGTTTTGGATTGGCCCCCATAAGAGTTGTTTACACTCGGGGGTTCTAACGCACTTCTTGGATTCAGGTCCAAGGGCTTGGAAATGGAAAAATCTTTCAACCCAAAATTTGCGTGTATATGCTCCATTTATATCCGATGGCTCGAATTACGCACCAAAATCAGAAAGGTGCACACAAAGGCAGCCGGAAAGAAAAGGCTCTCTACCCCAGAAAGGAAGTTGTACCCAAGAAAATGGCAACCTGCACGTATACCAGGATGCCAATTGCGTAATATAGATTTGTTCACAACTTACCCTTGTAAAAAAGTTAAAAGCGTCGTGTCAAAAACACTCCGGCAGTCACTTATCAAAATATGTTTAGTTTATTGTTAACTTTAATAGTCGTTATTCAAAACGCCTGGACAGCGCTGTAACTTGGTTAAAATTTTTTGCGATGCCTGTCGACTATTTTTATTTGAGGAGCACCGCAGCCGCACGGCGTACAGCAGGATACGTTTGACTTTGAAGTCTCCTTTGCCGAGTCTGAAATAAAGGCAGGGTTTAAGTGTAAATACAAGATCTGAGTCTGCGCAGTCTTTGTTGATACGAAGAGCAACTTTCTCTGTTACTGCGGAACTGGTTCGTTTGGGCAGCGCTGTATTTTATATATTAAATTGTGTATGGAAACCATGTTACCTCCCGTTTTTTTAAAAAACCGTTTAAGTAATTTGGCATTTTATAACACTTATCACACCCAAAAGTATGCAATGCTTCTAAAAATGTTTATATCGATAGACAAATAGTAGGTCTCCACTATAAGAATTAGAGCGACGCATTACGCCACGTTATTTCGTTATTTCAAAATAAGCTATTTCGCCTACAAATTACATTAACATTTACGGTTGAAATCGGCTTTTTTAATATCTCGTTTAATATAAAAAAGCTAATATTGTTTAATTTGAACAAATATTCTCAAAAAATAATTTATATATATCGGGAACTAGGTGGCTTGTGATATTTAAATTTTAATAAGTACTATTAAGAGAAAGGTAATTTTTTGAGAGTTTATTTCTATTCCATAAGAACATAATTCCTGATAATTCGTGAAACGAATAATTATACCAAACACTATATAAGTTGTATAACTGCGCTTTGAGAAGTACATTTTTGTTGTACTCTTTTGGCAACTTAATATTTTTTAAATTGATGAAAACAACACTTTTGGAATATAGTCCCTGTTTCCAGTAAGCATTGTATATACTTTAATAGAAGTCACTTTTGTGAAAATGTGTAATTTAATCTTTTGCTAACAATATGCAATGTTCAGCCGCAAACGGGGTTTTCTTTCTAGTGGAAACACCCTAAAAGGTGACCATCCCATCTTCCGCCCCGCCAGTGTGACCGCTAATCAGCGCATTGGTGTGACCATACCGCCGGGGAGACAGAGTGCGAGGCTGGACAGCTAATTGTTTCCGTGCCACAAAATCAAACGCGCAGTAGAAATCAACAAGTGATCACCATGTCGGGCGAAGAAACGAAGACTTTCACGCGGGCCGAGGTCGCCAAGCACAACACAAACAAGGACACCTGGCTGCTCATTCACAACAACATCTACGACGTCACCGCCTTCCTGAACGAGGTGAGAGCCACTTGGAACACGTCGGAATTGGGTGCCCCCGCCCACAAATGCGGGTCATCGGTGAAATTATGTGTTATCTGGGTTTGTTGGGCCCAGCCCCGAACACACGTAGACGTAGACACATGTGCCTAGTTTCCGTGCGTGTGAAATGAACAGCCCGGCAATTAGACCTGTACTTTGACCCCTGGGCAGCATTTGACCTGCGTCCGGATTTCGTAGACTCGCCGAGTCGTCGAAACTTCCAGCAGCCACTTTCGCCTATCGCAACTCCAAACTTTTGAAAGAGCTCCACATGGCGAAACTATCGATTTGCATACATATGTGTGCGCTAGGGGGTCAGATGTTAAGCGAAATCCGCGTCTGCATTTGCATCTCATTTGATTTATGGACTTGGATTTGAATTTGGATTCTTATGCAAGTGCACCGACTACTGCCGGCTCCGAAAAAATGACTTGCCCTGACGCAGTAATAGGGTGTTCAGCATACACATGCTATCTGTAGGATCGACTGCTCTTAAAAGATAAGCTGTGTGAAAATTCCATTCTAACGATGACGTTGCAGTTTGGGTACCTCAAAATAACAATAGTGAGGGTGACCAAGCGGTTCATTTCTAATTCCGTTCCATTCCAAAGTATTACTCTCCTATCGCCTGAAGCGATCCAGTCCATGTTTTAAACATGCACCTAATCTGCTTTGCTGCGTCCTCTTTGTTTTTAGAATATGTATAATGCAATCTTGCCGATCTGGCCTTTCCGGACAAATAGGCAATTAGACTTTCAGATTTTAAGGTGTATCTTGGATCTCCAGAATTCAAAAATAAACATAACCCTGCCCTAATACACGGGGGATTAGGATTATTAAAAAAGTATGCTACAATGAATTTTTTGTAAACCCCCCACCACCAAATTCTGACACACAAATCTAATGAATATTATTGAATTAAAAATTAAAACTATTTCACGATTCCCTAGACAAACATTAAATGCAATTCAGTATGATCAGGCAATCATAGAAACTATGGTGAAAATGTATATTTTATCATTTAATCGTTATCAAAATTAAAACAACTGACTAGGTAATCATTAAACGAGTGATTAATAGTGAAATAAAAACATGTCAGTGAGTCTATATGAAAACAGTTGTAATGTGTTTTTGTGGGAAAATATTAGCTGCGATTCCAAAGGACTAGGTAATCGTTTAAAAATGTCATAGCTTATCATTTAGACGTCATTATGAAAACATTTAATTAACTTGTTTGACTTTGATGATAATTACATCAAACTTGACTTACGACTGTTAAATTTGACTTAGAGCAATAGTACAAAGTTTATTCAATATGACTTTTGTACCCTCTAGAAAAACTCCAAAGCTCTAATTTAATGTCCCTGTACTTTTAAATGAAATTAATGACGATATGGAGCAGATATTCCAAACTCTAACAAAAGCTAGTAAAGCCAGATACTATCCTCAAAGCTACTACCAAATATTTAGACTTTTAAAAAACGTGACGTAAATTAATGGTAGGATTTCCATATAGCTTCCGTATAAACGGATGTTACGAAATAGTATTCCAGACTGGCACCCTATCTGGATCTCCTTCGCTTGCTTAAATTCAGGGTCAGACGTACATTAGCATTTCTTTAAAAGAAACGAGCAGTGATTTATGCGAATATTTATCTCTTTTTTTCGCTTCTTCACAGCATCCCGGAGGCGAGGAGGTGCTCATCGAGCAGGCCGGCAAGGATGCCACAGAGAGCTTCGAGGATGTTGGCCACAGCAACGATGCCCGCGACATGATGAAGAAGTACAAAATTGGAGAGCTGGTGGAGAGCGAAAGGACCAGCGTGGCCCAGAAGTCGGAACCCACATGGAGCACGGATCAGCAGAACGAGGAGAGCTCGGTGAAGTCGTGGCTGGTGCCCCTGGTGCTGTGCCTGGTGGCCACGCTCTTCTACAAGTTCTTCTTTGGCGGTGCCAAGCAGTAGTAGACCCTCAATGCCCAGCAGAGACTTTCCAGCCCGCTCCGGAGACTCTTAGATTATCCACGAAAGCTCAAAAGTCACAGGAGGATTAGGAAATGGAGCGGGTCAGCGGAGCGGGAGCGTTTTTATAGTAAATTTGTGCTAAGTTTTAAAGTTAATTTTGGCATTTGGCATTTTTGTACACCCTCTACACATGTAATTTCTTCAGAGGACGGTCTAGTGTTATGTTTCCCATTGATATTTCAACATTTGAGGCACAAAACGACAACAAAACGTTTTAATTCACTTGTATGTACATTAAACATATTTCCAAATGAAAAGAAACCCGTCCAAATTGTTTTGTTCCGTCAGTTCGTTGGCATTAATATTGTCTCCCCATACAGATAGTCAAAATTTTGCGTGTATCGCAGGGGGTAACCATTCGGCAATAGCAATTGCAAACACCATGGCCAAAATCCTCCAAATGGCGGTGATGCTGGGCAGCTCCAAGCTGGGCCACGGCTCCTTCGGATTCGACGAAAGGCAAACGGACTCGGCGCCGGTGCCGCAGATGAAGCGGGAACTGCCCACGCGCCAGATGTGCCTAGAGGCCTTCAAGCGCACCCAGTACGACATCCTTATCGTTGGCGGCGGTGCCGTGGGTTCCGGCTGTGCCCTGGATGCCGCCACACGAGGCTTGAAGACGGCTCTCGTCGAGGCGAATGACTTTGGCAGCGGAACCTCTTCCAAGTCGAGTAAACTCCTGCACGGTGGCTTAAGGGATCTGGAGCAAGCTATCTCGCGGCTGGATGTGGCGGCATTCCGGAGGGTTCGCTGCTCCCTGCAAGAGCGAAGTCACATTGGAAATCTGGCGCCGCATCTCAGCCAGCCGGTGCCCATCCTGCTGCCCGTCCACCACTGGTGGGAGGCTCCGCTCTACTATCTGAAGCTAAAGATCTATCACCTGATGGCGCCAAAAGGCACCAAGAGCTTCCAGTACCTCAGTGCTGACGAGGCGTTGGAGGTGTTCCCCATGCTGCGACCCCGGGAACTTTTCGGCGCCTTCGTCTTCTACGAGGGTCAGCATGACGATGCCAGGATGTGCCTCTCGGTGGCTCTGACGGCGGCTCGCTACGGAGCGGACATCTGTAACCACATGAAGGTCTTGAGGCTGATCAAGGGCAAGGATGGCAATGTGGCGGGCGCAGAGGCGGTGGACCAGTTGACGGGCAAGAAATACAGCATCCGGGCGAAGGTGGTGGTCAATGCCACTGGCCACATGAGCGACAGCCTGCGTCAGATGGAGGATTCGGAGGCCAAGCCGCTCTGCACGCGCAGCTGGTCGTCGATCATCGTCCTGCCGCGCTTCTACTGTCCAGAGGAGGTGGGAGTCTTCGATCCGCACACGCCCAACGGGCGATCCATCTTCTTTCTCCCATGGCAGGGTCACACGCTGGTGGGATCCGGCGACGAACCAGGCAATCTGCCGGGCCAAGAGTCCCAGCCCACGGAATCGGATGTCCAGTCTCTGTTGGATGGCGTCAAGCACTTCGTGTCGCCCAATTTTGATGTGCGGAGGTGCGATGTGCTGGCCGTTTGGGGTGGCTTCAAGCCCCTGCCCGTGCAATCCGACTCTCTGCATCACACTCGGCTCAAGAACCATGTCATCCAACTGGGACCCAGGAACATGCTGTCTATTGTGGGAGGCACCTGGTCCTCCTTTCGGGCGCTGGCCGAAAAAACCGTCAACGCAGCCATCCGTTATGGAGATCTCTCCCCGCTGCGCAATGATTCGGTGACTGCCGAGTCCTGCAAATTGGATGGAGCCAGTGGCTGGAGCCCGAAGATGTTCATCCGGCTGGTGCAGGACTTTGGCATGGAGCGGGACGTGGCCGAGCACCTGTCCAACACGTACGGATCAAACGCTTTTAAGGTGGCGGTCAATGCGCATAGCAGTGGGATGGCCTGGCCCATTGTGGGCAAGCGACTGCACTCGGAATTCCCGTACATCGAGGCGGAGGTGAAGCAGGGCGTTCGGGACTTTGCCTGCACGCTGGAGGATATGGTGGCCCGGCGGCTACGTGTCGCCTTTCTTAATGTCCAAGTGGCCGAGACAATACTGCCACAGGTGGCCAACATCATGGCCAAGGAGCTGAACTGGACGCGGGAGCAAATGAAAAAGCAGATCCGCGATACACGTGCCTTCCTTAAAACTCAGATGGGCCAACTGACCAAGGAGAACGCCTCACAGATGAACATTCCCATTAAGATGTCAGTGCGCCAGGTGCGCAAGTACGCCGGGCAGTTCAGTCAAATGGATGAGAATAAAACAGGTTACGTGTCCATCTCAGACTGCTGCAAGGTCATGAAAACTATGGGCGTGAAGGAGGTGCCCGTCGACCTGATGCACAATGTCCTGCGGGACATCGATGTCCATGCCCAGGGCAAGGTGAACCTGTACGAATTCCTGCTGCTCATGTCCGCCCTTGTGCAGGGCGACACCGAGTACCTGCGCTATGCCCGGTTGTACTTGGATCAAAAGAAGCAAATGCAGGGTAGCATTTTTCCCATCGCAATGCAAATGGAGCGGGCCGGAGGCAGCCTGTAAAGTGTTTTCTCCATTCTCACCCTCTCCTTTATAGGGATACGAAATTCGTTGAACGTCTTGACATTACACTTAGAAACCGATCCCAGCAGGGATCGCTATCTCAACTCAAATTTATTTCACGCACTTCCTGTTCACACAAACTAAGGGGGAAGAAACTTACAAACGGATGGGTATAGTGGTTGACGGGTAGTCCTACTCCTTCGGCTTTTCCTTGGGCTTGTAGGGCTTCATGAGGTTCTCGGAGAACGCCCGGATGCTTTCTGGACCTCGCACCTCCTTCTCGAGCAGCGGTAACTTGGTCACGTGGAAGTCTTCGTACAGGTCGGCGATCTGGTCCAGGTACTTCTCCTGGATTTTGAAGCGGGAGGCACACATGCTGCAGGAGTCGTGTGAGTTCTGCAGGAACAGCAGCTGGTTCACAATTATGTTGTGAACGTCGATACCGCACTTGGTCAGCTCTTGGACCAGGCGTTCTGTTTCATACAGCGAAAAGAACTCGGCAATACAGACGCAGACGAAAGTGGTTTGATCCTGTTGCGAAGGATTGGACTTAGATATTGTATGGTATGAATATACAGGCACTCACTGGATTCTTGAACTGCTCGTTGACCTGGGTGATCACTCGCAGCATGTCGTCCAGCTTCTGGGAGAGCGTGTCAGCGTTTACATCGGCCATGCCCAGCATGGAGACGAACTGTGTTAGTAGTGGCGCCACCTTCATCTTGAGCCGCAGGAGCTTGCCGAGTCCCTTCTCTACCACTTGGGGGAATGCAATCAGGCGCAGAGTGTGTCCCGTGGGCGCCGTATCGAACACCACCACCGAGAAGTTCATGCCCTTGACCAGCTTCATCACCTCAGCGTAGCTCATGGCCTCATCAATGCCGGGCAGAGCATTGATCATCTCCTGCATGACGCCCTTGCTCACGCGCAGCGCCTCGTTATCGCCTTCGAAGTATTCCTCGGGCAGCTCGTTAAGTCCAGCATTTGGGTCAATTTCCATAGCGAAAAGGTTGTCGAAACCATTGACCTGGAGGACAACACATAAATGGATTTTAATTAAAATCATTAGCACACTTAAAATCCACATTTTCAATAAGCTTTAAAGGGGATGACTAGACTTATTTATTCGACTATTTATTTGCAAAACACATTAAACTGACTTTGACCTATTCCTGAAGTTTTTATAAATGAGTGCAGCAAACGAATAGGGAATAATTGGATTAATCTATTTTATTGAAATATGACATCATCTTAGGTTAAGCTATCCCTTCAAATTTCTGGAATAGAGATCAATAAGATTAATTTATACCAACATTTTGTTGTTTAAACACATTTAAATCGTTTTGCCTCAAGTAATCCCCTAGCTTTCCGAATTTCGTGAGTTTTCCACCTACCTTTGTGGGCACCTTGGTGAACTTCTGATCGAATGCATCCGAAATGTTGTGCGCCGGATCTGTGGATATAATCAGCACCGATTCACGCACTTTCGACAGTTGAACGGCCAGGCTAGAGCTAGAAACACACAATTTACAATAAATTGGCCAAAAAGCTGACTTGTTGTTGTTTTACCTGCATGTCGTCTTGCCCACGCCGCCTTTTCCGCCCACGAATATCCACTTGAGCGAGTCCTGCTCGACAAGATTCTGCAGGCTGGGCTCCAGCGGCTCCAAATTGTCGACCATAATGCCTACTAAAGCGAGACACGTAGGAATTTAAGTAAAGTTATAATTGCAATGAATATGAATTATGGCGAGAAGTGTGGCCGTTCGTTGCAAATACGATGGAATAGCGGCAAATGTGTTATCGAAGTAAGTATCGACTTTCACAGAAAACAGCTGATCACGAGGCGGCCGAACCAGGGCTAGACATTTGATAGTTGGCGCCACATGTTAATTTGAAATAGGTTTCATTATTAGAAATAATCTTTTAATATTAAAAAGTGAGTTCAAATTGCTGGTTATAAAATAATATAATAAATTATAAAATTTAAAGTAAGTTAATCATTGCTGCTGCGTAGATATCTCAAGTTCTGCTTCTTATATCGTGCCTATTAAATGCACAAAGGCGCGCTCAGAGCGCAAGAAAATCACAATAAAATGCCGCGGATGCTTGTCCCGCCACCGCAGTTCCCCTGACCGTTCCATCACCGACTGTTAATTGTGCAAATCGCGAGCTTATCAAAACCCTAGTGTCGGAGAGAAAATGCGAGCAACAAAAGAACGCAAAATCTTATATGTAGCTGCGGGCTACTAAAATTAGTTGTGAAAACACCTCCATTATTATGTTCCAGCGTTTAAAGTGTGTTTAGTACTCCGATTTTCAGTATCCGCAACTCTAACCGTAACCCCACCATCAACTTCCGTCCATTTCTAAGCGGTCTCGGCGTGTGCTGGACTCAGGCATAAATAAAGATTTGTTTTCTTATCGCGGGAATACGCATTGCATAGTACTACTTATCCGAAGAGAGGCCTTATTTTGTTCATTATTCTGCAAACATGAAGGAAGTTTCTGTAAGTCAATCCAAAATCCATAAAAAAAAATAAAATAAACGTTTCTATCTTTATGTTTCTAAGTGTTACAATTAATGTATAAACAAAGAAAAAAAACTTCAGCAAGAAGTTTATGTAACCCAGCAGCTATTACAAAAATCATTCAACAACTAATAGTTTTAGTGGCATTTAAATTATGTCGGTGGTGTCCCCTTTTACTGCGTTACAATCTTTTTTGACAAATTTTTGACAAAGTCGACTAATTGAGGCTTAAAACTGTTACTAAATACCTTTAATAGGAAAGACAAAACATTTATGTTTGCCCCGAAAGACAACATGTCGGATAAGTAATATTTTTTATTGTCTTTAAAATTATTTAATTTAAAACGTTTAGTCGGGAATAAAAACTTATTGTTAATCATGTCATAATCCATTTTAATCCATCCCTCGCACAACAAAATATATTATATAAAATATAATATTAATAAATAACGAATAATGTTATCACTATTCATCACCAAATTAAATAAATAAACAATTGCATAAACATTGCATTAATAATGGAATTTTAAATGCGGTGCAAAAGTAATAAAAAACCAAGAATTTTATGCAGATTATAGAGAATAATAGAGCACTATAAATTCGGTTATATTAAGTGCCCAGAAGTATAACGTGATAAGTGTATTAACTGGACTTATGTATTTTTAAAAGTTTATCTTGATCGTTATGGATTGAAAAATATTTTCATCACAGGTCGCACAAAAAGTATTATTTTTACCTGCAAAAGCTGCAAATTAATAACACATCAATTAAAAAGATAAACGTTGACAATCCAATTTGTAGATATTGACTTGCTGTTATCGCCAAATCGAAAAAAAAATATAAAATGGGCAAAAACACTTTTTTTTCTGTTACACAACTCTGTTGAAAACCCATTAATAACTGCTATAAAATCAACTGAAAAAGCTTTACAATAAATAGCTTGGATAAAAAAGGAGTTTTTTGCCACATACATATGTATGTAAATCCGTTTTATTTCATTGAAATGTTTCAATCATTTTGGCAGTGTGTTAAAAAGCAAAGCGATAAAGTTGTCCGCATGATTTATGTATTGGCCCAGTCCTGGGTTTTCGAGATCCGCTTTTTGCAATTCTGTGCATACGTGCGTTTGTTGGCTCATGAAATATGAGCGCATTAAATTTTATTATATTGTTTGGGCCATTCTCGGCTTTGGTTCAAAGCACACACACACAAACGAAAGGACGGCAAACAAGCGGAAAGTTCAAAGTCAAACAATAACACTTTCCATAAACAAAAACCCAACTCACACGCGTACACAGCCAATTTGCTTGAAATCAGCGATGGCAACGTTTCAGTTACCGTTACCTGAGCTCCACCCACCGCCTTTTCCCGTTATTTCCCATATGAAACTTTCAACGAGAAACTTTGAACTGTGATGGAAAAGAGGAAGAGGAGTCATCTGTGGTTTCTGCATCGGATTTCATGAATTCGTTGTTTAATTGAAAACTTATTTGGCACAGATTTGTTGTCACAAAATGTCTGTGACCCTTGACATGTTTCTAAAACAAATATAAATTTTAGAAAATTAAAAGTTGTTTTTTATAAATAGAAAAATTAATATTAAGGACAAAAAATTGGGAAATATATAACCAGTGAATAAAATATATAAGAGACCCAAATTACGGTAAGCCAATATGAGGAGATCTTTGACCACATCAAAACATATAATAAGGAGCATAGCACCTTCCCTACGAGTAACGGGTATAATGATAATTTAATTAAGAATTTGGGTTCAACTTATTTATGAAAATCAGCATCGCATAAACGCAGTATTTGTGTTTTTGGCTCTGGACAAAAACAAACAAACAAACAATGGGGCACTCGCGCCTCACGTTTAATAAATGTTCCTGTCTGCGTTTTGTTTTGGGGGCCATTTTCCCTTTCTCTTCTCCCGTCGCCTGGTCGAGCTTAGCTTTTTTATTCGTCGTCCTTCGAGTCCTTCGAGTGCGCACTTTATCAAAGCTTAGCACCTGACAATTTGCCGCGCGACATGCGGCCATCTGCCCTCCTTGTCTGGCGAATCGTAATGAAAAAGTACTTTGTCTCAGCACTCCTCGCATTCGTTGTTGCCTCCGGCATTTTCCATTTGCTGCAGCTCGCTGCCTTTGAGCAACTAATTAAATGAAATCCGATTAGTGCGGCGTGGAAAGTGGAAAGTTTCAGAGTCCTTATGGCATTTCTCGCTGCCGTCGGCAACTTGCTGCACTCTCAATATGCCAGCAGTCCAAAATATTCTAAGGCGAGGGGTGAAAGTGCCTTGAGATTGTCTACAAAACTATACAATAGAAGCATTATAAAACCATAATTTTAATTAATTTTGCCATCAAGCCTTAAGCTGGTACTATTTCTCATTCACTTTTTAGCAAGACTGCAATTTATAAATTAATATTGAGCTTGGGTGTATTTTGAACACTAGAGTGATAAAAAAATAGTTTTTTGATGACACAAAATAAATTTTTAACTACTTTAGTTTTGAGAATATAGTTTTAGGTATAAAAGCAAAAAAGGTCTTAAAGAAAATTATAACAGGAAAGAAAATTATAAACTAAGCTTTATCATAAGATTAACATTTTTTTTCGAAAATGTTCTGTTTAAAATAATTAAATGTTAAATGTAAAGTTGAGCAATATTTAAGGAGTAGTTCGGTTCTGCTAGTATTTAATCCCAGCCTAGTATTTCGAAGACAAAGGCTCCTAGTTCCCTAAATCTCTACGTCGCTCACATTGATTTGGGACTTTTCCCTGCGCAGGACTCCAGTGTGATTAACCATCTGGGATTTTCCAAGGGGTCACAGTGTTTGTTTAGACTAAAACTTAATGGGCAACCTGTAATGAAAGCTTTAATTAAACAACGGCATTGTGGGCACACCCATTTCGAGGGCCACTTGAGGGGTATTTTTCGTGGAAAAGGCCCTTATTAACGCCACGCCAAGCTGCCACTCAGGCGATGGGTGGTAGGTGGCATGCAACAGGCGGCAATGCCAACGGAGTTTTCCGAGCTTCGCTGTCAGCACGTCACTCAGTTTTCCCCTTGCAGAATGCGAGCTGTGACTCAACGGGATTTCTGCATAGATTTCCACCAAAAGCGACACTACATTGTGGAATTTCGATTAGTGGCTGCCCTTGCCTGTCGCTTCTGGCCGTGACTTCAAATTGGGTCTTAGCCGTTGAGCAGTGCACTTCGTGGACCTCGTCGCTCTAGTTGCAGCATATTCGCAGGGATTTCGCGGTGAGTCTGCTGTGACTAGGCCACAACTTGATAAATTGATCATAGATGAGAAAAGGAAAAGCTGGTGAATGCTGTCAGGCTGATGATGAATCTGCTGCTGCACTAACTAACATATTTAAATCGACAATAAACTCATTAAAGGAAGTTTAGTTTTTAGTGCAGTTAAACTATCTAATTTTGAAAATTAGCTCTAATTTAGAAAAAAATTTATTTATTTTTGAGTTTCGGTTATCGAGGACTATTTTTTTTTTTCAAATTTGTATTAAGAATGGTGTAAGGAAAAGTTAAATAAATTGGTTAACCAGAACTCGAGATAAAAATAAAATAGACCTAAAACAAGGGAAAAACGTCAAAAAAAAAGATATTGTAATATTCTAAATCAGGAAGAGCAACGTAATAAAAAAATAAAACTTTGTTTTTAGAGTATATATTTGATTTAATTTTGTAAGCTATTGTAATTAGTGCATTAGCCCATTGTGTACACTAGTGCAGAATACATTTTTGGTATAAACTTATTCCGTGAAGATATAGGCACTTACGTAGGACGGCCACATGTTTGCCCATACAACCAACGTGGCGGATGAGTAATATTTTCTTAACTTTGTTAATATTTTTAAAAGTTTCAATTTTTTTCACTTTTAGTAGGGAGTAATTGCCTTAATTCATTTTTAATTAAAGTCAGAAAATTATCCTTATCACAACAAAGTTTCACAGGCTATACTTAAAAGGAAATTTAATGTTAAGTATAAACAAAAGGAATAATATCGGGAGGAAAGTTATATCAAAAAGCAAACAAAAATATTTAAACACGTTTCGTTAGCAATTGAACATACAAATGTTTAAGGATAAACTGCCTTGATGACTTGAATATCAACAATAATATATCCATTTAATATTTAATAAAGATTTTTATAGATTAAAAAGTAAAAGATTGGTTTAAATCTTTTCAAGCATTGAAAAAGTAGTACTACTATAGTTTCTCACAATGAGGATGTCGACAGACACTATTGCAGGCAACACAAGTTTTTGCATTTATCTCCTTTTAAGGGCGAACATTTCAAATGCACCTGTTAACCGTTGGCTAAATTTATGACTTCCTCACTTGTTGTTGCGTTGTCCTTTGGCTTTTGTTTTTGCTCAGCTGTGATTGCGATAAGGGATGGGAACAAAGAGAGCAAGAGAAAGAGGGTGTAAAAGCGCCTTAAATAAAATCAACAGCACACGAATGCAATCACAAATACCAACTCCACCAACAAATACAAATGCAAGGCAACAACGACCACGAATATAAATGGCACATAAAGCGCATTATGCAAGCAGAGGGGGGATGGGGATCCCTTGGCCGGGTGTCAACCCCTTACCCCCTCGACCAAGCTGAGCGGGTGTGCAAGGTGGTGAAAAAGCAAGTTGTAAGCCGGCAAATGGCTTTCACTTTTCATAGGCATCTAAAGTGTGGTGAGCTTGGTGAGAAACAACTAGCTCTGCACTCTTTTTTGATTTAAGAGACAATCCAAAACTTTTAGAAAATGTTTTCAAAATGAACAGTTTTTTAAATATAATTTTAAACATTCTGCCACATTGTTATTGGCAAGACTTTTATGTATATTGCTTATACGCAGTGTTGTCGGTGCTAAAACATGTTAAGGATTAGTGAGGGAGAGAAAACTATAATATAACGACTCGTCAAAATATATACATATGTACCTACATATGTATCTTATAGGTTGTGTTATTATTTTTGAAATCATTGACATGAATTCTTTAATAAATTTCCAGAATAAATTATAATCAAGATTAGAAATATACAAATTATTGACTTATACTCAGAAACAGCTTTTTTTTAAATTCAATTTTAGATATTTAATGTGAGTACATTACCTTTTCAAAATGAACACAGGTTACAACGTCGTATGAGTAATTTTTTACAGAAAACTGGTAATTAGACTCTTGTAAAACAGTTTTACCAATCCTATTGTAACGCCACAATTTTTTCTATAAACCATCTTGAACTTGCTGGTTGCCTTGGAAATTTAGCCTCAGGTTTAGCTTAAAGCGCTCTCTTCCCGCCGGCAAACTCACCACTCGCAAAGAGAGAGCGAATCAAAAAGAGCGCGCCCGTGTCTGTGGAAATTGTAATTGAAATTCCAGCGCCGCCGATTCGGCGCCTGCAGTGCGTAGGCGGTTGTCGTTGACTGACGTCGTGGCCAACAGCACGTGCTAACCGAGGCGGCGCGTGCAGCAAAAACAGCAGCAGCAGTAGCAAAAACAGCACCAGCTGTGCTGTCCAGCAACAACAACACCAGACGGAGAGCAGCCATAGCAAAAACAACAACACATACAACACCAGTTTTACTATCGCAACAACAAAGGCTTTGGGCTAGGCATACAGAAGAGCACGAGGGGAAAGTAAAATATAGTGGGGAGAGAATTTAAGTGAAATTCAAACGGATAAAGACGAGGAAGGAGCAAGACAATACATCAATGCAGGATAACTGTTATAGTATGTGAAAGAGTGTGAGCAAGAGAGAAGAAGAGTGAGTGAGTGTGAGAATGCGACAATAAATTAGCCATAAATCTGCACCTTGTTATTTGCACCTAAATCGAAAGTGGATTATATATTTTAATAATAATACTCGAGAGAAGCCCAGAACAACCATCAAGTAATCAAAGTAAATCAAAGTTCATTTACCAACACAAAAACGTATACGTAAATTCTATTTACGCAAAGAATACTCAACAACAAGGGGTGCAAATAAGTAAAAGAAGAAGAGCATACCCATAAGTAGGCAACAGAAGAATTAGAAGCAGCAAGCAGCGCAAACAGGATACTTAAAATATCAAGGCAAATACACACCCACACACACAAACATACACTCCGAAGGAGGTTCATATTTTTGGCTAAAAAAACCACCGCACGAAATAAATATAAAGTAAACCCAACAACGCAGAGGTGTATGGCCCAAAGGCAAGGCAAACAAACAGAGCCGAAAAAAGAAACGGAAAAGCGAACCAGAAAGATGCCAAAATGCTGGACAGAGATTGATGCTGGCTGCCGACGAACAGCAACAACAACAACAGCTGCAATAACAATAATAAGGCCAAGAAAAACGACGAACAACAACAACAGTGACAACCGCCAAATGTGAGCAGACAAGCGACACCAATTGAGATATGTAAGTAACGCATACATACACTTGTTCATATATGAGACAGTCGAGCTCCCATTATGGCAAACACCATTTTTGTTGTAAGAAAATTCTTTAAATTTAATAGCTATAACCAAATTAATTATATGGTTTTTAAGATTGTATGTAATTAAAATTGATTATAAAACAACGGAACTCTAAATAAGCGTTAAAATAATAAACAACTGTTGGTTTTAAAAAATCATTGAATACATTTCATTAAAATTGTTTTTGTGACTTTAAAAAAAATAAGATTTTTATAGACATCGAAAATTGTATATTATTATTTTGTATAACATGCTTATCTTTATTCTTATCTATATTAAACAAATAAGATCTTAAGCTTCGGCTCGGATTAAAAATAATACAATTTATAATTTAACATTATATATTCTACTGCAGATCGTTCTTAGTAGTATACTGCAGTATAAGAAACGATTGAGAAAAAGATTCAAAATATTTCCCTCTGCATTGATATAAAAAGCGGTTAAAGTTCTGAAATATAAAAGAAAATGTTAGGAAACAAAAACATCATTCATGACGATTACGAAAAAAGAGTTCGATTTATAGAAGTCTTCCTGTAAAGTTACTGACAATCGAGTTTGAGCCAAAAGCTTTATGCATATTTTTACAGCATTAAAGTGTGAAATGATGTGTTAGCGCATTATTTGACTTAGCCAGGAAAAATGCTAAGCTTCCCAGAGAGAGAATGAGGGAGAAATGGAGAGCAAGAGACAGCGGAAGACAAAGAGAAAGCAGGACAAAGAGTGAGATGAGAGAATGAATTTGTTGAACCTTAGGCCCAGGCAGAGTTGAAGTGGAAAACAAACAGGGCAACAAGGCAGATACACACACAGTCACACTAGCATACCTATGTCGAGTTTGAACGCACACACACAGCCTACAAGGAATCACACTTAAACGCCACGCTGTTCACTACCCAAGTTGTATCAACTTGTGCTGTCCCGAGAACCTCGGCCATTCGCGCAGCATTCGAACTCAATTTGGAAGAACCAAATAAATACCAACACACTCGCGCGCACACGGGACAAAAATCGATGGGACGAAAAAGAATGGTGAAAAAACGGTCAGAAGCAAATACAACAATTTCCCTTTTAAGCCTAAGCCGACCCTAACACATATTTTTTGTTGAAAAAAATCTAAATGTTAGTATACGGCGATTCGATTGGGGGCCCAGAAAACTAGGCAACACTTAGTCGAAGACTCGAATCAACAATTTCCCCATAAAGTCCGCTTATCGCTAATGAGAATTCAATTAGCATCGTCTGGACCGACCCCAAAACAAAAAGCGAAATAAACCAAACCAGTCCAGACAGTCAATTTCGGGGTTCAGGGAACGCTGCAAATTGCATTTAAATGAGCTGAACGATATTTGAAAAAGTCTGATTAAGTTGGTCTTCATCAAGCTGTCAATAAACAATTTTAGAATTTTATACTGTTGAAGTTGTTGTTGGAGTGGTCAAAAAAAATTGATTGAAATTAAATAATCGTATTTTGCAATGCAATAATTTTTATCATATTATTAATAAGTTTGTAAAATAAAATAAAGAAATATTAATAAACAAAAACACTTTTAACTTTTTCAAGTTTTTTTCATTTGTATTCATTTTTGCTTTCTATAAAAGCGTACCACCAATACAAAGTTAGGCAACGAAAAATAAACCAAACAACTTAAGCATATAAATTCAAATAGCAAATTGCCTTCCCTACACGTTTAAGACTTAATCTTATACATTTTGAAAATTAAAATTGCTCAATTAGTGCTCCTTTGAACCAGCTTGGACCTAAATCAATATGTGAATATTTAGTCTACGACCTATGCCAAAGGTAAATGACTAAAGAATTAACAAAGACATTGCCCTGGTAGCCAAAATGCCCCGGACAAAGAGAGCGGGTCTAAAAATCACTTCGATCTAATGAAATAGATAAATTGCTGGCTTCGACTACGATTTTAATGAATCGGATTCCGAGGCAACAGTCTGAGCAAATTAAATTTAAAATGGGCGGTGGGAGGGTTTTATTTAAAGTCTGTTAACTGCGTATTGTGCTCCCATCAAAGGACATCTTCTTATATCAGCTGCAGTTTGGGATCGTGTGTGTCCTTGAGAAATGAACTCAGCCACTTCCCACTATAAGGTTTCACTTGAATGTCAACTGATTGCAATTGAAGGCAAGTTGGTTCTCAGTACTCTATATATGTGGAGGTTGTCTGCCAGAGAAACACTCATAAATTACCACCCACAAGCGGGCGGCGGGGGTGTCCAAGTACGAAAATCAATTTCCGTTCAAACCGTCGACAATGCAGACAGTGAGACAACAACCCGGTTAGCTGGAATCGAAAGGGGGGCTTCGATGTGTGTGAGCCAGGATGGGGTGTTCTTTTTTCTGTTTCATTCGATTTCTCGTTCCGTCTGCTAATAACTATGGTCTGCATATGACCGCACCTGTGTAGCTGCTCCACTGCTCCACTGTACCATTGCTCCATAGCTCAGCTGTCTGCCGTTAACGGTTTGATGCACACCATATACTAACCAACCTCTCTTTGCACTGAACAAAAATCAGACAATAAAGTCCTCCCAAATAAAAATGAGTGCCACACATTTCAGCAAGATTACACACAATTAGGTAGGTACAGTATAATTAAAGCATATTTGATATAGGATCATAACATTTAATCCGACCAACAATATTGTTAAATGCGTATAAATACAGCCTCAAACAAGATGTTACCATTTTAACCGTTTGCAAGTAACAAAAATGTAAAACTAATAAATAAAAATAAAAATATCGTGAACAAATATTGCATAATTACAACTCACATTTGAGCTTGAGGTTTTTTTTTGGAATTTATAACTTAAAAATTTAATGGGTGGATATATATATATCCGAACTTTTTTTAAAATGTGACTTTATCACTTACGACTGGTATTTACACCATTGAAGCAAAAATAGACTGTGTCAAAAAGAGCCTACAATTGTTTTTAAATTTGTATAAAATAAGCTATATATGTTTTTTTTTCCTGCCTGGAAACAAATACAAACGTTCGGTTTGACTTCCGCTTGCGTGGTTCCATCTACTTGCACACACATTGCCAGAGCCGCTGACTGAAAGACAGGCAGCCATCAGTGCTCGGCCAGGCATCATAAGCCGCACCACATCGCATGGCGCCACACAGGCAGCGTCCACCCGCCCAGCCACCACCCACTCAGGACATCGCGGACAGCGCCACGTGCGCCCATTGGGATGTCAGAAACAAAGCGCCAACACCGCCGCATTGACTAATGAAAGTGGGGCTTGCGACCCAGCTCCAGACCAGACTGGGGCAACAGAAACGGGGCAAAACCGGGCCTTCCATCCATTCCCATCCTTGATCGGGACGTAAATTGACAAAGAGGACAATGGCGTTGACGATGACAGTAAATCCTGTTCGTACAATGTATCCGTACACAAATACTCGCACAGTGAATTGAGCGAACGCATCCAGTAAATTGCTCATACTCGCCATTGTTATCGCCTGTGTGCCGGTGGTGGCATCTTCAATCCTGATTGACTGACTAACTGAATGGCACACTAACTGACAATCTAACTGACAGAATATGTACAATATCTAATCTATGCATTTGTGTCTATGATTTCTTCGGAGTTTTTGTAGCTCAATTTGTATCTAATCGCTGAGAAGTCCTTAAATGCTATTTAGTAATTTGTGTCAACTTTTAATAAATTATTTAAAAAAACAACTTCGTCGTAATATTTTTGATAATTAAGAATGTACAGAAATGTTGCACAATAAATTGTAATATTTCTATACTTTCCTACTAAAACGAGAAAAATTTCATTAAGCTTTGAATAGAAAAAAAATAGCAAAAAGCATAATAAATTAATTTTTATTAATCCATCTTATTATTGACATAATATTTTATTTTTGGAAACTTCATATTCCAATAATTTTCGTGAGTTTTTAATAACTGACGAGGCAATGAAAGCGGGTGTAGGCAAATATATGTGACTTAACTGGTTTCAGCGTTGCAAGTGTAGAAAGAGAGATTAAAGCTGGGCAGCCCTATCCAAACAGTGGCAGGCAAACAATGGTCAACACCATTAGTTTACCATGAACTCAGCAGTGTCCGAGTTCACAGATATTAAATAAGTACCCTTTATTTTGCTCGTTTTCAGTTCATAGGAACTTTTAAATTATATTCCCTCTGTCGCTTTCCTAATTTCTAGCCCTATTGAAGTAATTCTTGGTAACTGATAAGGCATCGCAGCATGAATATATACTCGAATAGGTCGAACTAAAAACTTTGCTTTTTGCATTCTTTGTATTATTTAATACATATTATTCATTGTGCGCTAAATAAAATCATGGTTGGATACTCTTTTCTCTAAATTTATTGGAATTTTCAGCGAGCCAAAAATAGGATGCTCCTCCAGGTTGAAATTGAAGAATTCGCATTTTAGTATTTATGTTAGCTTAGAAGATTCAAAATTTGAAAAACATGTAAATTCTCTTTCTCCTTAAGAGTAATATAAAGTCTTGCCGGAAATGTTTTAGTGTGCTTCTGATAGAAAGAAAGAAGCATCCCCTGTGGTCATTGCATCCATGGTGATGATTTCTACTATATATCAGCAAATCATTTTTCTAGTTAAACAAATACATAAGCACTGGATGCATCTCATGTGGCCGATCGACTGGCGGCGGAAATGAGACGCAATGAAATGAAGGCCGAGGGATTGGACTGTGGTTCCTCGTTGTCATTGCCGATAAGTCATTGCCGATAAGACTGTAATAGTAAACAGACAGCCATCGACGATGATTGTCAGTCAACGGAACGCCCTTCGAGTGTGAGATGGAAATGAAAATCGAATAGGGCGTCGAACGGAAGTTGGAGCTCCTCCTCCAGTTTTTACTCAGAGGCTGCCTGGGGCTTCTTCAGTTCCCTTTTGGTCTTCCTCCTAGCCATTCCACTCTATTCGTTTAAAGCCATTCGCAGCACGCGCTGGCTAACACATACACACGCACGGCACACAATCGCATTATGCCGCACACCATCGCATTCCTGATTGCACAATTACCAACAATGGCACTCTTGTTCGTCGTGTGTGTGCGTTTGTGTGCCTCTAATATTTTGTTTGTTAATTGTATGGGCGTGCCTGACGCCACGCCCCCTGCCCAGCCTCTTTTTTGTTCCTGTCTGAGGAGCAACAATTCTGCAGCCAATTTCAATAAATGTATTGTGGGTGCGGGTTACGCAAACCCGGTGGAAAATTCCGAGAAGATCGGAATACACGGGAAAACCTACCATTGTAAGGTCGAAAAATAATCTTTTTTAATTTTATTTTAATAGTAAGCTGCAACCCAGTTGAACATATGTTACCCAGGCGAATACGTAATGCGGGTTTTGTTCATTCATTGCTTTTAACATTGCTAAGATGTTTATATATTTTTTATTACAAATCCAATAAAAGGGTATGCCCTGGCATTCACTTCAGCCTGTGAGCATCCTTTGAAGTCTAGCAAACTAATTGTTGTCAACTGCTCGTATACTTAATATTCCTGCATGAAAAAAAAATTGATCTAAGTTGCCAGCCGATGTAAGGGAAATGTCTTCATATCTTTGAGATGCCAGTACCACAAAAGCAACACCTGCCAGTTCTGCTTCGCTTAAAACTAATTAAATGCTCAGCCGTAATTTATGTGTGCCCCAGACAAATGAGGACGCAACCAGCAAGGGGCCATAAATTTAAATTATGCCTGGCTGAAAGTGAATACGTAATAAATAAGGCGAAGTACCTACGTGAAAAAGTGGTTGCCTGCAAATATTCTATGAGTTGCTGGAGGGGCTCACACGTTTCTTTTTCGCCTGACCAGGATGTCCTTGTAATGAAATTCCCAGGACTCTGTCTTGGCTGGAATTTGAATTTGCCTTGTGCCATTTGTATATACATGTGTATACTATACACCTAATCTGTCGTACCCAGATCATGTGGCTGATTGGTTGACGGGGACGAGTGAGAGATGTCCGCCAGACATGCAGTAATTGGCTCATGCCTTATATAACTAAGGACTCATGTGGTGTCATTTTAATGATTTCCTTTCAATTCGAGATGCCCTGTGTGTGTGGAGCACAGTGGTTTATACAAGATTGATTACGTACAACCCTCTATTTTGGATATTTAAAGGGGGAGCCAAAACTGTTGCTTAACTGATTCTACTGGAATTCATTGCGTAATGCGAGAAATTCAAGAGAAAACTGTTTCAGAGGAATGTCAGCCACAAGTCCGGGAATCTGCAGTCGTTTCATTGACTGCCAAGTTCAAATTGACTCCGATAATCCTCTGGGAAAACGTCTGAGTCCGGCAGAACAATTTCGCAATTCTTGCTAGCCCGTATTTAGCTGTTTGCTGATTAACTCGGAATGCCTTTGCCATTTTCATACGCAGAACGTTATTTATGCGCCAACTTTAAGCAAATACTTTCGAGGGACCACCAGGCGTATACTTAATAATGTTTACCAAAGCAATCAGAAGACGCTCACGGGAAAAAGCGGAGGTCTGCGCCGGATTGGAATTTCAACCTTTTTTTTTTGTGACAGGGCCGAGATTTCTGATTTGTGATTGGAATTTGAGCGGCTGACACTTGGCAAATGCGCCAACAATTTGGGTAATAACCTTAAATTCAAATGCTGTTGCCGGGACTACTTGCCGCTGGCCTTCGACTTAATACAATTTAAAAACCCCAAAGACCCGCTCCCGATTTTTCCCATCCCTGTTACTGAGTGGTTCTGCTCTTGCGTAGCAAATTTTTGTGGGCAAAGTGAAGATGGGGATCGGGACAACACAAAAGCAAACAATTTATGGTTCATATGAGTTTGGAATTGGTGTTCAGCATACAAATGCCGGGCAAATAGAATTTGTGTGTTTATCCTGTCCTTGCCACTCCCACGACCTACGAATCAGGATGGAATGTGGAGCGTGTGGGCCTTAATGGGAGTACTGTATGCATATCCATGTGCGGCTGCATATTTACTCGGTTAAACTGAGGGAAAGTTAAATATTTGATTGCTAGTACGTCTGAGTAATTACCATTATAATAAACGATAGTTATCTTATAAACAGTTCGAAAACAAGTTAGGGCTTTTTTGTTAGAATGCTAGCAGAATTTATTATTTCGTACAATTTTTTCACCGCTTCTTTTTTAAGAAATCAACAAAATACAACTGTCTAAAACCGCAGCTCTGCTCTGCAAACTTAAAAACTTTTAAACTCTGTTAATCTTTAAAAAGTTATTGGAAGGCAGCCTAAAAGAACGATTAAATTTGGTTATTATTTGTGTTTAACGTACCAAAATATTCCTAGTTTAGAATAGTGGAACTTTGGGGTATTATTTTTTGACTTAACTTAAAACATACATGGTGTATTAATAAACTTTTATAAAAGTTTGCCCGAATTTAAAACCTTAGTGTCTGCTCTGGCCAACCTGACAGATACCCCAACTGGTTAACTGCGAGCAGAGGTGATTGATCTTAATTGGGTTCGTAATTGGAACTACCCTTTGTTGACCCACAAGTACACCGTCACTTACGCTTTCGAACCCCACCTGTCCGAGTTGATTGCAGCAAACTAGTGTCAATAATCGTCCTTGACACATTGCGAACTCTGATGGCTGAACCCTGCCATCGCCCACGTGAGGCTGGTCAGTGGGCGTATCACGAGTTGATGTATGTTTTGGTTGTGCTCAGGACTCTACGCTGCTTTAATTCACCTGTTGGCCGCCGTCTCGCTCTCCCGAAACCTGATGCTCACTCGCACCCATGGAGCCGATTTAAGTAGGTCATAGTTGCACATAGTCGAATTGGGCCCATATGTTCAATAGTCACATTACCTGTAGCTCCGTGTTCATATTTAACAGTCGTTGATAGTCGCGGAAGAAGATTCGGTAAAAAAAGTGTATACAGTATATTAAGTTGGCCAATTATTTGTAAAGCATTAAGACCACCTAGTAATAAACTGTTATTTGGAAGAAGAGTCTACAAATTAACTTCATACCATGTTGCAGTAACAGGCGCGGCAAAACAATTATGAATAAATTGAACAGCAATAAATAGCCATTACATTAAGTCGGTGATGCTTATGTTGTTAAGTAATCCAAGCTAAATAATAAAACTATAAATCCAGATTGTGTAAATCATTTAGAAATTATGATATTAGTTTAAGAGTTTCAGTGCTCTAATTTATTTGAGTCCCAACGGTTTCAAATTTTCAAACTTCAAAGATTTCGGCTAAAATTTATTCTCCGTGATGGTATTATTATGGTACATTTTTCTTCTTGCAAATGTTTAGCACTGTTTTATTATAAATTTTTAATAATTCCTTTTGATTAGCTAGTTTTTACACTCAATTTTCCTGAGTTAGATAGGCTCTGTAGCCAAGTTGCTAACAATTGTGCCATCTCTGGTGCAGAATGGTTAAATTCGCTTCGAATCGGCTTTTGGCCACACAATACGAACATCAGGATCGGGACCGGGTCCAGCGGGTGTTCTTTGTGCTGTGAGCCGACTAATGACATCCATTAGACACAAAAGGCCAAATTGCTTGGCCCGATTCCGATGGCATCGATACACCATACATATAACCCGGCACACAGACACCGACTGCATTTAGTTGGACTTTTTGTGCGATCTATTGTCACGTGTACGCCTGAAAGTGAGTGAGTGTGGGCTATTGTGTAATTGATTTCGATTCCTGTGGCCAAAAGGCCCCGCAACTATTTGCATGACCGGGTTTATTAAGTTCTGTGTGGTTATTCAGTATTCCGTAAAGAGTAGTCCTCTTTTGATATGCATGGCATGCACAACGCCGGCGTAAAACAAAAAGTTGGCGGCATTCGCATGTGGATCACATATGGGCACTAATCCAATCCCATTTCCCTCTGAACTTGCAGATTGATTCCGCCAAATCACGTCGATTAGGTCATGAACGCACTCGATATGAATAAACAATTTTTGAGCGTCTCCCAGGACCATCAGCATCAGACCTCGGTGGCGGACCAGAGGAGTCGCTCAAGGTGAGGTTACTTTTCTGTCTATAAAATACACAAAGTGATAATAGGTTTTACCATTTCAGATCGGAGCGGGCCTCGAGCCTGGCGCTGCCCCTCAACTCCCTGCTGGACTTCTACGACAAGCAGCAGGAACAGTGCAAGTCGGTCACCCTGCTGCCACTGCCCAGCCACAGCAGCAACATCAGTGAGAGCAGCAACATCTCCAGTAGCAACATCTCCAGCAGCAACAGCATTGTGCGACGACACTCCTCCCACTACTATCCCATGATCGAGGACAAGCAAAAGCCGTCGCAGCTGCCCCAGGCAGCCACCGAAATGCTTGTAAGTAGGGATATCTTTTGGGGCACTTAATTGGTCCATTAATCCACACTGCCTTTTCAAAAATGGTAGACAGTTCTTATACCATTTTACGAAACCATACAGTATATATATACTTGATCACCACCGCAAACTAGTTTCTCAGTTTCAAGGCTATCTGGAGTAATCGTACCCAAAGTCCGAAAAGTAAATGAATCAAATTAAAACTTCGTTGTTTTATAACAAATAATACGATATATAATAATTTTATTTTTTATAAAGTTGTTTAAAATGTTGTGAAAATAAGACGACCTTAGCTGCCATAGAAACCATCCGAACATTGTTTTGACGTTTTATGGAATATTAAATTTAGTAATAGCTGCAATACGTTTAATAGTATTACCAAATTAAAAGTTACTGGACTTACGGTTCCCTCGGTTTTGGAAAAAAAAGTCTAGCACCTCAATTTTAAAGAAGAACTCATTATTATTTCACTTACACTTTCTACAGTTCAAGAGAAAACGACCAGTAATAATTTTTAAAACTAAATAAAACTGATGCATTTCGCAGAAATTTAAACCGTTGAGCAAGTCCAACAAGCCACAATTTTTAAAGTTTATAAGATTTTGCAGCCACCAACGATATGACTGCATATATTTTATACATTGTGGCCATTTTTTTTTGCTGACGTTGCAGAAAGGAGAGCTTTGAGTGAAGCGCAGAGAAGAGATTAGCGTCCTGGGGATTTCCGTAAAGTTTGTCTGGCTTTGCATGACTCAAAAGATCGATGCGCCATTCCGGCAGTCTGAATTCATTTTAAAGCAGGGCCTTGTCGTCAAATCCACGCAGAGTTATTTTTCCAATTTTACCTTCCGGGGCCGCGTCAGAGTTTCTGCTTTCGGCTTAGCGAGGGCTTAGTCCTGGCCCCGCCGCCATCCTCTGCAGCTGGCAGGGGCTTAAAATGCAGAATATTGCTACTGGGTAATATTGCCACAGTGGAAGATCGAAGGAGTAAACAGTACAGTAGCAATCATTTATTACAGCGATAAAGTGATGTTTTATTTGAAAAATATTGCAATAGCTTAAATTGTTTAATATACGTATTGTTTTATTTATAATTAACAACAACTTGAAGTTATGCAATTTTTTACTAATTAACCAGAAAAAAATAATGTTCTACTCGCTTATTTTATATTTCAAACCCTTTCAATGTCTTAGCTCACTAAACTTATTTTAAGTGAAATTTTATATTCTTTAAGAGGTTTTTTTGCTAGATAATTTTATTTAATTCTTGCTTTCAGTTAAAACTAATTAACTAACTAATTAAACGTTTTCAAAAACTTTTACACAAATGTTAAAATCATACTCCTTCTTATTTGACACTAGCCCTAACAAATTAAAAAGATAGCACATGGGTAATTTTTCCCTTTGATGAAGAATTAAGTTTATCATTAATGTAATTCATTTATTTCGTTCGAAAGGAGTCATTTATTTCACTCGAAATGAGTCCCCAGTTTAAAAATTCATGTTTGCTTTTATGCATTTCTTTTATACGATTTTCTACTGTAATTGCCCAGCCATATTTCTGATTCATTTTCCCTTGAATTTTCTCATTTGCCCGCTGGCAGGTAAACATGACGGAGCAGAAATATGGCCAGTCAGCAGGAGGCAGGCAGTTCCACCATCAGCAGCAGCAGCAGCACTTGGTGCGGGTGGACACGCCAGTGACGCCCCCACCGCCCATTCCACGGCGCCTGCTGCGCGGCAAGTCCCCCTGGCAGTCGTCTAGTCCCAACCCACTTCCACTTTCGGCTGGTGGACAGGAAAGCGCCCACGGCACGGGCACGGTGTTTGTTTATCCGCAACCAACAAACGTGACCGCAGAGGCAGTGGCTCGGGGATCAGGCGATGGTGGAGCCGGGCTGCAATCAGCGCTGCTTGTTGACATTGCCACACGTCCGGCGTCCGGATATGCGGATGCCGATGGGATTTCCGATGACGACCGCATGAGTCTGGAGAACTCCGTGTTCGACGAGTCGCTAACCTCCACGCCCGTCAAGGTCGCCGGCTATCTGGCCGGGCGCTACTCCGGCTTGAGCCACATGGCCAAGCGTGCGCAGCGCTCCTCCAGCAGCACCGTGGACTCCGCCTACGGCTCCTCACTGGGCGGGCACAGTGAGCGCTTCGCCAGCAGCTCGACGAGTGTGGACTTCCGCAGTCGCTTCTCCTCGGTGGACACGCAGTCTTCGCTCGACGAGAAGCCCCTGTCCAGCTCGATTGACTCACCTTTGGGCAGGGACGCCAGGGATGCGTATAGGGAGCGAGCTGTGCTCAACGATGCCATGCACAAGTTGAACAACAATAACACCAGTCTGGGATTGGCTCTTTACCAGGCCAGTAATAACAACAACAGCAGTGTCAGCAGCAGCGGAGGAGCTAATGGCTCCAAGCTACCTGTGGTACCTGCCCGCAAACAGCCACCACCTGTTAAGGGCAGCAGCAACAGCAACAACTCGATGAGCGAATCGCAGTCGCAGACCTCCAAGGAACCCAGCAGTGTCTCGGCCTCGGCATCCACTTCGTCCGCCGCCTCGGCAGGATCTAGCACGATCTCTAGCGGCACCATGTCATCCATGTCAGGGCCATGCCCAGGAGTTATGCCGTCTACCGATTTAAATACCAAACGTCCAGGGCCTCCAGAGCCACCCATACGTCAGGCCAATGTCTTTGATCTAACGGAGATGGGTTCACGAGGTCATCCGCCGCCTCCGTTGACCGTGCGGAATAAGCTGGGTCGCACTAAGCCGCCGCCAATCGCCTATCCACGCATGCAGCAGCGCCAGGACTCTACTTTGTCCAGCGACAGCTACTCAATCAGCTCCAGTCCGGGCTACAACTCCAAGCTGATGGAGGCTCCTCTGCTGGGCTCCCAGCAGGTGGGGCGCAAGTCCAATGCTCCAGGATCCGCTCAGCGGCAGACTCCGCTCATGGATTTGGCTCCAACGCGCTTTTTGGGCGGCGGCGGGGGAGGAGGAAGTGGAAGGCAGGTGCCCGCAGTGCCACCGCCAAGGGGCCGAACCAACTTTCGCCAGGACTCCACCATCTCCAGCGATAGCTTCAGCCAGACGTCCAGCCCGGGGTACAACCCCAAGCTCATGGAAGCACCGTTGCTGCCCTCTTTGTCCGCCAAGCGACTGTGCAGTGGTAAGTAGAAATCCTATCAAGTCTTGAGCCATCCCTCTGACACCTCTGTATTTTTAGCACCAGCTCCGATTGTGTGCCGGCAGGGAGTGCAGCACGAACCCATTGAAGAGTTGGAGCCGCCGCAGACGATCTCGCCGCTCCACAAGACAGCTGGTGCGCCCAGCAGCCTGCAGACCATCGTGCGCTTCCAGAATGGAGCACCTCACACCATGTCCTTGCAGCATCAGGTAAAAAGAAAATGTCCTCCATAAAACACAAAGACTATATTTCATATATTACCCACAATTCCAGATTATCAACCGACGCAAGAGCTCAAACCCATACATTACCAATGGACGCTTGAAGTTCCGCCTGTTCCAGATCCTGATCAACGCCTTTGCTCTGCTGGCCATCGCCGGAGGTCTGGCTGCCTATTTCAATGCCTATCCGACGATTAAGTTCGTGAACAAGACGATCATCAACACGATCCATGTGGAGGACACCACTAGTTTCGGCAAGAATCCAGCCCCCGGCACCTGCCTGCCCATCATAGTGCGTTTTTGCCAAGGTCCCCAGATCCCCTACAACTACACCGTGTTTCCCAACTATATCGGTCACTTTGGACAGCTGGAGACGCAAACGGTAATTAAAGATAATATTTCGAAAAAAATACCAACTTACTAATTCAATTGCAGGACCTCGATTCCTACGAGGCCCTGGTGGATGTGAGATGCTACGAGCTGGTGTCCTTGTTTCTCTGCACACTTTTTGTGCCTAAGTGCGGGCAGAGTGGGTAAGTCTAATCTAGAAATCTTAAATTAGGTCCACAAAATTTGCAAAAAAATATTTAAAATATAACATTTGTAATTTTTCATGATAATCGTGTGCTTTGTTGAAACCGATAAATATTTTATTTGACATTAAAATTAAATGTAAACTATCTTAATTGTTTGGTCAAAACTAGAAATACGAACGATTTTTTTTGTAACCTTAAAAAATCGTTTTAAAACAAGGGCTCTAAATTAATATTTTCCTTGCCATTTTTATGATCCTAGTGTACATACAACACTACAAGAAACGGCCATAAGCGGCTTGGGACCATTTCGGTGTAAAATAGTCACCTTCCAAAATACAAAAGATGTTTTGAATAATGATAGTCAAATCCTCTTACAGCGCCACGGTGCCACCCTGCAAGACCCTCTGCACGGAGACGATGCGCCGCTGCGGATTCTTTTTCGATGTGTTCGGACTGAGTCTGCCCGAGTACCTGAACTGCAAGCTCTTTAAGGACTTCCCCAGCTCCGAGGACTGCGTGGGCGTAGATGAGGTGCGCGAAGTAATGCAAGCCGCCACACATCCCAAGTGCGATGGCTTCCAGTGCGACCAGAACCGCTGTCTGCCGCAGGAGTACGTGTGCGATGGTCACCTGGACTGCATGGACCAGGCGGACGAGGCCAAGTGCGATCGATGCGGTCCGGACGAGATATACTGCGGCGACAGTCAGTGTATAGGCACCAAGCACATATGCGATGGGATAATCGACTGTCCTTACGGCCAGGATGAGCGAAATTGCTGTAAGTTAAGCGTTCTTGTTTTTTGATAAGACGTAACTATTTTCCCAATCACACCCAGTGAGGCTGAGTGAGCGGAATGGCGATGTGGGCATTGGTGTTCTGGAGGTCTACCGCATCGGTCAGCGCCAGTGGATGCCTGCCTGTGTGAAGAACTGGGATCGGGCAGTCTCACCCAGCGCCGTGTGCTCCATCCTGGGCTACTCGGCCGTGAATGCCACCAACGTACTGACCCTTCGCACCCAACGCCCACTGCTGGCCTCGGTAAATGTGTCCACCGACATTTGGAAAATGTACGCCAAAAGGAAGTCCACTCTCATGCAGGAATTTGCCAACTGTAAGAAGTCGGAGGACTACCCGATGGCCGAGCTCACATGTTCCAATTATGGTGAGTAGTCCTGTAAGAGAAATCGGCATTGGTTGTTCATTACTTTATTGTTTTAGAGTGTGGCCGAGTGAAGCGGGGCAGGCACAAGCCATCCAGACGCATCATAGGAGGAACGCAAGCTAATCCCGGCAACTGGCCTTTCCTGGCCGCCATTTTGGGAGGTCCGGAGAAGATATTTTACTGCGCTGGTGTCCTAATATCGGATCAGTGGGTGCTCACAGCCTCGCATTGTGTTGGAAAGTAAGCTGTGCTTAGAAAAAATTAAAATTTTGGTTACTATTTCTCCTTTTTCCTTCACAGCTATAGTGTTATCGACCTGGAGGATTGGACTATTCAGCTTGGAGTGACGCGACGCAACTCTTTTACTTACTCGGGTCAAAAAGTCAAGGTTAAAGCTGTCATTCCCCACCCTCAATACAATATGGCAATTGCTCATGACAATGACATTGCGCTCTTTCAGGTGAGGTTGGTTTTTATCGGATGTGAAGTCAGTTTCTTACTATGTTTCCTACATTACAGCTGGCGACGCGAGTTGCCTTCCACGAGCACCTGTTGCCCGTTTGTCTGCCGCCACCGAGCGTAAGGAATCTGCATCCCGGCACCCTCTGCACCGTCATTGGTTGGGGAAAGCGGGAGGACAAGGATCGTGAGTGAAACCTACGTCTATTTGCCAAGATTGGCGGATTAAGTGTTGGCTAACCTTTCTTTTCGTTTAACCCACAGCCAAGTCCACGTACGAGTTTATAGTGAATGAGGTCCAGGTGCCCATCATTACGCGTAACCAGTGCGACGAATGGCTGGAGAACTTGACCGTTTCGGAGGGCATGGTCTGCGCTGGTTTCGATGATGGAGGCAAGGATGCATGTCAGGTGAGTAATACCAATCTTTATCCTCAGCGGATAAATAAAAAGAACCCCAAATAACAGGGTGACTCGGGTGGTCCGTTGCTGTGTCCGTATCCGGGTGAGAAGGATCGTTGGTTCGTCGGCGGCATCGTGTCCTGGGGCATTATGTGTGCCCATCCCCGGCTACCAGGTGTCTACGCGAACGTGGTACAATATGTGCCCTGGATACAGGAGCAGATCGCGAAACACACACGTCCCATTAACGAGGATCGGGTGAACAAATACGACCTACACCCAGGTGGTCCCGACATGCTGTCCAAAATAGCCACTGACCCAATGCGAAATGGTAAACCCTACTACTACACCCACTCCAGGACGTCGTCCAAAAACTAATGCTGGCTACGAAGATAGTTCTCAAGAAGAGCAAGATTCAAGTCAACAGAGCATATCCACGAAACGATTGCACAAAGTACTCAAAAAGACAGAACACATACATATATTTTGCTACTGAACTTAGGGTATTAGCCATCCGGCTAACACCGATTTGGGCAACATAATCATGTGTCAATTTGCCGAATTTATTTGTCAATTTTTTTACAAAGAGATTTCTATAAACCCAAACCGCAAGGAAATGGATAACCCAGTCAAATGGAAAAAATTAACTCAAAATGGGTACAACCAAATGTCAATACATATTCCATATGCGATTTATATATTTACACGTAAAATGAAGATAACCAATATTTACCCAATATCTAATCAAATGATAAATTGTGTCTAAATACCCCAAAACCCAGACAATAACTCGAGTTTGTAGCTGAATTTTGTGTTGAAAGGCCCCGGACGAAATTAAACATAAATTAAAAGAAAAAATAAATAATAAATTTATATATATATAAATAAATAAGAAAATTAAAAATAAAAATGTATGATTACTGAAGAAAATTCAGAAAAATATTAGAATCAAAGCTATTGAGTGTTGACAATAAAAACAGGAAATAAGAAAATCAGTGGTAGATAATGTGTAACTTTAACATCTAAAACTAAACTAAACTAAAGAAAAACAAGGAAAAATTGCTGATCTAGGGCATTTGATGTACGAAGCACTTAGCTCTTCCCCAACAAAAATCTATCCAACAATAAGAAAGTGCAGTTGAAAATAATGAGAAATGCACAATAAGCATATAAATGCAAATAGACATAAGTCATGAAAATACTAACTACAATGCGTGGGTTTCAGCTTTAAAGAACACAAAAAGAAGGGAATAAGAATGGATGGCAGACGTCAGAACAGAATAATTAGAAGGAATATACACATAGCATACGAATCGTACTATTTTTGCGGTGACTACAGAAGGTATACACGCTTCGATAGTGGATATGTCAATGTAACTTAATATTTAGAACTATTTACACGCTACTGCAACTCGTTTGTCACGCCCCGACTTAGACTGGCCGCTTTAGTCGAAGCTCAATGTAACGCCCTGCTCATCCATAGGCCTGGTGTGCAATCCAGTATGCTAACGTGCAACAAATTGTATGCTAACGTGCAACAAATTGTACAACTATTTTGCAAAAAGAAATGTAAAATACGCGTAACTAAAGACTCAAAATTGGTTGTTTCAACAAACATAATATACCATCACACTTGAGCTTCGAGACGTGTACAGCTTTTATATTGTTTTCAAGTCGGAAAAGGGTCCTAAAATCGGCCGGTATTCCCAAAGCTTGACTTTTTTACTTATCGTTTCTAGCCAAAACCTGTTTAGATACTTTGAGCTAGGGTCAGACGGTAAAATTATTTGAAAAACAATGTTGATGATGAAGAGGCATAGTCCAAAGAACATGTATGAACATTTAAAACAAATTAAGTAGTTCATGGCCCCAGAAAAGTTTGTTCAAAAAGTTTGGCCGTCTGGCCTTAGCCTAACACAAGAGATTGCAAATGTATAACCGATCACTACTAGATCTAATTGGACATATTATGCCTACATATATATATGCATGTTTTGTACAATCAGTTTACAAGTGGAAAAGTATTATTAGTCATAACGGGGGTTTAATGAAGCGCATATTACACAAGGCACACTATGTTTTAAGCGAAACATGAACACAAAAAATATGTAACTGAAATATATACAAGAAATATACATATAACGGATACATATATTCTATATATATATTGTAGTGGTAGCTATTAAGCAGATGTGATGGTGTCTAAATTTATACATGCATATTACAAAGCAAAAAGTGGAAAGCTTAGATTATACTCGAGACAAATCTGTGGGCTGTTGTAGATCGAGCATACTAACTATAATGATAGAGTATTGCGGACAGATCCAGGACAATACATACTTATAAAGATATACCCATATCATGTGAATTATGCTTACTTCGATATTGTGCATTGCATGGACGTATAACGGTGTGTTCCTGAAATCTCCAGAGGTTTTAAAACAATATGTGTCTGACTTCAGCCAATTAAGTATATCATTTAAAGTGGTAGTATCATATTACTAGAGGTTTCAGGAACCCCTCGTTTAAATATAGTTTGTGTTCGAACTCAGGCAGAGACTCCTTAGCTGTTGCCTTGGACAGTAAGCCAATCTTTCACCCTTTCAGTTTTCTGGGGTTCACGCTCCTTGTGCATTTACGATCACACGGATCATGGCGAGCTATTTTTATACACCCATGCTCCAGGCTACTATCAAAACGCTTAGCTTTATGTACATTTAGACTAAATCGAACACAACCCATATATTATATATATTGTAGATGTAATAATGCTTAGCATTGGCGAGTGGAGTGAGTGAAATAATTTACACGTGGCATGAATAGCATAATAGTTAATTACTAAGTACAATATGCATACAATCAACACGCAAATTCAGAATCACATAAGACCCATATCTCAGTTAAATTTCTGTGCTTAATGGGGATTGCCCCCTAAGGATTCGATTCAGTTCAGCATGCTCCATGTGCTTGGGAGGACACCACATAAACACAAGCCCTAAAAAACAATGAAACCAAGAACTTGTAGCGAAACGTTATGTGTAAATGTAGCAAAATCCAAAAATCAAAGACAAAAACAAGAAGCTGATTAACTAGTTGAATTTACCTGTGTCGCGAAAATAATGAAGCATAGTATATGTAACCAGAATATTATATGTAAATGTTTAAAGATGATCATTTGATGAGAAGCACTTGTTATTTATGCACAGACGGAACCTTTGTGAAGAATTTACAAGAACAAACTTTGACAATAAAAGAAAAACTGAATTTTTTCCTGTGAGCTGGACAAGCGCATTGGAGGCATTGAGAATTTATGAAAAGTTTTACATTCAGATTTTGAAGTTTTGAAGCGAATCAGAAAATATTGTTGAACATTTATTTTGGAAAACAAAAAGAGAGAATAATCATGACAATAAGGCAGACATTTGGTCAATGCCATACAATAACTGGAAAGTGCAGTATCCTATATGTAACTACATAAACTACACAGACACGTATAACCAACTAAATGCTAAAAGCAACATGTCATACAAAACATGATATATACTTACACACATATATTATATAAATGTTGGAAAATAAATGTATAAAACCATAATTATTTGTAAAGTCTTTTAATAGTTATCTTTCCCAAGTAATTCCAATTACCAGCTGTTGCAATTTTGTCAACACTGTCCCTAGCTAATAAATTCTGCGTAATGCTTTGGATCATTATGTAGGTAAATGCAAATGCAACATCACTTGAGGTAGCTCTGCACCACTTCACGCATGTCTTTCATAACCTGCCTCTGATCGCAGGCTCCCACCACGGCCGTTCCTGAGACTATCATGTTTGCTCCCGCCTTGGCACAGCACTCGATGGTCTTGGGTCCCACTCCCCCGTCCACCTCGATGTCCAGGTTCGGGTAGTTCTCGCGCAGCCACTCCACTTTCGGCATCATGTCGGCCATGAAGGATTGTCCACCAAAACCGGGCTCGACGGTCATTACTAACACAACATCGGCAATGCTTAAGTACTTCTCCAGAGCCTTTACCTATAAAGTACGACAGTAAATATAAATTAAAATTAATAAATAATAAATCTGTTACTAACTCCCTTTTATAGAGAACATAATGCTTCCATTAAACAAACCAAAATACCGAAAACTAAACTCCAACTAAGCCGAAGTTTTATATAATAATAAGTGTTTCGAATGGAAAATGTTTTAGCTGTTTACTCTTTACGGATGATTCAAATAATGGAGAGTTTACTGTGCTTCTGAGGAACAACTGTATACTAAAAGGGACCAGGAGTCTCATCACATAACCTCAACTCACCTCGGTGCCGGGCTTAATGGCCAGACCCACTCTCATGCCGGATTCCTGCACCAGGCGGCTAACCTTGCACACATCCTCCACCGGCTCGATGTGGAACGTGTAGAGATTGACACCCGCGTCGGCCATGGGCGCTATCCACTGCTCCGGGCTCTGGACCATCATGTGCGTTTCAAAGAAAGCCGTCTAAATGGGATGAAAGAGAACTTAATTGAATATCTGGCTCTAGGGACTCCAAACCCACCTTGATCTTGTTGCGCAAGCTCTTGACCATGGGATGACCGAAGGTGAGATTGGGCACAAAGGTACCGTCCATCACGTCCAGGTGCAGGTAGTCCGCCCCATTATCCAGTAGTTTCTGGGACTCCTCCGCTAGGTTGGACAGATCCGCATTGAGAATGCTGGGACCGATCTTGGCTTTGACGGACATCTTTTTGGTGGCACAGCTACAGAGCAGGCGGATCACGACGCGGTTCGCGGTCGCCGTCTTGTTGACTTAAGGTCATACAGAGGGGAGCTGGAGCTCGGAACATTTGAAAAGTGATACGATAACCTAGTGATGGCATTTCAATTTTTATAATTTTATTTACGAAATTGACAGTATCGTGCATGTTGAAGATTGGGTTGTTATTGCAATCCTTTTTAATGTTAAATCAATTTTAACTTAAAAACATAATCTTTATGGGAATTGTGCAGAAATAATTTTTATTATTTCCGCCTTATTTTACTTATTTGTTGTTAATATTTTATGATCTGATTTTTAATCTTAAATTTAGACATGTATTATGAATAATTTAAAACTAGTTAAAATATGACTTTCACTACGTTTCATATTTTATATAAACCTTTCACGGACCCATCTCTTGTCATTAAAAGATAACAGCCGCGTTCCCATGTGAATGTCCAAACAACAGGGGTACTCTTTAATAAATTCACTTTATTTAAATTTGTTCAACTTTAAGCTTAAAAAATACTTGAGTGCATGAGAATGTTTTGATGAAATTCTAAAACTGGTCTACAGTTCGTCCTTCTGGGCATGGACACCCGGGTACTCCTTATTTTCGATAGACACGCCCTTGCAGCGTTCCTGTTCGATGAGGAAATCCTTGGCCTCCCAGGCTTGAGTGCCATCCTTGAAGAGAAAGATGGCGCGGTCATCATCGACCATGTACCGCTCCGCCTGGATGTGGTTGTTCCAGAGACTGGTTTGCCACAGCTTGGTGATAGATTCGCCTTCCTCCCTGGTTGGTTTGCCGGTCACCGAGACGAAAGTCATCAGAGTGCGCCCCTTTTTGGATATCTTCAGCAGGTCCTCGGGGTTCTTGCTGTCCAAATTGGACAGATCCAGCTTGGGCTGCGGTCGAAGGTGCTCAGGGAGCTCATCCGCCTCCAGGGGCTCTTCATCCTCCTGTCAGTTAAAGATTTATTATAAGGGTTTTCATGGAAAGATTTTATCTTTAGGATTTGTTTTGATACCGCTAGGATGTTCCTATCCATTTCTCCCAGCACCGTTGGGTTCGTCCCAATCGCACTCACCTCCCATTGATCTAGTAGACGCTCCAAGTCCGCCTCGCTGTAGTCGCGAATGTCCTTCTTGGCCCACGCCGGTTTCTCCTCCTCTTTGAACTTCTTGGCCAGGACTAGCGGGGCAAGAGCGAGTAGTAGCAAAATAAGCCGTGTTTGCATTGTGTTTTTTATATTTTCTTCAGTTTGCACAGCCAAACACGTCACCTAACAACTTGCCATTCGCACGGCAACGCAGCCGCACAGCTGATCAGCGCAGTTGAGGGTCGAATGGCCAAAACAGCTGTTAGTTTCGGGCGAGCATTCAACGAAAGCGCGTCGCACGGAGTTATTTTTTGTTATTGCGTGGAAATGCCGCTGGTAAATGGGTGTAGTAAATAGAGATAAGACCGATACACACGTGTTGTGAAACGATCTAATTAGTACCTGCCGTACTTCGCCCTTTTTTCTGACTTTCCCATTTTTTGTTTGGAAAACAATGGGCCTGGTGGATAGTGCCAAAACATTTAAAATGCGTTCTCCGATGACATCATCGACATTGTGTTTTTAATTCGCTTCTCCGTTCCATCTGTTTGGTTTCTGTGCTTACATATATTTTAGAAATACTTTAAACCACTCAACGAACCCAAGAAATTTTGAAACACGGCCACAATCAATTGGAACAAACAAAAAACATTGAAGAAAAATCAATAGGAGCATCTGCTAGGACACGATGGTCTTCGAGGCGGTGGTGGCGGATGTCCTGAACAAGGTCCTCGGCGACTACATAGAGAACTTGGATCGCAACCAGCTGAAAATCGGCATTTGGGGAGGTGAGTTTCGGATCCCCCGGGAAATATGACTTAATTATGCTTCACTCACACGCAAATCCATTATATTAGTTAAGTTGCTATTGTTTATTGCTCTATCTGCACGCAAGTAGAAACAACAACAGCGATGACCTTATCCTTGGCAATTTACGATTAGTGACCTAATTCTGTCGCAGAAAACACAAACGTAAATGAGCCGTATTCGCAAGTTCGTAAGAAAACAATTTGCAAGCTCTCTCGAATTCTGGGGAGCGAAAAAAGCAAAGAGGATTATAATTGGGATGGGTGGGACAACTGTTGCATCTCGCTGTAAGATGAGGCAATTCTTGTGGTTCTCTGTTGCTCATCAGTCTTTTTGCTTATTTATCTTCTATATACAAATTTACTTATATCGTGTATCTGTGTGAAAACGTAAACAATTCTTGGGTCTTTTATCTAAAAGTACTCACATTACTTCAGCCTGCCAGTCTGTTGGCATTCCATATTTAACGCCCACAAACCATATAAGACTGTAACTCTTTTTTATAAGTCTGTAGGGTGTGAATCCCCGAGGCTGAATTTTACCACAAATTATCAAGTTTAAGAGTTTAATAATATTCAGCGATTTGAAGAAACGGGTTTGTTTGTGATTTGTGACACAGGTCGGTAGTGACAGACGTTGACAAGCCTGTTTTATTTCGGTTGAACTTGAACTTGGTGACATAATGCTTGGCCCAGCGGTTAAATTAATGTTTAGCTTCCAATATTTTTAAATTTTATTTTTTGCTTCTAAAAACCGCTTCCCAACAAATTTCCTTAACTTATTACTTATTTGGGTGGGGAGAGTGAGACATGAATAGTTAGAAAGTTGGGATGGATATATCAGCCATTATTAAAAATTATGTTATATTCATTTAATTATGCTATGAAATGAATTATGTTTATTAAACATTGACCTTAATAAGCCAATCTCAGCAAATTTTTAAATAGTTTCCTTTCTTATCGATATAAGGAATTTTAAGTTATTTTAAAATAAAGAAAGTAATTTTTCATGCCATATATTTTGTTCTAAAAAATTACTAAGAAGTGCAATAATTTGTTAAAACCTAATTTGCTGATGTAATCAATTTTAACCCCTAATGTCAATTAAGAAGTATTTATACATACATATAAAGCCTCTGTTTGTTTTTCTTTCTTCGTTATTTTATGAATCATATTTGTTTTCATTTATTAAGTTATTTTTAAAAGTTAACAATTCGACTTCTAAATACGCATTTCAAATGCCCTCGAGTCAATGACTCTTGTTGTTTATTAAGGTTATCTTGTTCAACATTTGCTTAATTAATAGAAGTGCCTGTTTTACAGTTCCGCTATCAGAGTAACTTAATATTAATACCATTGTAAAGTAGGTTGATAATCGAAAAACACTTGTAGAATTAAGTGTAATTGACCGATATAATGACGGCAAAGTCATATATTGTCTTATCAGTAGTTGCATAAGTTGTGTGGGGTGGCTTGGTCGTTAAACTATTGACCCACATGCGTAATTCAAATTTACCGTTGTACTCCTCATTTTGCATTCCAAGCATAACAAACACTTAACAACTAAAATGCCGCATGCCCAAAATGCCAGACGCTAGTAAACAATATTTGTATATTGGCGCGACTATTGCTCATTCCATTTGTATACTGAATACAGTGCTTCGTAAATACATATGTATGCATGTTGTGGCCTTCGTTATTGTTGACTCCCTTCGTAATTAATCAGTAATTAATCATTGGGCATTTGCTTCTACTGCTGCAAATGACTGATTACCGAAACTGATACGACAAATGGAATCCAATTATATCTTTGTTTGGCAGGCGATGTGGTCTTGCAGAACCTTAAGATACGGGAGAATGCGCTGGACGAGTTGGACCTGCCCGTTCAGCTTATCTATGGTTACTTAGGTGAGTGAACTCGATGACCTGTTGAACTGAATCGAAATGATTTACAGTGCACATTTGTGATTTCTAGGAAAACTGGTGCTAAAAATCCCCTGGAAGAATCTATACAGCCAACCGGTAATTGTTAACATCGAGGATCTCTATGTCCTGGTTTCGCCCAACAACAATGTGCAGTACAACGCCGAAAAGGAAGCCAAGTATGAGATGGATCTTAAGAAGGCGGCGTTGGATGCCCTGGAGGCAGCGCGAAAAAAAGAGCTGGAAAAGGGTGAGCGTCAGTTTAAATAATTTTGAATTGGAAATGAGACATTTATTCCCATATAGATCAGCCCAAGCCCGATGCTGGTTTTGCCGAGAAACTAACGGCGCAGATCGTGAATAATCTGCAGGTGCAGATAACCAACGTTCATCTGCGTTACGAGGACACCACCACAACGGGCAGTCCCTTCTCCTTCGGCATTTCGCTGCATGAGCTGGAGCTCTACACCACCGATTGTAATTGGGAGAAGTGCTATATGGCCCAACAGGCATCGCAGGTCTTCAAAATAGCGAATCTTTCCTGCCTCTCTGCCTATTTGAACTGCGGTGGGAATCTGTACGCAAACAATAAAAGCGCGCTTGCAGATCAGTTTCAGGCGAATATTGCTCGCAAGGATTCAAAGCCCAGCACTTACCACTATGGTAGGATGTTTAGATTCTATAAGCTTTGAAGGACATTTTTATTAATTTATTTGTGATTGCAGTGCTGGGCCCCATTTCATGCAATGCCAAGCTAAAGCTAAACATGAACCCTGAGTTTGATGATCCTCCCTTTGAAAAACCGAAAATTGATCTCACCCTGGAGATGGAAAGGCTGATCGTGGGTATGACCAATACACAATTCGATAATCTCATGAAGCTTGGAGATGCTATGAACCGCCAGCAGTTGGGCATTCCCTACCGGAAATATCGTCCTTACAACTTACGTAAATACTGATTATCTTATTTATTATATTTCAGTGAATCGTAAACTTTTAATTATTTTATTATAGCCTACAAAGGTCATGCCAAAGAATGGTGGCAATTTGCAATTACTTCTGTTCTAGAGGAGGATGTAAAAAAACCTCGAGAGAGCTGGACCTGGAGCTACATAAGGAATCATCGTGAACTTTGCAACACTTATGCACAGGTGGGTCTAATGATCTAAATATAGAGAAAATGGGACCTACCAAAATCATACCAAAATTTTCCACTTCAGAAATATAAGGAGCAGTGCTTGAACAAAAAGCCGTCAGCCGTGTTAACTGAAACCTGCAATTTGCTGGAAACAAAGCTGGACATATTTAACTTACTGCTGATTAGGCAGAGGGTCAACATCGAGATAGCCAAGCAGCGGGAGGCAGTGCCAGAGCAAAAACCGGGATGGTTCGGCTCCTGGGGATGGGGTGGTGGAGCTAAGAAAGAGGAACAGACCGCCGGTCAAAAGTTAGGCAAGTTATTAAGCTTTTTTCTGGAGAATCCAATCTTTCAATACTTTTTTCAGTCGAGAAGTTCGAGGCGGCAATGACGGCCGAGGAGAAAGAAAAGATGTACAGGGCAATTGGTTACCAAGAGAACGTAAAGCCTAGTGATCTGCCCGAACACTATGAGGCCATCAAGATGAACTTTAAGCTGATCGCACTAGAGGTCGGGCTTTATAAGGATGAGCGTAAAAGTTCTATAGAATCGTACGACTACCAAGCACTGCCTTCTCTGGTTCTTCTTAAATTTTCGATGGCCACGGCCTCGATCACCCAACGCCCAGCTGCCGAAGCTATAAGCATCACCGCTGGCATGAAGGAGCTCAAGGTGACGGGTCTCCAACGCAAAGACTGCACTCCCTTGTTGGTTGAGTCAAAGATTACCGACGAGTTCAACCTGCTGGACGTGTTCTTCGAGACGAATCCAATGGATAAGATGTGTGACCAAAGGGTCAAGGTGGTGGCGCGTCCACTGCAGATTATGTATGACGCTCCCACTATACTGGCCCTTATCAGCGCCTTTCAGCCGCCTGGCGACGTCACGCTCTCTAAGTTCGAAGATGCGGCCAGCATGCAAATGTCCAGCTTTAAGGAGCGCTCGGCCACCGGAATGCAGTACATGATCGATAAGAAGGCGGTCTTGGATGTGGACATTCTGCTGATGCCAAACATCCTAGTCGTGCCACATAAGGGAGTCTACGACGCAAACAACTCGTCGCTGCTGGTTGTGAGCATGGGCCAGGTGCATCTTTCTAGTCAACCTCGTAAAGAGTCGGCCAAGCTGCAGAATCTGTTCTCCGCAGGCGAGGATAAAGACGAGATCCTCAAGGGAGTGATGGAAAATGCTTACGACAGATACACAGTGCAGGTAAACGATGTGCAGATGCTGGTGGTCCGCGCTGGGGAACCGTGGCAAAGTGCGCTCCGAGAAGCAACCTCAACGGAGATGCACGTTCTGCGACCCGTCTCCCTGAAAGTAACTGCCGCACTCTGTGTAGTTGACAACGATCCCCGTTTGCCCAAGATCAAGGTGGATATTGACCTGCCAGCTTTCCTGGTCAATGTCTCAGAGGATCGCGTTTTCCTCGCCATCAGGGTGGCAACAAGCATTCCGCTGCCGGATCAACAAAATCCGGGGGCGAAGATCACGCTGTCAAACTCGCGCAGCTCAATGTCTATATCAAACTTTATTAACAAAGAAGTAAAAAAGATCGGTCCCGCTTCTTCTTCTGACCCAAGGAGCAGGGCTCCGTTGCTCGACGAGATCACGCAGTACACCAATCTGGATGTGAACTTCTCTCTGGGGGAGATATACTTCGTCTTGTTCCAGTCCAGTCCACAGAGTGAGATGAGCTCTGACGTATCCATCGAGTTCCTTACCCCTGAGGGTGAGCACCTTCCTTCACAGGTGACTATGCCAGAAACAGAGCATATCGAGCGTCCACCGCGGACGCCCCGTCATCAGATTCTCTCCATCGACATCCGACGCCTAGAGGCTCATTTTGTATCGCGAACCTACGAGTCTGTGGCCACAGTCAAGTAAGTATATTCAGAAACATTGCATTGCATTTAACTTATGCACTGTACTTTCAGGCTTGGGGAAATAAACCTCCGGCAGTATGGCTGCAATGACAGTGACTTGGAAGTTCTCGACGTTATCTATACGCCGAAAAGGGAAAATAGCTCAAACTATCTATTCACGGTCTCGTGCACCATTGCAGACAAGACATCGCCAGAGTTCAGCACCAAGTACAACTCAACGGAGCAGCTGGTTGTGGCTAACTTCGAGGTGCTTCAGATCGTGCTGCACCAGGAGTGCCTACAGCGTATCTTGGAGGTAGTGAACAATTTTCAGAGAAATCTGGATGTTGTACTCTCAACCACCCGCCCACGAGATCGGATGGGCTCTATTGGCGGTGGCGATGGTATCAAACGGACGCTTAATGTCATCCTTGAGGACACAGAGGAAATAATGACAACCAACCAGATGAAGCGCCGCAAGAAGACGCGACACAATCGCGTCGTGGAGACAGTGAAAGTCCGTGTGATTGCAAATCTAGACGAAGTTGGTCTACTGCTCACCACCCGAAGTCGGCCGTTAGCCGAGTTGAACGTAAAGAAATTCGTATCCAGTTTGATCATGAAATCATCTTACACTGAAGTTAATATTGGCCTTAAGGACATCCAGGTGTTGGACTTGAACCCTCACACCATTCATAAGAATGTAAGTGCCTCTGTCCTGGCAAAATACCGAAAATCAATATTATATTTATCCATAGATCCTGAGTATTGTTGGCAAGGACGCCTTCAACTGCCAGGTGGTCCTTTACAACAAAGAGGAGACCCTCGACTACAACTCTGATGACATGAAGATCACCGTGGATATTGGCTGCATGAAGATCATCTTTCTCAATTGGTTTGTGACAGGCGTAATGGTGAGGACTATTACCAATAAATCGGTTAATAAGCGCTAATGCACGTGATAACCTTGCAGAACTTCCTGAACAACTTTACAGAGGCCCAGGCGGCGATTTCGCAGGCTAGTGCTGCGGCGGCAGAATCCGCTCGTCAGAAGGCAATGGATGCCTACGAAACGGCCACGCGCATGAAGCTGAATGTCCGCATTAAGGCCCCTATTATCATCATACCAGTTGGCTCCACGGAATCGAATGCCCTGTCGCTCGATTTGGGTCTGCTGGAGTTGACGAACAACACGGTGGAGGTGGTAGTCGACAATGAGGAACGGCTGGCCGTCATAGACGAGATCAAGTTATGTATATGCGATGTTAAGATTTCCAAAGTGGTTATACTAGATGGCAACGAGTCGACTGTTGATGGTAAGTTCTGTCGTTGCGTCTTATTACGATTTGATCAATAATCCAAACAAATTTTTTTTTAGAATTGGACGCTGCTGTGGGCTATTTTTCTAAATTTAATATGATGAATCCAATGAGTTGCAACCTATTGGTAACCCGTAATTTATCGTACACCTGGTATAGGGATGTTCCGGAACTTAATCTTTCTGGTCGTTTAAAGTCCATAGAGGTAAGTTTTATTCAAATAGATCACAGCTAGGCTAAAATTGTATCCCCAACATATAGCTCACTCTCTTCGCTGACGATTACGCCTTGGTAATGATGATCCTAAATCACAACTTAAACGAAGGCCTGGATGAGTTCCCCCCCAGCGAAGAGGCACCCCCGAGCCAAAGCACCGATCCGAACGACGTTCCTCTCGTGTTGAACGTAATTCACGCCCTGTCATTGCTTCTCCAAAAAGAGACAAGATTCACGAATCGATGAAGTTCAACTTCCAGTTTGACGGTGTGGTCATAAATCTAATGGAGGGTAAGTAGTAAGTAAATTCCTGGTTCGGTTCACTGAGTCAACCGTTATGCCCTCAGGTGAAGACGCAGGACTCGCACGGTTTGGAATATATTTCCTTTCCGTTAAGGGCACAAAGCTGGATAATGGCACACTAAGCACTTCGGTGGTTCTGTGTAATATCCAGATGGATGATACGCGCAAGAACTCCAAAAGTCAGATCCGTCAGTACTTAAGCCGCAAGGATTGGGTTCAGCCCAAGTTGGATGCGGAAGCGATTATTGACGCCTGCTATAACGAGCGCAACTTCATGGTTGATTTGACAGCCATAATAAAGGAAGACGACACATTTGGTGAGTGTGACCTTTTTATCCATCTTGTTTCTTAACATCTCATCGATTCCATATTGTAGCTGAGATACGTGTGCGAAGCTTCGACCTGATCGTGTGCATCGACTTTCTGCTTAGACTGACATCTTTCCTTACCCTTCCGACTGAGGAGACTCCTCGCGGGTCATCACTTGTGAAGCCTTCGTTAATTGCAGAAACGGCAGAGGAGGCCAAGCACTCGATTCGCTCCTCGGCTATGTTAGCCGCCAACGAGCTTGTTCCCGTGGAGGCTACCGGTATGTATGACATGTAACTTACTTAAAAAACCCAATAATAAAGCCAGATGTTGACCCCACATCGTTCAGTACCGAACCGTAAGATGAATCTTATTCTACACATTGATGAACCAGATATAATATTGGTGGAGAACCTAGAAGATCTAAATACCAGCTGCATTATATTCAATGTGAGTCTGTTCATTTGTCTATTTCTTACTGTTGCTCATGGCTCTTCAATCTTTTTCAGGCCCAAGCTCATCTGAATTACCGCAGCATTAACGACAAACAAATCATAAACGGTCAGATTGATGCCCTTAAGATGTACATGAGCGCTTTCCTACCGGAGCGGCGAGAACTTACCCGTCACTACATCCTGCATCCGTGTGTTATTAGCCTACAAGGCTCTACGCCCGAGGAAGAAGGCTTGCACATCAGCCTAAAGCTGAGCGACATCATGGTCAACGTGTCGCCGGCCACCATTGAGCTGCTGAACAAGGCCATGGTGAGCGTCACCAGTGGTAGCATGGCAAAGTCAGCCATTGCTGAGGAGACACGTAACTATTCGACTCTGTGGCATCCACGCCATTTCCACAGCCGCACTTACTGGTTCACGAGGGTTGAGCAGGGCGTCGAAGCCATCGAGTGCGATCAAAGCAGCAGCAGCATGGAAAAGCAAAAGACGGAGAAGTGTGTGATTGAGATTCCTAGCATTACGCTCGTGATCGAGTCTGGCATTGGTTACTACACTAAGCCACTCATCTCGCTGGACGCCCGCATCACTGCCGTGTTTAACAACTGGAGTCGTAATCTCACAGCTAACGGTTCATTAACTCTTAACATGGTAAGATAATTTCGTTTAAGAAACCTCGAATAATATTTAGAATATTTAAAATATGCTCAAACTTCTTACAGAATTACTATAATCAAGCACTAGCCGAATGGGAGCCAATTATTGAGCTAAACGAGGTGGTTGGTCGCAACGGAGTCACCGAATATACCCCTTGGGAGCTTAAGTTCGAAATGGGTATGGAGAAGGTGCAGAGCGAAGTGGAAAACGATGTCGAGCAGCAGGCCATGCACATGAACATCCACTCAAAAGAAACACTCGAGATTACGTTGAGCAAGACATGTCTGGGTCTGCTGAGTGAACTGGCCGAGGCTTTCTCTCAAGCCATCGATGCTAAGGGTTTGACTAAGCCGGATATTGTGGCTCCTTTCGTGGTGGAGAACGATACTGGGTTCGATATTAATCTTAATCTCCGCAAGGGCGTCTTTACTCTGCACGAGGTGCACCGTGGTGGCACCCCGTTAGGTGTGAGTAGTACACTTCTTTTGTCTACCAATCTGGAGGAGGTTGATCCCAACCAAATAAAAACGTGCACAATTTCTTCGGGCGGTCGAGCGTACCTGCAGACCAAGGACCTGAGTACATTATCCGAGGAGGATTCCGACGACTACAGTCTTTATGTGACGGTAGGAGGAAAAGATATTCTCTTTAAAATCTGACTACTTAAAGTTGTTATCTGGCAGATTGGCGATATTGACAAGGAGATTGCACTGCCCGTGTCCAAGTCGGATACTCGTTATTTTAATCTGATGCGCAGCACTTCTCAAGAGGCATGGGGCATTGTTTCCGAAGTGAAGGAAGAGTATGGCACTACGAAAATAAATATTCACGGAGTTGTCAGTGTAAGTAATAGAATTGTGCCATTGATAAGAATTTTTCCTATTTATTCCCCATCACTTGCAGGTTCATAATCACTTTACAACAGGCATAAATATTTATCGACGCAATCCTACGCCGACAGCACAAAATTTTGAGGATATCTTCGTCGGACGTGTTCGTCCTGGCGAAGTGTTCCATGTGCCGCTGCACGCCATCTACGCGGGTTCCAAGGAGCTCTACTTCTCGATGCGCGGTTACAGAACCTCGGTGCAAGGCATTTCATGGACTACCAATCCATCAGACCTCAATTATTCACACCAGCTACATTGCGATCCGACCAAGACGTTTGAGCCGCTCATTATAAATGCGCGGCGAAATAAGTCAGAGATTTACTTTGAGAACACCACCAAGTATACGCTGCTTAGCGCCTTCTACACGATTCACCTACGCCCGCCACTCTATCTGCGCAACTCCCTGCCCATCAAAATTCAAGTGTCTGTGGCCGGCTGCTCGGTCCGAAATGAGGATGGTCTGGATGCCCAATCGTCGGCGCAGATAAGGGACAGGGTATACAACAAGGAGGATTTTCTGGATTACGGAGAAAAGGAGGTAAACTCGGGCGATGTGCTTCATCTGCCCACTGTCCGTTTATCCTCAAACGATAAAGAAGCAAAAAGCTTCCTGGTTGTTCGGGTGAGTAACTCATAATTATATAAAATAAAATAAATAAATAAAGGATGCCCTCGCCTATTTAGCTGATTCAATATTTGGAGAAGGACTGGTCCTGTGCCACCGAAGTATGGGACTACACCGACGATGTTGTCACCTGGACGTTCTCTTCGTACGACTCGGAGATGAAGGTGGACATGGATATTTATGTGAAGTAAGCATTATAATTATTTTAAAGGACTTATATAAGAAAAGTCTACGGATTAACTGGGAATAATTGCTCAACCACGTGTTAATCCTATATTTCAGGACAGAGAATCGGTATGGCAGTATGATGCTTACGATCTACAGCCCTTTCTGGATGATAAACAAGACGGGATTGATGCTCACATACAAAACCGAAACGACCTCCGGGGAAGTGCTTTACCACCCTCCCGAATATTCTGGGCCCATTTTATTCACTTTCCGTGATAAAATCTTCTTTGACAAGAAGAAGGCCTCGATCCGCGTCGACAACGGCAACTGGAGTGAGAAGATCCCTCTGGACGTGGCTGGCTCGATTGGCGAGGTGACCTGCCATTCGAACAATCAGAAGTATCCCATCGGTGTTCACAACCACTTGACCCAGAATTCCCTGACCAAGCAGATCACCTTCATCCCCTTTTATATTGTGTGCAACAAGTGCCGCTTTGACATCGAGTTGCAGGAGCAAAGCCGCCCGGCCGATCCCTGGCTGCATCTTGAGCCGAATCAGTTTGAACCCCTCTGGCCAAGAAACGACTCTAAGAATAACATGGTGGTGCGAGTGGATGGCAATGTGACTCCGGCCTTTAACTTCACGGAGGTAATCTGCACGCTGCTTAAGCTGGAAAACAATAAGTACGGTGGCATCAATGTGGACGTTCAGACGACTGAGGGCGGCGTCTATATCACCTTTACGGACTACAAACCGGATGATGCTCCCGGTCTGCTGATCAATCACACTGGCAGACAGGTTGTCTACTACGAGAAGGGATCCAAAAACGAGCAAATCCTGAACGCCAAGAGCACTATAATGTATGCCTGGGATGACCCCACGGGTCCCAAGGTTCTCGTATTCGGAGCCAACAAACAGGAGACGGATTTAAAACGTGACAATATCGGCGAAGTGGTGTAAGTTTCTCTTAATCTTCAAAGGGTAGAATATTAACTTTTTATTTCATCCCAATTACTGATTCATATTTACAGCATGCAGGACGGTAATACTGTTATATGGGTATCCTTTTTGGACGGCCTGCAACGTGTGCTGCTTTTCACCGAGAACGAATCCATCGCCAATCGCACCGAGACCACTGCTTCGCTGCAGTCCATCACTCAGTCCATCGATCTGCGTATGCACGGCATCGGTCTTTCAGTGGTAAACAACGAGTCGGGCCTAGACATACTGTATCTGGGGGTCACCAGCTCAGGAATCATATGGGAATCGAAGAAGATTACCAAAAAGCGGTTTAAGGAGCACACCATTCACGAGAACGGGGTTCTTGAGAGCGAGTATCAGAAGTATCTGTTGCACAAGAGTGTTAATGATGTGCAGACCTACAAACTGGACAACAAGTTCCCGGTAATAATACTAAAAATCGGTATTTGTCAGTCGGAGACTCAATTCCTACATTTCAGATCGACTTTGACAACATGATCCTAAAGAAGGCGGTAGATCGAAACTTAAGGCGCAGTTTTTATCCGGCGATTTGGGTGTCCCGCAAGTCCTCGCCATTCCAGAACCAGCTGCATGTGAAAATCAATCGCATCCAGGTGGACAACCAGTTCTTGGATCCAATATTCCCCGTGGTGTTGGCGCCAATACCACCACCGAAAAGCGTGGCGAATACCACCACACTCAAGCCGTTTATCGAGTGCAGCATGGTGCAGCGCATCATGCCCAACTCGACGGTCCGGCAGTTCAAGTACGCCAAGATCCTAATCCAAGAGTTCCTCTTCAAGGTCGATTTGCTTTTCCTTACGGCCATAGCAGAAATGTTTGCCAAGGAAGTGTCAGACGAGATAGCAGCCAAGCAATTCCAACAGGACGTAGAGTCCATTAAGCTGCCGCTTTCCGCATTCTTCGAAGAACACTCGTTGGAAGAACAGAAGAGCTTCTACGACAACCTGCATTTAGGCCCGCTTAAGATCCATGTTAGCTTCTCAATGGCCGGAACAGACACAAAGGCGTTGCCCGGGTTCCTAGGCTCGTTAGTGCAGGGTGTGGGTGTGACTTTAACAGACGTCAACGATGTGGTCTTCCGTCTAGCTTTCTTTGAACGCGAGTATCAGTTCTTCACCCAGCAGCAATTGATCAACGAGGTCACTTCGCACTACACGGGACAGGCGCTGAAGCAGCTGTATGTTCTCGTCCTCGGATTGGATGTTCTGGGCAATCCCTATGGCTTGGTGGTGGGACTCAAAAAGGGTGTCGAGGACTTGTTCTACGAACCGTTCCAGGTAAATTATGGTGAATTTTTTCAATTACTTAAGTTATAAGTTATATTATTTTCAAGGGCGCTATTCAAGGTCCCGGTGAATTTGCCGAAGGCTTGGTGCTGGGCGTAAAGTCACTCTTCGGCCACACGGTGGGCGGTGCTGCCGGCGCAATGTCCAAGTAAGTTGCACATTTTTTATATTGATCGAATTAAAATTGTAACCTTGCACTTCTTTAAAATCTTAAGAATCACAGGCGCGATGGGCAAAGGTTTGGCTGCACTGACTTTTGACGAGGACTATCAAAAGAAAAGACGCCAGGGAATTCATAACAAACCGAAGAACTTCCACGAAGGATTAGCCCGCAGCAGCAAGGGTCTTGTTATGGTAAGACATAATTGAAAGGAACCGTGATATTATAATCCTGATTACTATTTATTTAATCAGGGCTTTGTTGACGGTGTTACTGGCGTTGTAACCAAACCAGTGACTGGGGCTCGCGACAGCGGAGTAGAGGGCTTCTTTAAGGGCCTAGGCAAGGGTGCTATAGGACTAGTGGCTCGCCCCACCGCTGGCGTGGTTGACTTCGCCAGTGGCAGCTTCGATGCAGTGAAGCGGGCGGCGGATGCGAGCGAAGATGTGAAGCGGATGCGTCCGCCGCGATTCCAGCACTCCGACTTTGTGCTGAGACCTTACTGCTTAATAGAGGCGACAGGAAATAAGATACTGAAGTAAGTGATCGCTTACATAATTTTCAGCATTGGATCTTAAATGGTTTGCACAAATCTTTTGCTCTTGTATTTTACAGGGAAACCGACAAGGGTAAATTTGCCACCACGGACGACTTTGTCTTTTGCGAGGAGATCATCCAGAAGTCCGAGTACCTGGTGGTGACCAACTATCGACTGCTGTACGTCCAACGTAACGAAATGTTCGGCATCTGGACGGTAAGTTTCACAGAGAACATTTAGCCGTTCTTACTTATTAAATCATTATTCAATCGCAGTCTCTCTGGTCTTACCTGTGGACCGAGATTAGCGGCGTGGTTGGCACACCCCTCGGTGTGCAGATCACGGTAAAGGCGGATGGCAAGAAGGTACTGGGACTGTTTAGCAGCAAGGAGTCGCCCCGAAAGTTGGTGCTGCTAGGAGAAGAGCGCAAACGTGTCGCCCTGGTAAAAATCATTGAATCTCACCTCTTGGACCCCAATCCGCGAAGGGGCTCCCAGGCATATCCGGGGAGCATGTGGCAATAGACCTGAATTTATATCCCTACTGTATTATAATCCAAGCACATCCTTACGGCACCAGCAACGACATTGAAATCTACCTCCATCATCAGATTCTGTCTGTCCAAGCACCATACACCATGCACCCAATTGGAAAACTCACACTCATGTGTCGTACTTTTACATATGTTAACAACCATTATGTTTTGATATTAAAATTTTATGTCAAAGTTTATGTGACATCCGGAGCGTGGTTTCACTAGCTTAAGGATTAAATCTACAATACAGAGACGAACAGGCTCTCCAGGATGTCGGACGTTGCAAAGCGGATGACGAGTGTGCGGCAGTCTACACTTTCTTCAGGAAGCTGCTGGGCGTCGTGGCCAACGGCATGATTGGCTCGTAATTGTTGCAACCATCACTTTCGCAGAAGGATGTCAGCGAGGCGAGTGCATTGGCGGCCAGCGCCTCCACGCTGAACATGGTGGATAGGTGGCCGCTGCTCTCGAACTGGTTGATGATCATATTGACCTTGCTCTTGGCCTCCGCCTTGAGGCACGGCGACGTAGGCGGGCTACCCGGCAAGCCATGATCACGGTCACCCGGACTTGCATCGTAACCCTCGCCCAGTTCAGCATCTGTGAGCAGGTTCTCCTTCTCGCTCTGCTTGCACTTGGTATTGTTCGGTGATCCACTGCCCGCGGTGGTCGTCTTCGATCCGGCACTTTTGTTGAGGCGACTGAGGAACCAGTTCCGGGCAAGCTTATCACAGTCCTTGCTGACCGGGCTTATCTGTGGCATGGTCGGCGATTTGCGCTGCTTCTTCTGCTCCTTTGTGGGTGTGTGGGCGGGACTGGTCAGCGGCGACAGCATTTCCGTTTCGCTGCCATTCGTGTAGCTCTTCTTCACGGCCTTCTTCAGGCGATCCGGACTTGGACCGCCCGCCGACAGCTGGGTGGAGAGCTCGCTGTGCACAGTCTTCACCCTGGCCTGGAAGTCCAACGACATGTTGCCATGCAGGCTGGAAGGAAGAGGTTGAACCTTCATGTCGGGTTCGTGGAGCAGCCCCAGGGATTCCACCTCCCCACCAACGGAGACTACTCTGGCGGAGGCCTCCTGCAGAGGCTGGGCCGGACACTTGGGCACATCGTACTCAAACCGTCGGGCCAGGGCGTTGGGACTGTTGTTCTTCTCTGGCAGCTTGGGCAACACCATGGTCGACGAGTCCATCAGGCCATAAATGGGCGAGGGCTCCTCGTATATGATATCCGCTGCTGTGTAGGTGGATTTCTTCTGGACCGGCGGTGTGGGCAGTTTTCGAGGGGGTGGACTCTTTAGATGCGGATGGGCCCCGACATCTCCGCGGATGGCCGCCTCGATGGCGTGTATCCACTCTTTGGCATCGACTTCGTTGTTGGCCTGGTACACGAACTTCTTGTTGGGGTCGTCGGTGGTGATCTGGAAGCAGATATCTCGACGCTTGCCCTCCCCGAAGTGCTCGATCTCAATGGATGAGCACTTTAGGTAAAGGGTGCTGCTGGGTCTGCAGGCGGTCGGTCCATCGGCGTAGCACAGCATCCAGTCGTTGAGGATGCCACAGTAGCACTTGCGGGTCTGGTCAAAGAATAAGCGTTTCGGAACGATCCGCTGCAGCTGACCGTATTTGGTGGAGCGCTGCAGGGCCAGGTGACCAGCGGGCAGATCCGCGTACGGACAGTCGATGATCAGTTCGTGGGTGAAGGTTATCGCCTGCTGGGCCTCGTCCTCGTCCTGACCCGTTCCCTGACCCTGGCAGATCTCGTAGAGCTGCTGATGTGGCTCCTTATCTGCCAAGCCACCAACCGGTTGGTTGGCGGAGCACCGATCCAGGGACCCGCTGCTGCCCAGATCAATGTATTCCCGCGAGGCAGACACTGCAATTATGGGTAATTAGTGCGAATTGTAGGCATTAAGTACAGTGGAGTTTCTGAAACCTCACACACCTAGCAATACTAGTTGTCCTTATTACTACAGGATTTACGTTTTAATGAGTTTAAAATGTGACTTCATCAAATATTCTTAGAATTATTGATAAGCTTTTATTGAAGTCATTAGTTTTTTATTAATTCTTCTAAAGAAATATTAGGACCCTATTTGATTAGAGTCAATAACTTATAGCATTGCGATTGGCTGTCAATAAAAAATCGATGATGCTTCAATCAACACAATTTGAGATATTCGCTTCGAAGTTGATTTTGAAAGATATAACAACGCTTACTTCTTTTTTTACCGATATAAAATAAACCATAAACAATAGCTATTCTTCAAGAAGTATTCTAAAGTTTATTTCTACGAATATCGAAAACGTTAATGTTATCACAAAAAGCTCTAGAGATTTCATATTGTTTCACAATATCAAAATCATTGTAGTACTTAAATGTATATAAACGTAAGTGATGATAAATCCTTTGAGATAAACTAGTAATATTGATATAAATTTCTTAAAAATGAATAATCCCCCTAAAGTTATAATATTTCTTATTGTTTATTTCGAAACCTTTTTATACCCTTGCAGAGGGTATTATAATTTTGGTCAAAAGTGTGCAACGCAGTGAAGGAGACATCTCCGACCCTATAAAGTATATATATTCTTGATCAGGATCACCTCCTGAGTTGATATAGCCATGTCCGTCTGTCCGTCTGTCCGTCTGTCCGTCTGTCCGTCTGTCTGTCCGTCTGTCTGTCCGTCTGTCTGTCCGTCTGTCTGTTTCTACGCGAACTAGTCTCTCAGTTTTAAAGATATCGAACTGAAACTTTGCACACACCCTTCTTTCCTTTGCACGCAGTATATAAGTCGGAACGGCCGGGATCGGACGACTATATCCTATAGCTGTCATATAACTGAACGATCGGAAATGCCATAACTTTGGTGTTTGTAAAGTTAGGAAGTTGAGATTTTCTATAGGTTTTATTTTTGGCCAATCAATCTGACCTACCGAATTTCATGAGAATCGGCCGACTATATCTTATAGCTGCCATATAACTGAACGATCGGAAATGCCATAACTTTGGTGTTTGTTAAGTTAGGAAGTTGGGATTTTCTATGGGTTTTATTTTTAGCCAATCAATCCTACCTATTAAATTTCATAAGGATCGGCCTACTATATCTTATAGCTACCATATAACTGAACGATTGGAAATGCCATAACTTTGGTGTTTTTAAAGTTAGGAAGTTGGGATTTTTGATGAGTATTAATAATAATATGAATAATTTTGGAGAATATAATTTTCAGAGTATTCTGCAAGGGTATATCAACTTCGGCTCCGCCCGAAGTTAGCTTTCCTTTCTTGTTTAAACCTTTTTCTGTGATAAACAAGGGTAATTCTCCTTATTAAGGTTTGAGTTATGGAAGTATGACTGTAAATATGCACTCACGCGAGTTTTTCGAGGATGACGGGGAGGCGAGCATCTCCAGATAGCCACTGGGACCGGTCTCCCCGCCCACCTTGCTATCGACGCAGTCGACCAGGCTGGTTCGGTGGTTGCCTGCCGCCTGCTCGTCTGCGCATCCCAATCCCGATCCAGACCCAGATCCACATCCAGATGCAGCCAGCAGAATCTCGCAGCGAGTCAGAAGTGCGGCGGTCTGCTCGGCGGCCGTCATGTGGAAGAGGTTCGAGGCGTTCTCGTACTCCGAGGTCTCCAGCGAGGCGCGGAAATGGGCGCGGACATCTGCAATTGAACCAGGAAAGAGGGTATATCGTAAGTTCTAATGTTCGCTTTTAGCTTCTCAGCTGGCTAAATAAGGCGGTGGCCCCATAAGCTATTAATTTTTAAACGCATCATTGGCCCTAATGGCGGGGCGGTTGAGCAAGAGTGTAGTTTCCATGGGGGGCAATTAGTGGGCCAGTAGCGTGGTGGTGGTGTCTCTTTTTACTTCTGCAACAATGACTCACTGAGCGGGAAGTTAAGTACTCTGGTTCCCAGTAAGAAGACCGACCACATACACACAAGTGACCTCATATAGCTCTTGCTCAAAAGTCAACTGCGAATTGACCGCAGCAATTAAAAATAATTTCACTGGCCAAGAAAGTTAATTCTGGTGTCTGCGACTCTGGCCCCCTCACCACTAAACTGAAATGCCCACATTCAGAAGTATAAATTATTTAACGGTAAAAAAAACATAAAAAACACTGAAATTTGCAAGAAACCTTGTTAAAATTTGAGCACGCAAAGCTCTCCAGAGCTGCTCTTAAACGTAATACGTCCGAATATGGTAACAAGCAAAATGCCCGAAAGGCGTATTGGCAAAACCCGAACTTGAAATGCCCTTAAAGAACACCGTAGGAATTGGTGTTCATGGAAGTAGTTCAGTATTATTCAAAAGGATTTGAGGACATGGAAGTTGTTTCTATGCTTTCTTTTATTTGTATACTAGTTTATAAATGTATAACTCTCCCAAAAAAATTAATTTTTTAATTCATCTATTGAATAAATTAACGTACAATGTTTTTTTCGCTTTCTGACGCACATTTTAAAATAATTTTTTTGATTCAAACTCAATTTCCTGTCCGGATAAGAAAAAGACGTATTGAGAAAGAATCCGTTCTTTGGTCTTAAATTCATTCCAAAATAACCCAAAATCTAAGCTCGACTCTGTGGAGCTTATTTATCTACTATAGAGTGAATAATTGTTAGTCTTGAAATGCATACTCTTTTTTTTTAGTGTGTACGAAAATACTGCAATAAAAATATATTACATGCAAGATCAGCACCTAGATTTGTTTTTTTGAAAGAATTGCTAAATTGTTTTTCTGTTACAAAAGCTAAAATGAACCGAAATATATATATACTTTAAATAATGTAATATTTTTCGATAAGTCATGTTTCTAGCTTCCTAATGCTTGCAGAACACACTCTAGACTTCGCTCAATGCTTCATAAATGACATAAAAAATCTACTGATAAACATTGGTTTAACCAGGATCGATGGAAACTCCCCAGCGACTTATTTGTTCGATATTTAAATATCAACAATAAGAGAACCCTTAAGCTGCGATTTACTCAAACAAAGATAAATTAAAGCAACAGTCATCGGAGGAGGTTTTGATATGCTTCCTATGCCCTTCATCTTGCCCAGAGCCAGTGAACCGAAACCTGAGAAAATTAAACTGACTAAAGAAGACGGCGGAGGGGAAAAAAAAAGAGGTTAAAACAAGCGCTTTGGGCTTAGTTTTGCGGCATGTCCAATCCTCTGTTTATTGTCTACCTTGTCCATACACATACTATACATATAACTATATAAACGATTCGGGGGAACAGCGGTCCAACGAGGAGCCCATATCGGTCTCGATAAAGTGTACGAAATATACGCAGAGAGAAGAGTCCGATGGTCATAAGCCAGAACCAGAACAAAAGAGTTTTAAACTTGGACGCCTGCGGAATGAGTCAATACTATACTCCGGCACTGGGTTATTGTTAATGCTTGTGTGTCGGAGTTTGCTCCTCCTCCTCTATTTCGAGGCGGTTTGTAATTTTTTGATGGCGCTGTTTGCCTGGCAAAATTAACAAAGTTTCTGTTGATCTATCTCACACTAACTGGCTTTAATTTTGCTTTTTCTTTTTAGCTACACGCAAAGAAAAGTATAAAAATCATCAGCACAGACAAAAATATCATTTATATAAACCTAATATTTTCAATCCAATTAATATGGATTAAAATTTTTTAACAATTAAGTTTAGCTTTACTGTAGAAAGAACACATAAAGCCTTGAACAAGTTGGCATTTATTTATGCAATAATTTATAATATATTATTATATTTATTATTGGTAAAAAAATAGACAAGTTCTGTATTTAAAAAAAAATAATTCTATCTATAATCTTTACCATGTAAACATTATAATAATTCGCCTCCATTGTAAAAGCTATTTTGATGAATTATCACTTAAAATCGTTTTCTTTGTGTGTTCACAAAAAATCTAAACTTACCCAACAAAAACTGATCAATTTCGGCCCGCTTAGTAGTTGCCTTTGTATCCATGGCTTGTAGATTGTATTATTCTTGCTGTTTTGTATTTTGTATTTAGCGCTCAGTGTTAATTTGAAGCGTTTTGCGTTAATGTGCGTTGAGTGCTTGTTGTGCTGCCGATCGTTTGATTTCTCGCCCGGGCTTTATTGTGGCTTCTCTCCGATCTGGATCTGAACAGTCATCTGTATCTGGCATATCCACCAACTGCACACACACAGAATTTAGCCTTAGAAATTAACAGTTTGCTGTCAAAAGTGGATAACACATTTTTATAAGATCACATGCACAACCGATACTGATGGGATGCAATATCTTCGATTGGGAAGTCAAGCGCGCGACACGACCGGAGTGCTACTGAAGGTATTCCTGGATTATCGGCTGGCCGTCTTCAAGAAAACACCTCCCCCGCTGTGAGCCCGCTGTGGAGCTGTCCTATTAATAGATGGACCATCGATGCACCACTATCCGGCTATTCAGATATCCGAACGCGTCGAAACACAATATACAATCTCTATTGCGCCTGCAGTTCTCGCTCTATTCGTTTTATTTCTACTTTTGTCTACTATTTTTTCATTATTTTCGCTTTTTTCGGTTGCACGCTTCGTTTGGCGCCTCATGGAAAATCAACTGATGACGTTATGTACGGGTATCTGGCAGCTAAACTATCTAGATTCGTTGGTGGAGAAACTGTTGCCTGCTGACTGTGTGTGCCTGCCATTAAATGCCATTACGAAATCCCTCTTTGGGCCGCCCAACGCCCCCCTGCACTTGTCTGGGTGTCTCCGTTTTTGTTTAATTTTCGTTTTTCACTTTTCTGCCGTGTCTGTCATTTGCGGTTTCCACTGTGTTGCGGCTAAGAATTGTATACAAATACGGAGTCGGGGTGCCCACACGCAGAGGAGCTCGGACCCGGGACCTGTGCCTGTGCCTGTGCCTCCGCCTGGGCTTCTCGTTTGGGGCCAAGCCTTTTAATTGTGAGTCATCTGAAAAGCGACGCGTGTCGCCACAAAGAAGCGACAGTCTGGCCAGCAAAATGCAAATGCTGTCGAACTTCTGTTAGCCAAAATTATATCTGCTACACAGAAAAAGACAACTCTTTCAAAAATTTTATCGTTTCAGAAAATTATTTAGTAGAATATCAATAAATAACTGTTTCCTATGGACTTATGTTAATAATAATAGCACAATTCGAAAAGATCTACGAAAAAAATATGTTATTTTGATCCTCTCCCAATTTTATTCAAACGCATAATTTAAGTTAGGAAAGAAAGTGACGATCAGTTTCTAAGCCGCACTATATTTTGTTAAATCTTGGTTAAATTATATAAACAACTTATTTGAAAAGCTTAGTTGATCAAAAATAATTTGGGAAAAACACTAAATGTACTAAAGATTATTTTGATTTTCATGGACTTTATTCGACTTGCTTCGAATTATAATATTTATACTGTATAAGCAAACTGCTGACCATTTCTCTGAGCCACACTATACACCTGCTCTATGTACGTGTCTAGAGTTTGCTTTTACTTTTCGGTTTTTTATTTTTTATCGCGGCCATAAAAAAAAAGTAATTTAATTTGCACTGGACTATTTGCTTCCTTTCTGCCAGCCGTTAAAAATATTTATTGATTCAGAACATTTGCAACTCGACACCTTTGTTTGCTATTGATAAACGTACGACGAATTCTCGACGGCCAGTTTGTTTCGCGGAAAAGCCAAGCAAACTGTTTACCAGCTGGCTTCGCTGCACTAGACTTTTCCGGCCACGAAACTTGTGCGGAAACCTGTGCGCAGGCGTGCAGATACCGATACCCCCACTCCTTCCGCACTTCCGGTCATTTTCGACGGGCCGGTTTCCTGCCGTTACGAAGCTCCCAATTAAAGAATTAAGAAATGCATCCACGCACAGAGTTTGATTTTGCATCCGGTTTTCCACTGCGTTCTGGTAACGTTGACACCTTTTCGCTCGCGGGCGAAGTTTTCATCGCCGGATGCCAAGAAGCGAGCGAAACTTTCCGGCTGGTGCGCCACCATGAATCACTCGAGCTTAACTGACTGGCTGACTTGGGGCCTCTCTGGCGGCCCCAGCTCTGGGATGCCAGCCGATGGTCACCCGAACGCAGACGAAGAGCCCTCGGCTCCGGCTCTCTCTGCACAGCGGGAAAATATTACTTTATGGTCGAGATCAAAAACTTATACCATATTACTTAATTTGCATGAAAGTTTTTGATAGTAATTCATAATTTCAATAAAAAGAAACTAGAGCTATAAATTATATACATATGTTTCTATATAAGTGCAATCTTAGTCTTGTTAAAGGGTCCTGTAGTCATACAACAGTTCGAGCTTGAAAGCTACTACAGTTAAAACCGCAAGTTTAAAACAATCCTAAATCATAAAAAACTACTTTGAGAGTAACGGAAAACTTTAGGAAATGTTAAATTTGTTAAGTCCAAAGCATAAATATTTTTCGTCAAAAGATTTGATATCGTCACGACTTCTTACCTCGTTAAGAAGGAATTTTGTTTGATAGTATTATAAGAACTATTAAATTTATACATAATCATAATTAATTTTTTTCAGCGTGTAAAACAAAATGAGTTGGAGTCCGGCTTTGCATTGGTTTTTTTCGGGGAAATCGACAGCCGGCCGGCTTGCTAGAATAAATCCCCCTTCTCCACCTTCTATTCGCCGTTTCCATCCTCGAATAGGCAGCCCAAAATTCTATTGCTTTTGCCACATTTAGACAGCCGAATCCGCCCCTGATACTTTAAACAACATAATGTCCATTTTGGCAAAAGCAGACAGACAAGTACGGTTAAGCTCCCCTAACAAGAACGTTACTGTAAGTTGCGATGAGACATTGTAATAATCCGAACACAAATTAGTATCTTCCCTATATCCGAAAGAATAAAAAGGCGAAAATTATGACACATTCAAACAAGAAGAATATTTCCAGATAACTTCTTTGTATTTTAGTTCAAAATAAAAACACATATAACTTTGCATATTAAACGCATAGAGTTTTATTATTAAAATTATGTAGCTTATAAACTAATTACCTAGCTTACATTTTTAAAATGAAAACTTTAATTTCCTAGCAGGCATTTTGAACATGGCTTGAGTGGTTCGAGTTAGAGAGGCTGGACTGTAAAACCAGAAATCTTCTAATGTGGCAGGCAGATGTTGTTGCTGCAGCTGCCGAGAAATCCGAGAGTCTTCTTCGCAAGGAGAGGGAAGCCGAAGTCAAAGCCAATCTGGGACCGGAGCCTTCTCCTGTGCGTGTGCTCTTTGTGCAATTGGCGGCAGATAAAGCGGGCTGTCCGAGGGTCCGAGAGTCGGGTGCCCTTTTTGGGAGCAGCTTTGAAGGACGCGTTCACGAGACGCTATGGCAAACAACTCAATTTTAATTAAACGTTGCGATCGGAGAAATAAATTAAGCATGCTGGCCATGTTGGCTGCGCAATATCTGGACAACCTTGGGTCGCGTCTCGGGCAGCATTGATAAGTGCATAGCCGTTGCGTGACTCGACCCAGAAGACCGGGCGGCTGGATAACAGGTTCCCACCTGGGCTGGCTTTATCAACCGGCACAAAGAGCCTGATTCTAGTATTGTGCTAACGCTTAATTATGTGCCACAACAAGTATTTTCATTCAGCCGAACCACAATCTTTGTACTTTAATGCATCGTCGTAGCGATTTTACCCGCTACTTGAGGAACGCTTGCAGGCGGTTCTGCTGCGATTTGCTGGCGTCTTTAAACGCGTTCGCTTTCAGCTGGGCGGCCAGTTGCAGCAGTGCGTTTTGCTTCTGGGTCTTGGACTGCGTTTTGGCAGCGGCGGGCGTCGGCTGGGCTGGCTTCTTCTTTTTATTTTTCGACTGCTGACTGGGGTTTTGGGAAGCTATTCCAACTGGTTGGGAATGTTTTTTCGACGGCGCTGGCGATTTGGCAAGATGTTGTTGCTGTTGGGCTGTTTTTTGCTGCTGCGGAATTTTCAAGCCTGCATTGATATCTTTATTCGGCGCCTGGGACTTATTCTTTTTGGTTTTCTTTTTGCTTTTGCTCGCTGCCGCAGGTTCTTTGGCTGGCATTGTTTCCTCCGTGGCTTTTAGTTTGGCGCGCTTTCGGCCCTTCTCCAACGGCAGCATTGTCTTGTGCCGGCAAAAGTCGCAGTCCACGGCCTGTAAAAAGGGATTTGGTTTTAGTAGGAGCAGCGATTGTAATAGCTTTAGTCAGCAATGAAATAGACTGTATTTTCTTTAAAAAGGTTATGCTTGGGTATATTCATTGTAATAAACGATCATATTGATAGTGGGACTCTTCAAACTTATGCGGTTCAGATATTAATTGGATTTTTATCATTAACAAATTAATATTTTATTTAATTCACATCTATATATACCTTATGTACTTAAAACTCAACCATTATTAGCAAAACTAACAAAAAAAGACTCTACAAAATGAACCTAATAGTGTTTAAAATATCGATTTGATTGTAAATATTTATTAATTGAAAACTCATGTTTAAGCTACTCAGATCGTTCCATATAGATTACTAGCTCTTGTTACTTACCATTTGGCTGGCCATGCGCTTCTTCAGCCACGTGGCCCGTTTCCTGGCCCCATAGCTCATCTCGCCCTTAATCTGTTTGGCCTTCACGGTTTCCAGCTGAGCGATGAGTCTCCGGTGATTGGCCCTCTGCCTCAGCTTTTGCGGCTGGAGCTGGAGTTGGTAGCGTCCGTCGGCCCACTGGTTGCCGCAGCGGGAGCACATGCGTGCAGTTCCAAAGCTATCCTCGGGCAACTGCACACTGTTTCGGGCCAGCTTTCGGCAGGTGGTTCTGTGTTGGTTCGGCATAAATAATATTGTAGTGGGTGTTTCAGGAATTTACAATGAAACTCACATGTAATAAGACTTGAGAATCCTTTCTGTGTGGGATTGGTCGGTCAGTTTGGAAGCGCATTTCCATAGCAAATCCGTCGTCTTTTGATCGGCCATGGCTGAAACATATGCAAAATCAAAATATGTTGAAATAAGGTTTATACAATTAGTTTTAAGGTTGACTTTTTCGGGATTTTGTTCATAACTTTTGGTACTTACTTAATAATAACTACATTTAGGATCTTAGCTATCGATTCCAGGTTGATTTGAAAAATTAATTTTTTCTTAAGGTGTTGCTTTACATTTTTTTGCGAGTACTAGACAAATATTAAATTTTTCAGCTATGAATGCCACTCGATTGGAAATTGTATAACGAATTCAACGAGGTATTACATTCAAACATTTAACCGTTTTTTAATAGGGTTTTGATCATATTACCGAAATAAAAGTTAATTTTTCCGGATCTCCGGATTTCAGCATTTTTCATAAGGGGTTACCAAAATGAAATGTTTGAGCTGTGAATGCCACTCGATTTGAAATTTTATAACGAATTCAAAGAGGTATGACATTCCAACATTTAACCATTTTTTCTAGGGTTTTGATCAAAAAACCGAAATAAAAGTGGATTTTTCCGGATCTCCGGATTTCAGCATTTTTCATTGCCATTTTTGGCGAAAAACCGACCAAAATTTAATTTTTGAGCTGTGAATGCCACTCGATTCGAAATTTTATAACAAATTTAACGATGTATTACAACCCATCATTTAACAGTTTTTTCCCAGTGTTTTGATCAAAAAACCGAAATAAAAGTGGATTTTTCCGGACTACCGGATTTCGGCAGTTTTTATGATGGCATATTACATTTTTCAACTGTGAATGCCAATTGAAGGCAATTTTATGACGAATTCAACGACCTATGACATTCTAACAGTTGGTAATTATTTTCCAAATAGTCATATGACTATCGTATATATGAGGGTAGTGCACCTTTCAAATTGCAGAAGGTGCTTCCGCTTTCGTTTTAAGTTAATCTGTATTAATCAAATACAATCGGTCAACATTTATTTATTTATTTTCTCTCAAATATATTTAAAACAATTGTTTCTTACTTAACGTAAGTTGCCAAATTTTATTTACACGGTTTACGTTTCCGACTTATAAAAAATGACAGATAGTCGTTTTTATTTATTTTAAGGCAATGTTGTAACATTTTTGACTGATTTGAGATATTTTTCAAGCCAAAATAGACAGCACTAGTAACGCAACGTGCTAGACTCAACAATAGAAAACTCGAAGATCGTCTGCTTTTTATTACATGCTCAACTTACCAGCTTACCCTTGCTAATTTTTAGGAATTAAAGATAACTTGTTTAATTTAAATACAAAACGGTGGGAAAAATAATTTGTTTTTTCACGCAATAATAATGTTGAAAGCAGCTGTTTCACCAAATTTAAGAAATGTTTGATGGTCGAACCGATAAGAAATATATCGACCTGCCAAAGCTGCCACCCCAAAAGAACACTACTAAGTGGCAGCCTTAGGTTTCTCACCACACCAATTTTCTTACCAAGCTTGGTATTTCGCCGTGGTCAGTTTATGGTCCTACGGCATTTGCGCGTCGTTTTGAAATTATTCAACACATCTCAATCTCCAACCGCCGAAAAAAGCAGAAGCGACGCGCATAATTTCGAATGCAAACGGTCGCGCAGCCCGCAAGTAGTTAATAGCAAACATCCGTTGAAAATCGCCAGCGTGGAGTGCCGAGCAGTACAGTAAATTGAAAACTCGAGTGCGCGCAAAGAAATTCGCATTTGCATTGGCATTTGCAGCAGCTGCAGCAACAACAATGGACCCGTTTACTCAGGTACGAGGGCAATTCGCACACAATGAAGCCCTTTGTCTCGGCACTAGTATTAGTAATTACATTCTCGATTTTTTATGGCCATTTTCCATTTTCCCGCTGCAGCACATGCTCGAGAAGGCGGAACAGCGCAGTCGCGCCCTCGGAATTAGCAACGCCAGCAAATTTCCCCCTCCGAGCACGGCCACTTCTTCTTCTGGCGGGGATCCTGGGGTCCTGACCCAGAGAAGCCGCTCGCCAGGAGTACAGAGCACGGCCAGTGGCGGCGGCAAGGTCGTGATACTGGACAAGGCCACGCTTGAGGCGTCTCCGGCCAAGCCGCTGCGTCACTATGCGGCGGTCAACAAGGAGAACATGGAGATGGGTATTGAGATAAACATTACCACCGACAAGCCGATTGGGGTAAGTACCCGCCCTGCGTTGGTTCCCAGCCTCTTTTGCTCATCTGTCCTGGTCCTCCTCCAGGTGCAAGTTGAGATCCAGGAACAGGAGGTAACCGATGACGACGATGAGGAGGGAGGGGCTCTAAATCCTCTACTGGAAGCGGCTCCAGTGAATCAGCCGCTGGCCAGGCTGCGGGACACCTCGCGCAGTAGACTTCAGCGCATGGGCGCCTTGTACTCTAACACGGATGACCTCTCCTCGCCCATTCACCGCACAGAGGGTCAGTTCCATCTGAGAACGAATGAGGACGAGAACTGCGACAATCGCAGCAGTAAGCAGCCCAAGCAGAGATTGGGCAAACTTGCCGCTTTGGCGGACACCATCAACCAGTGGGAGGATGACACGTCGCACCACGAAGTGCACAGACCTTTGGATGCGCCCCCACCGAAACCACACTTGTCCAGCAGGCGGACGGAGAAGGCACCGGCCCCACAGCCCCCCAAGAAGGACGAAGTCGACGAGGCCGCCAGGACCAAGCAACTAAAGTGGGATCCCAAGGTACTGAGCTCTCTGGAGGCCCAAGGTTTTCAACGCCGCGAATCGTCGACCATTAAACACACCTATGATTATGCCAAACAGGGAGAAGCGGCGCCAGCTGGCAAACAGGAAGGGGCAGCGCCAGTGGCCAAACCGCCAGTGCCGGAAAAATCGACGACGGTTAGCCAGGTGGCCAAGAACTTCGCCTCTGCTGCTCCGGCACCCAAGCCAGGTTCAGCAGCGCCTGCGGTTAGTGTAAAGTCTGGCTTGGTTTCCGGACGCGCCGCAATTTTTGAGAGCAAAGGAGCCAGTGGGCAGTCGCAAGGCAGTCTACGCAATCAGAAGGATCCTTGCGAGCTGTCGCTGAAAGAGCGCATGAAGCTGTTCGAGACAGGCAATAACAAGGCTATGTTGCCAATGGCACCGATAGGATCCGCTCCCAGCATTAGCCAAATCCGGGCAGAGGAAGTTAAACGTGAGTTAGGCAGCGCTTTAATCTTATTTCTTACCTATATCGCTGATTACCCTGAACAGAGCATTTAGCGGCAGTGCATCCAGTGACAGCTGCCGCTGCGACTACTGTAGTTGCAGCGGCCAAGCCTAAGACTGAAAACAAGCTGCGAGACAAGGTGGCCGCTTTGGTGGCAAATGCGCAATCATGTGCCGAGACCCGCATCAAGGATATTGATCGTCAGAGGCAGGAGGACATGCAGATTATTTCGAATCGCTTCAACAAACAAAAGGAGCTCTTTGACAACCAGACAGCCGGCAGTTCCGTGCCAGCTCCAGCTCCAGCTCGAGCTCCTGCGCCGGCACCCAGTAAAGTAGTGCGGCCAATGCCGCCACCTCCTCCACCGCCTATCGCTGGTCTCTCACCCTCGTTGGCCAGCAGTAAAAGAAGATCACGTAAGAAATGACTAACTACCCACATTCCAGGGACTTGTGGCTGATACTTCCGCATTTTCAGCTGGTGATGCGCCAATCGCCGACGAGGATTCCAAGCGGGCCCGCAAATCAGATACCGATCGCCTGTATCCCGCCCTGTCCGATCTCGATTCTAGCGGAGACAACTGCTGTGCCACCGAAACAGCTTCTGCTACGGATGACAGCCATCAACTGGATGATGACGAGACCGAAAGGTGCGCTGACAAATGCTACTCCTGCTTGCTATTTCTGCTATGCATTGAGTAGCACTCTAAGACTGATAGACCTAAGACGAATAGCTTTAAACCCCACCCTCTAGACAAGACCAACAATAAAATCGCTTTCTTAACTAACCGCTTATCTTTGATTCGTGCAGTTGCATGGATGAGTCGGAGGACCAGTCGCAGACTGAGGACAGCAGCGCTGGCATGTGCAACGGCAGTCTGGGACGAGAGATAATGAGCGCAGTCCAGCGCAATGAGGCGGAGATGCAGCAGCACCCCGGCAAGAAGGTGAGTACAGGTAGAAAACTAACAACCCAGCGGGCAGTCTCTATTCATACCATTTTATTATTTTCAGACTGTGCGCTATGCGGACCACGACTTGTACTACAACCCCGAAGGACAGGACGACAGCTCGATGAACTCCTCGCAGGTCTCTGGCGGCATCGACGACTATCTGGATGAGGCGCTGGTACAGGACAACTATGGCAGCACTCAGGATGATGAGAGCGACAGCGAGGACGAGCACAATGCCAGTCGACTATCCTTGGGCGTAAGTATTTAAAAAATAGTCTTATTTTAATCCCAGAGTTTTTGAACTCTTCTACGACTAAATACCAATACTTTATTTTTAATTGTACTTGCAGAGCAAAGGAACCACCGCTTCAAACAGCTTTTCCTTCCGTAAAAATCCAGTCTCATTATGCACTCCCATCGACGAGCACCATGAGATAATGGACATGCAGACGCCTCTCCCAAGTGGTGGACAACCGGTCAAGTCCGAATTGAGCGTGAACCAGGACAACGACAACCTGGTCACCCTGGTACATACAGTCAGCTTCTATCGCCGCCAGCAGAGCGCCAATGTGAGTTTGTTAATGTGATCAAATTAAACAATTCTAACTTAATTTGCACTGCTTTTAGAGCTCCAATTCCACGCCGGTGCGAAAGATCTGTCGCGAGCAGCAGGTGATGCGATCCGCTCTCGGTGGGGACTGTCATGCCAAGCACAGACTGGAGTACGACTCTCCTCAGCAAAGTGAGAACACAGGAGCATCCGCTGGTGTCACAGATAATCAGACCGACGATGACGATGAAGATATGCAAAATGCGCGGGAATTGAACGAAGCTTCTCAGGCGCAGGACAAAATAAAGAAGCTGCTGAGTGAGGTGTGCAAGCAGCAGCAGGTGATTGGTCAAGCCAGTCAGGCCCTTAACCTGTGCGCGGCAACCGTCGAGTTTTCCGGTTCCACAGAGTCCGTTGAGGGAGAGCGATATCTTCTACTGGCAAGTAAGTAACCTAAGTGAATTTGACCTTTTACTATCAAAATATTTACATGTCCATTTAATCTTTTCCGGAAAAAGGAAATGTAACCCCAGAAAAGTTATTTTTTTTCCCAAGTTAATTGTCCATTCATAATACAGTTATTTTTGTTAAAACCATAAAAGTTGCCATATAGAATAAATCTGATGCTTTAACTCCTTACAGCCCATCGTCGCCAGGCCTGTTTGGACGAAGTTCAGCGTTTGAGAGTTGAGAACAGCATCCGTCCCGTGGGTGCCCCAAAAGAAAAGGGCCTGCTGACGGTCAAGGACATTACCATTCCCCTAAGGCAGGAGTACGTGCGTAAAATGGCCACTGGCAACATCAATGGTCATCATCTTGTGTGCCTACTGAAGTACAATGAACACGTACTGGCCACCAAGACTGTGCCCACGATGCCTGGCCTGTTGTCTGTCAAATTCCCAGATGTCCTGCAACTAAACAATGTATATGCAGATTTTAGGGTAAGCTTTTAGACTCTTTAAATCTATACTCTCTCTCATTGGGAACAATTCGCCTACAGATCACTCTGGAAATCTATGGTATGCTGGCACAACGTGATCAGCTGCCCCATGAATTGAAGTACCACATCAATTTAAACAAAAAGGGAGGCGTAAAGACGCCCAAAAAGAAGGGCGGCGAAAATCGCCTGGTGATGCCGCCGGTGCAGAGTCCGGCGGGACCACATGTGGTTCGGACGCCGCAGCTCGTGCAATACGGCTTTGCCATCTTCTCGTTGCGAGAAATCCAACGTACTTCCTGGACGCTGACTCAGGTGCTGGGCGTCAGCCCGCTGGAGGGCGTGGTTCACATGAAGGTCAACTGTGAACTATCCGTGAGCGTGGAGTACAAAGGATTCCTTACCATGTTCGAGGACATTTCCGGCTTTGGAGCCTGGCACCGACGTTGGTGCTATCTGAACGGCTCCGTGATCAACTTCTGGAAGTATCCGGACGATGAGAAGCGCAAGACGCCTATGGGCAGCATCGATTTAAATGCATGCAGTTCCCAAAAGGTAACCACTGCGCCGCGCGATATCTGCGCTCGCCTTAACACCATGCTGCTGGAGTGCGAAAGACCTGCGCTGGACACGGACCAGGAGTCGCTGATAATCGTGCCCAACGGGCGAACCACTACAGTGCGCCATCTGCTTTCCGCCGACACAAAGGAGGAGCGCGAGGAGTGGTCCGCTTACTTCAACAAGGCGTTGACATTGCTGCGCGCCTGGGGAACTTCTCACTGAACTGCTGCCCCGCTCCTGCAATCCTGTCAGCAGCACGGACACTGACACCAAACGGGCGGGTTGTTTAAAGTTTTCTCTTTTTAAGTTTACTCAAATTACTATTTAACAGCGCTCGCGTTTGTCTTTTTTGTTTTATGTTTCCGACTCAAATTAATCGTATTCCGCATTCGACACGTTCGTGTTCGTATTTTATCGACGAAGTATTGTTTGAATACCTTTATATGTACATTGCATTTAGGATGTCTCGCTAAATATATAATATGTATAAATCCCAGTAAAAGGCGGCCGCCAGTTGTACACTGAATAGTTTATAGTTTATTGAATACTTTTATACACGTACACATTTACATTCACATATATCGTTTTGCAAGAACTCGTGGCTATGAAGAAGTGGCTACGTGGATTCCGCGTGTTAACTATCTTTGTGTCTCTGACCATTCCGAATCTAACAACAAGTGAGAGTTAAAGCTTGCGTGGTATCACGACGCCGGCTGTTCTAGTGCCAAACTCCGATCCGGCACCAGGATTCTCCGTATCCGTTTCGTTTGACGGCTCGGGTGGTTTATGTGTACTGTGTAGGTGGTTCATGTCAGGTAGTTCAGTGTGTCTGATTCTCTGGCCATCTGAATTGACTCTTGTTTGGAGATAACATCCTTACGTATGTCATTTGGCCGTCGGCCTAAAGGCTATCTACAAAATGTCGACTACGAATTGCCGCCGGCGATGTTTTTTAATGTGGGTTTCCTCTAGTTCACAACATTATCAAATGTATAGATATATTTTGTATTGGTATATATTTTGACTTGAATCTGCTTTTAGTTGTAAATTCTCCAAAATTATTACAGTTTGCCAGATATGCAGGATATACTTGTGCTTTGTACAACAGTAGCGCTCTCGCTGGATCGGGTCCGGAATACAATTATATATATTATATACACATTCTGTTGCGAAAGGAGGGAACAATTGAAGACGGGAGACGCTACTGTTCGTTAATGCATTCGCTGGATTCGGTTACATTGCCTCAAACTGTTTTGGATATTCCGTTTAGCAATCAAATTGTCAACGTTCGCTAGAATATTAGGGGTATAATACTGAAGGATATTTCCATATAACACTTGTCTGTACTTGTGTGTTTGTTGTTGGTGAGCAGTTGCAACGCAATAATAAAGCTTAATTTCGATGCAAGTCTTGGGGTTGCTGAATTTAGATTCATCTAACCTATGCACTAAACCTTAATCGGTGGCCAATATAAAATTTAAAAATAATTGCCTAAGCTTACTCATATTCGTGTGTGTGTGCTTGTGTTCGTGAGTGTGTGTTGCCATGCACCTTTAATGAACATTTTAAAATTCAACACTTAAGGCTACAACGGAATGTACAGTAAACAATTAAATAAATTAAACAGTAAATAGTAAAACGATATGCGTAGAATACTATACATAAAAGACAGTCGCCGGGCCGGCATGAGTTCCCTACGGATTGCCAGCCCCGCTGGCGGGCACCTGGGCATTCTGGCGCCGCAGATCCGACTGGGTGGTGGCCGTTATAATGGTGCCCACAATCAGCATCACGGCCATGGTTATGTTGGCCGCAATGTCCCCGAACGTGGTGAACAACTCCGAGTAGAAGAGCGTGAAGCAGATGCCAAAGGTCTGGGCGGAGGCATTCAGCAGGCCAGAGGAGGTGCCCTCCGGCTCCGGAAACGTAAGCTCGGCCCCGAACTCAAAGCCCACCGGCAGGTAGCCAGTCATAAAGAAGCTGCAAGGGAGTAAATAATACGGAAACCATTTTTAGTACCCAATCCAAACTTTGACTATATGATATGAGACAAATTTATACTTCTTCATAAAGATTGCAGACTAATAACTTGAAGTTCATTTATTGTTGCTTTTTATAAAACTAATGTAAATTAACCCAGTAAATTACTCAAATTTGTTTGAATTAAAAAAAACTTTATTTTAGAGCTTAAATATAAGAACATGGAAATTTGACTCACGGTTATTCGTTCTAATCTGTGACTAAGTTAACATTTTTAAGGAATTTTTTTATTAATAACTTATTTAAAAAATTATGTTTTTATTGCTTGACAATTTTTAAAAAGAGGGTGCCTGATTTGACCCACTTTAATGTTTTCGAAAACATGCTTTCTCTAAGCTAATGGCAGTAACAAATATGCCACTTTAAACAAAAATATTTGTCTGACAAATTCCAATGTTTAACTTGCCTTTGTAGCGTATGATAGTTTGAGTAAAAAACATAGTATATACAAAACTCACCCCAACAGCGATGCCGTCAAATAGACCACCGCAATGTGTCCCGTGTTCAGAGTGAAGGTGAAGATCCACATGCCCACCATGGATAGCGCGTAGACCGCCAGCGTCGTCTCCCTTGGAAAATGGGTGAACCACATTAAGTCCCGCTCATTAAACATTGAGGGCCCCTTATTCAATTAATAACAACTTCTGCTGCTGCCGTGCTAAAACTTTCTCAAGCAGCCCACTCCTAGCGGGGCCACATGGCGTATACGTAATGAGTTTCGCCCATGTTCGGAAAAGCCCTTCAGTGTTTGATTGTTGTACTTACTTGAACTTGTGCGTCTTATCCAGCACAACACCCGATACCACGGAGCCCAGCATTCCGGCCAGCACAATGCTGAGGCCAATACGTCCGGCGTCTACCTCGTGGCCGGGATAATACTTCAGCACCACCTGCAAACAAATCCCAGCAATTAGCCCCCATTAACCGCTCATTAATCGAGTGGGCACTCATACCGGATTCAGGAGCGTTGAGATGGCGTAGAAGACGCCCACATTGATGCCGTAGGAGAGAAGCAGGAAGATGAAGTTCCGGTTGGTCATCAGGTTCTTCAGCGACTGCATGAAGCTGACCTGCTCTTCTCCAGAGCTCTCCAAAATTTGGGCCGCCTCCTGGGCGGCGGAAGGTGGAGTGGGCGGTTTGTCCTGGAAAACTAAAAAAAATTAAAGAAAAATGTGAACTTACAATACCTTGCTTTCAAAAATCGTAATACACATAAAAGCTACCAAATATTTATTGGTGTAAAAAGGGCGGATTTCTCGTCTTTATTGTGAGCTAACAGAATGTAGTAAACTTTCAGCTTACAGTGACGACGAGATATCGTCGTTTCTCTATTGAATAAAATGCACTTACATAACACCATCAAGACGAGCAGGATGCTGGTGAGACCGGCCACTAAGTAGAACATCATCTGCAGATCACTGCCCACCGTCTCCAGATCCGGTGAATTTGGCACCAGCATGGGCGGCAGCACAAAACCGACGGCCACGCCCAGCTGAAAGAAAAGAAAAGGGCGGATTTCTCTATTGTAGACAAGTTGTCCAAAGCGGAATCAGTTTCCGGTTCCGCTGCTGCCTCCTCCGAATTCGCTGCCATTTCTGCTCCGCTTCCGGACTTCCACTCTCTGCACCCGACCCTTGGACTAACGTTATTCACGCTGCAACTGTGAAATTGATTTATAGTGGGCCTGGCTCGACTAGATACATGTACATCTCTGCTCCTTTCCGGATCCCCCAGTAAATGCTTTTCTGCTGCCGTTTTTGTTTTTTTGTTTTCGTCAAAGTTTGTGGCGCTGTTTTACGGAAAAAAATAGATGTATACCCCGGGCTCGGCTGTGACAGCTCCGTTTTTTCCACACACGCCACTGCACAAAAGTTGAGCCATGCAATTTTTAGTAGTTTTCCTTGATTTTTTATGGAAGACTGATAGGGTATTATGTGGATAGTGAAACGAGTAGGATATGGGTAATGTCTTCCTAACGAACTATAAAAACATAACTAAATCAGGGTAGAATAAATGTTTCCCCTTTTAGCACCATAAAATCCAAATAGAAATTTAAATATTTAACTTCCAAATAAAAACTAACATAAAACAGTATCATTCAGTTGAGTTTACACAGATGCAGTTGTTATTTATTTACCTCTATTTTTTAACACTATAAATCGGTTTTAGTGGCAGTGGCGGTATTTAGGGCCAAGTGACGGTTGACAGTCAGGAAAATAAATTGGACCATAAAAGCTTATTTTTCAAGCGCAAAATTTAAAATTGTGTTTAAACTAAGAAAATTGTTTCCTAAAAAAATACGTATACAATACAAAATGGGAATTTCATGCAAACGCATATCAGGTTTATTCAATTAATGAAAGCCTCAGGGGGAATTTCCTTAGTTTAATTGAATTGAAACACATACCTTTTGTATGGCAAATAATCAGCTGAGTCCCAATTGTTTTCATTTAAGCAAACAAAGGAAATGTCAGCCGGCTGAACAGTTCAGCTTCACACACAATAAACCAAGCCGAGCTTTTCTCTTTGGCAATAACTTTTGGTTTGCACAAACAAAGGAACGAAATTGTGGAAAGAGGAAAACCCAATTCCCGCTGAGGTTAAAGGAAAACCTTTGGCAGTATCGTGACCAAACAGACCAGACACCAAAGCTGCAGGTGGTCTGTCCTCCAGATTGGGCCACCCATTTAATGGAACACGCAAACACATCCGTTTTCCCCTTTTCCATCTTTACTTAAGAAAATTGTGTTTTGGGTTGGTAGTTTGATTTTATAGCAGTTCAATAATCGAAGGATCAAGATTATCTCAAGTAAACTCAGATTTCCCCATTTATCTGGGTTTACCTTGAAAAATGTCCTTCAGATGACTTAAGGAAGATTATGGCATTAGTCTAATGGATTTTGCCAATGGAAAATCCTAGAAATCGAAAATGGAAAACAAACAAATTTCTCAGGTAAAAACGAAAAGGTTGTAAATGTTTAATCCCAAGCAATTTCTATATCTGTGAAAATTATAATTTCAGGATTTATACAAGTAAATAATAAATTTCGCTTTTGAAAAGCCAATCATACAAAGATATACAGCGCTGCCGCCATATAAATAAATAAATGTCAAGGATTCAGTTTATAGCTGCCAATAATTTAAATAATGATCGGCAATAAAGTCGGGAATTGGTATAATCGAGTAAAAACAGAAATGTGATTTTAAAATACTCGTGCAATATGAGCCTGAGTAAATTCAAAGAATTGCAACCATTTGCATAAATGTATTCGAGCGATGGGCCATAAACCAGGCAGATGCCAGGAGCTCATCTCCATTTCCATTACCAGCTCTTGTCCGTTTCCTTTGTTCTGGCTATTTGGGTTTTTATGGGGGAACGCAAAAGGACATTCGAGTGGGACACGGGACACGGGACATGGGACACGCCACTGCAGTCTGAGCCTCTCCATGGTATCAAGAATAAATATTTGAGCCGACTCAGAGAATCGAGCGTCTGAGTCTCGTTTGGAGGGACTGCCATTCCGCCGGAATATTCGCATGCGGCCCTGGAGAATGTTATTCTCGACTTGGCGGCACAACTCGTTCCGGCCGTGTTTACATGACCATCCGGGAAAAAAAACGACGTGCAGGAAAAAAAATTAGGGGGAAAAGAAACTGTGTTTGCTCAGCACTCTGGCAACAATGCTCCTCCGCCAAATCCGCTTCAGCTCGGCTCAGCCAGTCAGAAATCAGAGATTTGGGGGCGGCGGGTGGCGGGGGGCGTGTGGCTCGAAGAGCGTGTGGTGCGTCGTCCTTGCCAGATAAGGCAGCCAAGGCGATTGAGTGGGCGGATGGGCGGCGGAGCGTTCGCATTCAATGTCACTCGGTATGTGGGCCATCTACGTGGCCCCACGCTGCGTTTTTTATGAAGGCTCTTTTTTTTCGGGCACAAGTTCGGCTTGGCATTTCGACAAGAGATTACCCGGGCTGGCTTTAAACCCTTCGCCATTCTGACCCACTCTTTCCCATCATCATCATTCACATCCACATCATCGTCCTGTTTTCGTCATCATCACGTAGCCTCACATTGTCACATCCCATTGTGACTTCCTACCTGTGACAAGCGGAAATTATAAGCCTTTTCATCTGCACTCGAGTGAGAAGCAAATATGACACACAGGTGCGTTTAGGATGCAATGTGTCTTGCCGGGATGTCGGTGGAGGTGAAGGAGGAGGTGGCTGTGGATATTTGAGCCCCATATTTGCACTTGCAGTCCTGCCGCCCGATGCGCTCGTAAATCAACATAAAGAGCAAACTGTTCCACATCCCATTGCCCCCACTTTTCACCCCCATTTTCCCCGTTTACATTCCCTACTTTCCACTCTCCATTTCCCTGGCCCATTGTCATTCATCACCGCCGCACCTGACACTGTTGGCTAATGGCTAAGCAAGCGGCCTAATTGTTTTGCGGTGTTTAAGCCCATAACCTGTCCAAAGTCAAAATCGCAGTCATTTGGAAATGCCCTGACATGTGCATGCTGAATTTTCCACCAAAATTTGGTTAAATTGTACACTCATAAGAAAAAGTAATGAAATCAATAAATTCACTTATCAAATTTTTTTTAAAAATGTTCTTAAACTGTGTTTTAATAGCAAATCAAAAATTGGAGTCATTAAAAAGTGCCATGACATGTTACAATTCAAAAATACGCTTTCACAATAAACTTATATAATCAATAAGATTGTTAAATAAACCAAGAAAATTGTAATACAAAAATATTTTATAAAAGGTTTGTTGAATTGGCTTTTGCTATTTATAATTGAAGTCATTTGGGAACATTTTGTGATTTTTCTTTATTTAGATTTATTTAAGGATTTATAAAAGGATTTCAATTTTAATTCACCTTAATAAATGTGATAATAATAATTTGTAGGTGTCATAGTCGTGACATGTTTAAAGTCGTTATTAATGTTTTGCCGTTATTGATCCAGCGCTAGTTCTTTTGTGGAGTAGAATTTTATTTATTTCGCTTAACCTTGCCAGTTTTGACATGCGGAAAATTAACTATTAAATTTGTAGAGCAGTGCTTACTGCATGCCTTCATTTCCTTTAGTTACCCCCTTTTCACACAAGTCTTTTACTGTAGAGAAAGCTTTCTACAGCTATTAACTTAATAGGAATGAAAACGAGCTGGACCTCAATTCAAGGAAATAAGTGAGTAAACCATTTTCCACTTGTGACATTCCAAATTCGTTTATGGTTAATGAATATTGTCTTCGTCATTGCCTTACAGAATTTTGCGGTTTTTCATTCCTATTCGGTGCAAAAGTCAAATAATCAACTGGTCGGTCGGCCACAATCTCGAGTTGTGCACTTGCAACGGCATAATGCCAGTCCCCTCACCTCAGCCCACCTCCTGCACCCTCTCAATGGTGACATTTCAATTGTCCAGCCCCATTGGATGACCGAAGGTATCCAGGCAATCACTTAAGCTGCGGAGAATTTCGGAGAGGTCATTTCGTTTGTTTGTCGCTGCTGAATAAATTGAACCTCTTGCCGCTGGCCAGAGATGCGGATGCAGTGCGCCAAATTGAATCCACTCAAAGAGCCTTCCGCATGCATTAGCATTGGGAGCCATTCAGGCGAAAGGGGGCGTGGCATGGCATGGGGCGACCCTGCCGTTGTCAGTTTTGTTTAACTTGTGCGGCAGCTCGCAACTCTTTTGGGCAATTTCATGATTGCCAGGCCAGGATTCACAGGGCAACCAGCACAAAAATGCCGGAGCAAGCCACTTCCGCACTACCGGAAGTGGGCTGGTCGCACGTCCCCAGGCGGCCTTGCCCCGAGTCACTGCATCAATCTAGCAAAATGGGGCGGACTACTGCCTTTTCTGTGTTCATGCAAATTCAACGGCTCACTAACTCACAAGACAATGTCGGAGCGGCTTACATGGCAATCTCCCATCAACGCAGCGAGGACCAACTCACCTGGTTGCCAAAGACGCCCACGCTGGTGGCCGAGGACACCTGGTCCGGACCGAACCACACTGCAGCCAGTCGGGCGGGAAGCGATAGGATGCACACCTGGGCCAAGGCCACGATCGACTGGCCAATGAAGCTCACGTAGAAGAGCGAGGGATCCACCGAAAATACCTTGATCCAGGCCCCAATACATGTGCCCACAATTCCAACTAGGGCGGTTATGCGAAGACCCTGTTGATGACACACAAGCAAAACAATGGAGGCAATTAATAATGGGAAACTGCTGGGGAACAAAGGCTGCCCTTTTAAATGTGGAAAATTAAGAAAGCTCTAAATGAGAGTAACTTAATACGAAAAACAAATAGGTTTTTAAAGTAACTTAAAACTCATATTCCTGTGATTTTAATTAGAATATTTTCTATTATCATTTTTAATTAGGAGAATTATTCTAATCGAACATAACACAAAGTTGAATGCATGTGCCACTCAAACTATTTTTAAAGGAGATGTAACGATTAGACTTGGAGCTGTAAAACTCTCAACAAATATTGGACAATAGTTTTGTTTTCCAAAAACAACGTTTAAATCAACAAAATTAACATCAATAAGTTTAATGCTATTAATTAACTACAATTCAATCTCAAACTGTTACTCTTATGGACTTATTTTCAACATTTTTTTTGTAAGTGAGAACACAAATATGAATGATTTAATACATTTTGTTAACACCTTTTCTTCTTGAATCGTTGACTTATATCGGTTCTCAGATTTATGCTAGTTTGTGCCACTGCCATCACTTACCACTTTATCCAAAAACCAACTGCCGGGGAATATGAGCGGTATGTAGAGGATCATATAAATCATGGACGTCCAGTCCACCCATTTATCGCTGATGCCATAGTATCTGCAGGACAAAAGGGAGCCGCGGTTAGAAAGGGCGATATTCCCGTGGCGAGGATGCAGTTGTCGTCGGACGAGAAGTTAATTTATTCACCCAATTCATTAGGCCCCGCCCATAGTCAAGTTGTTTAATGAGCTTTTTGAGAACTTTTAACGAAATATGATGCATGATTTCCCGGACTCGCACGACCACCCCACGCAGGTCCCTGCCTCACTCACCGTGTTATTATGTTGTTAATGATGGTGTATTGTATCCACTGCATGGCATTCGAGGATGAATAGAACACAAAGAGAATGAGCACCGCCCAGCGTCGGGCGTAGACTTTGTAGCCTGGAAAATAGAAATAGAATGCGAGCCAGGTGAAAGCCACTTCAGAATGCTCGTGGAACGGCTCAAGGCTTCCCAACCTCCGCCGGAGGACCCCATGTAGCTGCAGCGGATTAACAGGATTAGGGGGCAGGCTTACACTACTTACTCACTACTTGGGCGGAGGTGAGGCCCTTTCCGAAGCCAATATGCATGCAAATCGAGGCGCCAACCCTCGCCATATTATCATATCAAGTTCATCCCCCTTTCTGTTTTGTTAGTGATTACCTGACTTAAAGGGGATTTTTTGGTACGTCTTTCAAGGTCGAATTTCAAGGCTTAGAACGCCAAAAGTTGGTAAGAAATTCATGCAGCTAAGAAATCTAGGGCCCAATAATGTGTAATATACACCACCACTCTTTTCAGGTTTACAAAAATTTTGACTAACAGGTTTTAATTGTATTTAAAATGACTAGACAATTAATTTAATGAAATAAGTAATTTTTAAAAATCAGGATTGACTGCTGTGTTTATTATTTATAAAAACACTTTATGCTTTTTGTCTAATTTGTGAACAAATTGCAGAGCAAACACAAATCATTCAAACCTTCTCCTCAAGTTTAACTTATTTTATTCGTTAAACTACCTGCTTAACTGTACCTCTAGGGAATCCAGAATATTTTTTAAGAAGTTCTGAAAAAACCGAAGAACAAATACAAAAAATAGGAGAAGGAAAACAATATTAAAATAAACAAAACAAAACACAACACAACAAATAGCAAGAAAAATAGAAAAACACAATATCTTAAACCAGACAAAATGTAAGTGAAACAAATTCATACTGCTTAATTCAGAATAATAACATGGTACTAAAACTTAGAAACTTTTATTTCTGTAAAATATATTTTTCTGATTTCTGTCGACGTTAACAATGACTTATTAAAACTAAACAATTTCCATATATTTAGTATGGCCATCCTCATCTGAAAAATTCACTTTTATATTTCTACAATTAAACAAAACAAAATTAAAAATTTCCTAATGTTTGATTTCATATCTCCTATTTTTTTAAATTTATTTATTTTGCAATTATTTTTTTTTTGTTGTTCTATCTTACAATCGGCTTATTTATTTTCAAAAAATAGCTCTGTAGTCATCTTAACTTTTTAAATTAATTTATAAATGAATTACGTAATAGTAATGTGTTTCGTTAGTGATGTGTATTACAAAACGAAAACGGCAATGTTTTTTAAATACTTTTCTTTCTCTTTAAGCTTAATTGGCCTTAAATAACATTACAAGCCATTGTATGAAGTGAAAAGCTTTACATTTAAATGAAATAATTGCACTCGTGACATTTCTCTTTATTTTCTCATTTAAGTGTACTTTTAGTTTTCCCAAACGACCCATTTGTGTGCCCTGAATCACTAGCAAATATTAATGATTAATAGTTTTGAACAAATAAAACCGTGGAAATAGGTTACCGAAACGGTGTGTACATTTCGAATGAAATGGCTCATTTAAGCGCATTCGACTATATTGCATGCATTGGGTTGTGTGTACTCTTTGGGCTTTAGTTCTATTTATATCCATCCATTTTTTTTGTTCCAATTTGTGACAATTCAGAAGCGACGTCACTAACTTTTTGGCTTGCATGGCATTGAAAGTACAAAACGCTTTGATGCCGTTCTTTATTTGTATTTTTCAGTTAAAACACATGTATGGACAAACACATACCAGAACAAGGGCCACGAATATGTTTACAGTGCACAGAAAAAAATGTAGATTAAATAATATAAGATCACGTGGCATAGATACTAAAATATTTCAATAAAATGGATTTAGTACAACAACAAAAGATGTTTCAATAATACAAATTGTTATCAAAGCTAGATATTCAAAATATATTGATATTTTACGACAGATTTTTATTTTCAGACATGATTCTTTCTATTATCTATTCATAATTTTAACAACAAGAAAAATGTTATTTAAACAAGTTTAGATATATTTAAAGTGTCCTATTTTTTTCAGTGTTTGCAGGTAGGTTTTCATTTAAGTGAATGTGCGGCTGTGGCTTTGGCAGGCTTTGGGAAAGTGCATTTGTGTGTGGTCGTGTGGTGCTCGAATTGCACTGCATACAAATGCTTTCCACTGCGCACACCCTTTAACACACACTGCCACAACCAAACACACCCACACCACAATCACAAACACAGCGATACTATTGCCTACCTTGAGGCGCAGTTAAGCCAAAATGGTCGTTCATGTCTGGCATGCAAAGTGCAGGTGCTCGCAGAGCGGTAAGGTAACTACACGTGGCATGAAATGCAAACCATGCAGGTAATATATGTAAAACATTGCTCCTACATTGTCTCAAATGAGTGAGCAGACTGCGGAATGCAGAGTATTAGGTATGGATTTTAATCGAAAATATTCATACAGCTGTGATAAAAATAGACAGCCTTTACAAAATTGTTAAAGACTTTTGCAATGAAGATGTAAGAAGTGACTAGCTTAAAAGGCACATAAATTCATGTTGCTATTATATATTAGGTTATGTTACTTTAGCTTGCCAAAGATAGCTTTCTAGTTTTGTTACTTGGTGTTGGTCATATCAGTTTTTTTAAAATCAATTATTTAATCACAATATAATGAAAAATAAAACCTTTTTTCGACGTTTTAAAGTGGGCTGCGAAAACGATGGAGATTAAACTATTTTGATTAAATGGCTATCCGCATTATTGAGCTCAACATTTTTTCAATGTATACACTTATAAAAAAAGGAAAATATTAAATAATAAAACTAAAATTTGTTTCAAATTGTTACTAAGGTGAACATATTTAATTTACATTTAATTAAGCTGGTTTTTAAATATGACCACCAACTTTATACTTTTTTTATATAGCTGATACTATGTATCAAATAGCACTTTTAAACTAATATGACCAACTCATACGAGAATTGACACTCACTTTAGATTGGTACTATTATCTTATTATTTGAGGTTCTTTTGGTGTAGGTAGGAATTCTTATTTCGTGCAATATCAGTACTAAGTTGCTACCTCAACTATTTAACTATAATTTTTCCTATCAAAATCATTTTAATCATATCAGCTTGGGTCAGCTAATATGATATATATTTCTGACACGTGCCTGGGGCTTAAACACTGAAGATGAAACTGTTGTGATAAGAATACTACCCATAAATAAACATATTTAACGTCTTATGTTTTTGCACTTAGTTCACATAAAAGAAACAATAGTGTTGCCTTTTTTAATAGTAAAAGTGGTTTGACATTGAAAGAAAAAAATATTTTATTAAAGTCCCTAATATAATGAAGAAATCTTTATGCCTAAATTGGAATAGGTATATTATAAATTAAAAAGTTTTTAGTATATTGCTTAAATTACGAGGACCCTATTGTTTGTTAAACTATTTATCGATATAAAATATAAATACATAGTTACTTAATTACCTTCGGCTGGAGCGTTTGGGCCGCCCGACGCCTTGGCCGCCTTGCCCTCCTTCTCCTTGGGCGTGATCATGTCTGTGGACTTGCTGGTGGCTACGAAGGTCTCGCTGTTCTCGGCAGCACCACTGGCGCCGTGCTTCAGATCCATCCAGTGGGTGGTGGTGGGTGGTTGGAGGTCGCGCTACTTGCGGCGGGGACTGGTGTAAATTTTGGGCGGTTGTGCTGTGGCAGCGATTGCCGTGATCGGTGGTGTTGGTTAAATTTCTGTGGTGGTTTGCTCTCTGTTCTTCTCCTCAACAATCAGAATAACTGAGGGTAGTCGTACTTGCTTAAAGCTGATTTTCGAAATGAGTTCTGCAAGTAAACGAAATAGCAGAAATCAGCATAAAAGCAGGCAATAAATTTAAGTACATTTAATGCCCCTGTTTAATTACGAGCTTAAGCTAACCACGAATATGTATATACGTTGTTGTCATGGCTTACTATTGAAAGACGTTTGTGGATTATGACAATTATAATAATACTAATGAGGTTATTGTCTGTTGACCCTGAAGTAGCTTAAATTTCACAAATATGTTGTTTAATTCAAAACAGCTGGCTAAACATTGTTAAAACTCTGATAAAAATTCGTTTCAGTTACACTTGGTCACGAGTTGTAATGTTCTACTTTAAACATTTGCCTAAAATGCGAAATTGCTTGTTAGCCAGTTTATAATAAGACAAATGGGCAAACACAACTATAAATTAGTATATAATTAATATTTATTATCAACTACTGAATAAAAATTTGCCATAAATCACTAAAATTGTCCTACTCTCGTAAAGTTTTTGTGCCCAATCTGATTATAATAGGTAAAACTTGTTTTTAAACAGCTGTTAGTTAAACAAACGAGCAAAAAGAGCTATAACTTATACAATATACCCTTCAACAGCGGGCACTAAAAATAATGGTTGACCCCTTCCCATTAGCTTTTTGTGCCTGATCTGATTTCAGCTTCCACCGAAATGCTGTGGTTTTGGGTAAACCAAGCAAACGTAAAGCCCGATATTAATACGCCTTAATTAGCTTGTTGACTGGGGCGATTACACGCGAATTTCCATCTGCCGCTGTTGTTGTGACATTGCAATTTGCTTTAATAAAGCCATTGAAATTGAATCAAATTTAAGCACGAAATTCACCCTCACGGCCACTTGTTGCTCTGCCTCTGGGTTTTGGAACCCCGATTTTTACATTTTTAGATTTTTAGCTTCAGCTTTCAGCTTTGGCTTTAGCTTTAGCTTTAGCATTGGCTTTGACTTGGGGCTTTGGGAAAATGCAATCAGCGACAGTTGACTGACTTTGGCTGACTCTGCCGCCAAATAAATTGAGTGGATTGGCAAATTGGAATGCCGGATTCCGGTTCGGATTCCGATTTGCATTTGGGTCACTATTTTCGGCTTTTATTTTCGCTGATAGTTTCCTCCGCCTCATTTGGCACGTGCGAACGTATTTTCTGCCAATGGCTTAATGTCATTAGTCTCAGCGAGATGAAACTGTTTTTGTTTTGCAAACAGTTTTTCCACATTTCCATATCTGCTAATTAGATCGCTCGTTCAACGCTGATAACAAATGCCAACCAATTGAATTTGAAATCGTTAATCACTGCATTTAAATCAATTTGACTCATTAAATTCGCACAAATGCAGATTCCCCCATTTAGATTCAGTTTCGCACAATCGGAGGCCGTTCATCGAACAGAGATAATTGCCGGCTTTCGAAGACACCGATGTGGTGGATTTTCTCAAGCATTTCGAATCGCAATGAATCGCAAGAACTTGTATTGTTTTTATTTCTTAGGAACACTCAAGATTAGCGTCATAGTTGCTGGTTGCCCAACACAATCGGTGGGAGGTGGGTCTTCGCCAAGATAAATACTCGTAAATGAAGCAGGTATTGCCGATAAGACGGATTCCAGACACCCACTACACTGAGAAATATGTAATCACTAATTTAAAAATAATCTATTAGTTAATTTATTGAAAAGAACTTGACATTGAGAAATTATTTTTTTTATTTGAAAATTACAATTTAAAATTCATTTTTAAATAAAATAATAGATGACCAAAACATATTAAATGCACTTTTTACCGCTGTAAAGTTTAAAATATATTAGTTTAAGCTATTTACATTTTTACGTAAGGATTAAAAAAAGGCTCATTATTTCTATTGGGCATTTCTTTTCTAAGAACTTTTAAATCTTTATGTTCATTTGTTTTGTTTGCAATATTACACAGAATTAGTCAAGGTTACTAAACCTTATTAATATATTTTAAATACTGCATTCATTTATTTTTACTGATCTCGTCTTCTTTTTATACTTTGGTGCTTTGCTGAACATTTTTATACCCTTGCAGATTATACCCTTGCAGAGGGTATTATAATTTCAGTCAAAAGTTTGCAACGCAGTGAAGGAGACATTTCCGACCCTATAAAGTATATATATTCTTGATCAGCATCACCAGGAGAGTCGATCTAGCCATGTCCGTCTGTCCGTCTGTCCGTCCGTCTGTCCGTCCGTCTGTCCGTCTGTCCGTCTGTCCGTCTGTCCGTCTGTCCGTCTGTCCGTCCGTTTCTACGCAAACTAGTCCCTCAGTTTTAAAGCTATCTGCTTGAAACTTTCCCAAAAGTTGTCTTTCTATTGCAGGTAGTATATAAGTCGGAACGAGCCGGATCGGGCCACTATATCATATAGCTGCCATATAACTGAACGATCGGAAATGCCATATCTTTGGTGTTTTTAAAGTTAGGAAGTTGGGATTTTCTATGGGTTTTATTTTTGGCTAATAAATCCGACCTCCCAAATTTCATAAGGATCGGACGACTATATCCTATAGCTGCCATATAACTGATTGATCGGAAATGCCATAACATTGGTGTTTGTAAAGTTAGGAGGCTGGGATCTTCTATGGATTTTATATTTGGTTAATCAATCCGACCTACCAAATTTCATAAGGATCGGCCGACTATATCTTATAGCTGCCATATAACTGATTGATCGGAAATGCCATAACATTGGTGTTTGTAAAGTTAGGAGGCTGGGATCTTCTATGGATTTTATATTTGGTTAATCAATCCGACCTACCATATTTCATAAGGATCGGCCGACTATATCTTATAGCTGCCATATAACTGAACGATTGGAAATGACATAACTTTGTTGTTTTTAAAGTTAGGAAGTTGGGACTTTTTTTAAGTATTAAGAATGCATCATATGAATAATTTTGGAGAATATAATTTATAGAATATTCTGCAAGGGTATATCAACTTCGGCTCCGCCCGAAGTTAGCTTTCCTTTCTTGTTATTTATTAATATTATTATTTGATAGGGCCAGGAGACTCTCACTATTTTCCAAATGTTTGGCATTGTTATAGAACAATTACTAAAGTGCAGCTCACTTGAATCATGTTTTTTTCTCATTTTTAATGCGAATGTTGTTTTCTTATCGTTTGGACACTTCGTTGTACTATTGTACTATTAAATACTGAAATAAAATCTTCGATCCACACTGATTTTGTTTTATTTTTGGATTGATGTTTATTTTTAACACAACTCGTTGGGGGAGTTCTTTGTTTCTTTTCCTCAGTGCAGTTACACACACAGCGGCTTTGAACCAACGTAAATAACTTCCCAAACTGGCTGGCTGGCATCGGAAATTGACTTTCAGCCAATAACACGCACGTACATTTTTGATGGGGATTTACACGGGGCCAATACTCGCGGCCGAAAAAGAGGGGTTTACGGTGGGTCGGACCTCGCTTCTCGAACCCGTCGCTCTTACCAACTTTGGCACTCTTTCTTGGCACGTTCTTCTGCGGCTAAGTAGTACGGAGTACTAGTGGGAGTACTGGGTACCGCGAACAGCTGATGAAGGCAGTGCTGAGCCGCCGGAGAGAAGACAGACCTACGGAGCACGCAATCGCGAACGGACAAAGCGGTACTGAAACTGATTTCGAAAAGCGCTCAACTCTCCGTCATAAACAGCAATGTTGATTTGCAAAACGCTTTCGGCTCGTTCACTTGTTATTGCTGCAAACAGCTGATTCCGCGGCGGCGATGCCAACAAAGTAACCCAAATACACTCACTTCGAGTGCCCCACGATTAAAAATCTGTGTGATAAATGATTATGAACTGTTTAACTGCCACTGACTAACATTTGATTGTTTTACAAGTACCGCTCTTCAGTTTTAGGGTATTCTATAGTCATCGTTCGCCTTTGTTTTCCTTACACATTATCACAATCGCCGAATCGAGTGACAAATATTGAAACACGTTTACCAGACTTGAGCAATAAATTTTAAGCCAAGGAGTTAACCGACTTTTGGCGGGCACTGTGGCGATGTACGTACGTCTGCGCTCGGCACACGGACACTCATTTCTGATATCGCCCCCGAAACAAGTCCAGCTGTCGTGAATCAGCGAATGGGGAGCTCCAGCGGGATTGAACCGGACTTTAAAATACATCGCATTGACTGTGCATACGGTGGAACTTCTTGTAGGGTAAAAATAAATCCAATCCGAAAATACTTCAGAAATATAAGGCATAAATTTGGTTTCAAATTTCTATATTTAGTATTCAAAAGTATTAATTCACTTTGCAAGGTTTTTTAACAAATTTCTGGGTATGTATATAAGCAATAAAATAAATTGGGTAAGGCCATGCAACTACTTATTGTAACCTAAGTTAATGGGAACACCAAAATAAAAGTCTCTAAGACAAAACCACTTATTTTAAACTTGAAATAAGGTGTTACCTTTAAAGCACAGGAACAAAACTCTTCCCTTTTGGATTTTTAAATAAAAAAAATTGTATTATTTTCAATGTATTAAATATATTAAAAAAAAAATTGTTTAAAAAGTTTGATCAAAAAAAGTCGTTTTCGAGTTAAAATTTGTACAGTCTTCGTTCAAAAGTCGAGTAGAAACTAACCTTCCATGGGTATATAGCTGGGACTAATTACTTATTCGCGAATTCGTAATGCTCCGATTTATGTAGTTCACTTCACCGCTGTTCCCCTGTACTTTTAACACAATTGCATTTGCTATCCACTTTAAATTTTGTGTTATTTGTTTAGCATTGTCCGCTGCTCCCCTTTTTTTTAGCGACCGTAGCACGTGTATTTCTGGATTCCCACTCTTTTCCCCTGTCCCTTTTTTCCCTGACAGGTCTTTTCACATTTTTCATTCCGCTGTTTTTGTGGCTTTTATTGAATAATTTGCCTGCGGGAACTTCCACTTCCCTGGTCGGGGTCTCCGGTCAGGTTTCGTATTCCAGACGACGGATCTGGCGGATCCGACGGTGCCCGCAGCGTGGT